GAATTGCGTCGGCTCGGTTCAGTGGGTAAAGTCCCGTACTATACAGCCGCGCATCGCACGTTCGGTTCTCGGCATCGGCTCGGAAATACTAGTCTCGTCACGTCCAGTCCTAATCCAGTCCTAATGGACACAATCCCTCCTTATGAGTCGACACCACTAACAATAACCTTACTAATCCTTACTAATATTATAAACGCGAAAGTTTGTATGTATGGATGGATGTTTGTTACTCTTTAACGCAAATATTAGTGAATGGAGTCTAATGAAACTTTACAATTATATAGCTTATAAGTCAGAATAACAACACATATGCTTTAATTTATATACATATTTTTATGTATATCCGTCTTTCTGTCTGAATGTTACACCTTCAGCTTATTCTACGCAGACGTAGTCGCGCGCAGCAGCTAGTTTTTAAGAGATATTGTATCCTGTAAAAATAGAGCCAGTAGAGCGTTATGATTTGGTATGTTATGACGTAAGCGGTCAGTTATCCGATCCATGCTACACGTCACCGGCGTCATGACGTGGATCTTTGGACGTCCTGCTTTTGGATGACACGAGAGAACTAATGACTCAACACCGCAGATTGCATACCACAAATCGCTTCTCTAAACGATTCTATTTATTATTATGAATGTAGTTGGTCCGTTGTTGTAACTAAGTGCCGTACTCAGGGATTGCAATTAGCACGTAACTGGCGTTTAATTCAATCAGTTTAGTTGTCAAAGTCATTAATGTAGTTGACACACAAATATGGTAGTTGGCGACTCTGAGCGCGGGTGTAAACGCTGTTGTACCTCTATTTCCTAATGGGGTACCGTGATAAGCAGTGCATTAGAACAATCAACATTTCCAGCACCAAATCAGCAGCTATCTGTGATAACTGTCTATTTTGATTGTAGTTAGTCCGGAAATAAGTAAATAATGACATCCAACAAATGTGAGCCATTTTCGCTTAATCCACTTTGTCGCACTTACAGATTTGAAGCTGTGATTTTAAATCGAGAGACAAAGTCCCCACCGCTAAACAAAAGTCAAGTCGCAGTTTCAAACAGGTAGCCATTGATAAGATAAATGTTCGGCCTTGCAAGGCCGCATCCTCCTCTCTCGATTCGCCTTTATTAGAGCGAGTTGGCGTCAGGTGGACAGAGTAACAAGTCAATTTTTTTTTATTAACGAAAAACAAAACCGACTTCAAATATCTCGCTCTGTATTTCCCTGCGTATCTCCGGAGCCCAAGATACCAATGAAATTAATATGGGATGTTGTGTTTTTACACGATGTGTCCGAAAATATTTAAAAAAAAATAGTTTTTCGCACGAGCATCTCTTGCGGTATGATACTCGTGCCAGTTTCTTTTAAGTGTTTGCGACTCGACCCGTATGCCTTAACCTTAATAGTCGATGTGACGAGTGCAGGAGGAGAGCATGCAAAATTTAACAGAGCTTGTCTAAAAAAAAATTTATTTCTACTTTAGGGAAAGATTTACGTTGTTTTATTGTGTAGATATTCTCCTATGTTGAATCAAGACATTTGATTTTGATTATTGATCAACCAAATATTGGACCCATAAGACCAATATCGCATTCATTTCAAGAGACAAGGTCAATATCAACTACGCCAATTGGGCCGTTACGCCAGTTTACATGAGTCTTCCTTTAGATAAGATTTTGGCCATTCCCTTAAGCTTCAATAATTAGATTTGAATATATTATATAAAACGCTACAATTAGTATGTTTCCTCGAGTACTCGACTAAAAGGTTGATCATGGTAAACACGTTTAATGGTTAACGATAAATCAATGTACGCCATTATGCGAATGCGCAATCTGAGGTCATAAGTAAGCAGTTGACATTTGAATCGTTAAGAATATGAGACATCGCAATAAAAAAGGAAAAATGAACGGCCAGTTTCACCTGTTTTAGATATATTACATTTCCTGCATAAATATACATAATAATACTTTCAATACAAACCGTTATCCGTTTGTCAGTTATCTAGTAACCATAGTACACGCGTCGCTTTATTTTATGTGAAAAGTTGCCAAGCGAGCAGGTGGTTCACCTGATGTTAAGCGAATACCGCCGCCCATGGACATTTGCTTTACCCGAGGGTTGCAGATGCGTTGACAACCTTTTGAAAATTGGGCTCCGGACTCTCACCAAACGAAACGCGAATGTATTTATTATACTTCCACTTTACGCCGGTTTTCTGTGAGGTCGTGGTACTTAACCGGACGAGCCTGCCCATTTGTGTATCTTGTATTAACTGATGTTATTGCTTTCAGTCCCGAGACTATTAAAGCTTCATCTGACGGCCCATTCGTGCAACAGCCAAGGCTGCTGCGTGGTCGACATCTGCGTTTTTTTTTTTTTTTTTTTTTTTTTCAAAGTCAAAGTATATTTATTCAATATAGGCCTAACTTAAGCTCTTATTGAACGTCAACAAAAATCTACCACCGGTTCACTAAACTAGACCTGCACAGAGAAGAACCGGCAAGAAACTCTGCGGTCTTTTTCTTTTTGTTATATATATATTTTTTTTAATGCAATTATACACACTTATTTGGGTATAAAATCAGCAGCAGCCAGGGGTCTTGCAAGTGCAGAGCAAGAGTCATTTCCAAACATCCTTGTCCTCTATGTATTCTTGGATATTATAATAAGCCCTTGCCATTAAGGTAGCTTTTACAAATTGTTTGAAATTGTTTATACTTAGTTGTTTGTGGATGTCACCTATTTTATTATAAAAGTTGATGCATCTTCCAAGAAACGACTTTCTGGTTTTAGCTAATCTAAACCTCGGTACTTCCAGAGTGTCACCACGGCCCCGACGCGATGTGGATTGTTTATTCGTAAATAGGTCGATATTATTACGTACATACATGATGTTCTCAAGTATGTAAAGCGACGGGAGCGTCAAGACGTTTATTTGCTTAAATGTATGTCGTAGCGACTCACGTGGACCCAAGCCATAGACGGCCCGTATAGCCTGCTTTTGTAATACAAATATTGTGTCTAGACCGGATGCGGAACCCCAAAGTAAGACACCATAGGACATTATGCTGTGAAAATAAGCATAATAAACTAATTTTGCAGTTTCCTCATTAGTTAGCTGCCTGATTTTGCGTATGGCAAAGACGGCAGCGCTCAATTTCTTAGCTAACATATCTACATGTAATCCCCATTGCAACTTGGAGTCAACGCTTATTCCAAGAAATGCTGTTGAATCCTCAAGGGGTAGGATTTTCTCATCAATAGAGATTCCTGATTGGTGACACAACTTTGAAAGAGTAAATCTAATACGTTTCGTCTGGCGAGTAGGTAGCTGAAACACCGTAGCCAGTTTACGATGCGTTGCCACCTTTTAGGCAACGCATCTGCAACACTGCGGGTGTTACAAATCTCAATGGGTGGCAGTTATCACTTAACATCAGTAGAACCGCCAAATCGATTGCCCCCTTCTCACACACCTGAGAAATTAGTTAAAGCAGATGGCAAGAAAGACGCAGTTTTACACAGGCAAACGTGCAGGCATCTTTTTTGTATATGAACAATTAGTTAGCGCGATACTTGACTGCTGATCCTAAGAAATTACATTGTTTTTAAAGAATCAACCGATCTCATCAATGCCTTTCCAAACTTGGTCTATGAAAACCTCCATGCATCTCTTCCGTCTCAACACGACACAATTTACACGCAGCCCCGTTAATCGCTTCCCTGCTTCTGAGCAATCGAGGCCAAGGTCGGAAAGTCGCTTTATCAATTAATCGCTTTAATTCTCGATCGCCGCCTGTAGAGGCGTCTAGTGTACTACACTTGACCTAATCTGACGTATTATTCTATCTATCGGTAGATTGAGTTACTAGCAATATATTTACGGTGGTAGGGCCACGCAGCAGCCTCGGCTGTTGCACGAATGGGCAGGCCCGACCGGTAAGTACCACGACCAGCGTAAAGTGGAAGTATGACAAATACTTTCGCGTGTCGTCTGGTGAGTGAGGTAGCCGGAGCCCTATTTTCATAAGGTTGTCAAGGCATCTGTAACCCTCGAGTCCATGGGCGGCGGTATTCACTTACCATCAGGTGAACCGTTTGCTCGTTTGGCAACTTTTCACATAAAAAAAAGCTCCATAATAGGTCACGCCACTCCATATACTCACGTCAAAATTCTATCTCCAGTTACCAAATGCACAGATAGAATATTTAAACCGGCCGTTAGTTGATCATAGATTAACTGCTGCCAGAGAGTTGGATCGTGGCTTCCAATTTCTCATGGCGCCAAAATCTCGACAACCATCATTAACTTTAAACTTTATTTGTACTTTGGAGCCATGACGATAACGAGCGCTCAGCTCAGTTGGTAGCAGGTTCGAATCCTGGATGTCATACAGAATAATATTTAAGAGACGTTAAATTTCATGAGCGCGGATGAGCATTATAAATAGAAAATGATCAGTACTATTTCATCTTCCGCAAACAACCCAACCATTCCAAGGCTATCGTCACCGCAAAAAACCTGTATTTAAGTACATAAATAAAGAATGAAACTAGTTTTAGGATTTTATCGAATTTTAAATATGATTTTTAATTTCCGACTATCAACGCTGGAAAGGGTTCCAATCTTCGGGAATTAAAAATCGTAAATAAAACGCGATAAAATCCGTAAACTAGATTCATGTAATATGTATAATATTCGCGTATAATGAAGAAATTAAATAACAAAACAATTTATATTCACTAAAAGAATGATTCACACTATTCATATATTTTTGAATCCACCTGCAAACGGTAGCTACATTAACCATTTTACCTTTTTGAAAAATACAAACCCTTAAAATTAATACTACTTGGATTTCTATTACTTTAATATCTTACGAAAATGAAAGATTTTTTTTTGTGTGTTCGAGTAATGTCATTTAGCTATATAATTAAAAACACAAAAAACTTGAGGCTACACGCTCCAATTCCTAATTTCTCTTTTGTTTCGCTTCTAGGAGACAGTTTGGAGGAGCTCAACGGATACGGAACCATGCGTCCCAGGAATATAATCTCGTCGATACTCAGCGGCACCCCGGCCAAGAACAAAGGCCTGGCGATATCCAACCCCCACGACTTCAGGATGGTGAATATAATATTCTCTCCCGGCTTTTTACTACACCCCGTATCTTATAACCACCGCGTCGTCACAGTGTAGTTTTAGAAGTAAGCTAGTGGTTTATTAGCCAATCATAATCATCGTATCAGCCTGGACTCTTACCCACTGCTGAATATGAGACACCCTTAGACACCCATAGACTGCCACGAAGCATCCATCGACTTCCCGCACATTTGCCCAGGTCGTCACTCCATCTAGTCGATAAAAGGTGTCAATTATCCCGTCTAGAAACTTTGTTGAAGGTAAATATTCTAACTCCGAGACAAGCCTAAGCTTTATTAAAATTTGTGACCGCACTCGGAGAGTACAATAAGCAATTGATTATGGTTTAATTCGTTTCTTTATTAATTGGACTCTTATGAAGGGACTTAAGGCCTAATTCACACTGGCAAATCATTATATTTTAGGGTTACTACACAGGATGATAGGTCATTGCGTCATCCGTGCGCTCGCCTTTAATCCATACTCCTCGAGCAACCAGAGTTCGAACCCCGGTGCCGGCACCAATGAAATTGTTAATTTTAATTTTGTTAATTTCCGCCGTGGGGCCGCTTGGTGGACTATGCCTCGATACCTTCTGAACAGAGGAGGCCTTTGCCCAGCAGTGGGACATTTATAGGCTGTTACTTCATCTTTACAGGATATTCTAAAATACCCGTCTCCACGATTAATACATTTGATCGCCTCAATAACTTTAGGAATTAAACTTCGTTTGGACGCGCAAAAGATGTGTCAACAACTATTCGTGTCCACCGTTTTGGGGTTATAAGATATCCGATTTTAATGGCTTGCGTCTCCGCTTCAGGTTTCGGCAATCATAGACGTGGACATTGTGCCGGAGACGTGTAGGAGGGTGAAACTCCTCAAACATGGTTCCGACAGACCGCTGGGATTCTTCATAAGGTATTTTCAAGAGATAAACTAGTGCCTGTTAACTTTTCTGATGTTTTAGGGTCCCGTACCCAAAGCGTAAAACGGGACCCTATTACCAAGACTCCGCAATACCTTACTCATCAATTTGAACATTGTCAAAATCGCTCAGTTTAATTTTTCATATATCATTTCATAAATGCAATTTATAAAATTATATTTTATGTCAATAATGCAAATGTAATTTAGATGGCATTAAGTCCTCATATTTGCAATAGCCTTGTATAAAGAAAGAACCAAATAACTTCTTTTAGAAGCTGTACATAATCATTGGAAATATTTACATTCACATTTCCCATTTTAATGAAACTCCGTTGATGCCTCTGCTACAGAAATTCTGGAAAGGGTGACGATGAACTCACAGTCTTACCAACTGTTCAAAAAATACTCCTAAAGATATTAAAAAAATACACTGAAATTCACTAAATTCTAACCAACATTTAGGAAGAAAACAATTTACAATTGAAGTGAAGTTTCTTCCTAAATTTAGGAGGAAACTTCGTAAGTTGACTCGTTGAACTCATTGAAGGCCAGTTTACCGCCACATTGAATTTGAGATATTTCCTTTTTAAATGGCTATCCGATATATTAATGATGGGAAAAAAGTCACTTCACGTAGCGACGGAACTCGCAATTATTCAACACAAAAAAGTCTTACTCATTTCGAAGATATATTTCGATTATTCTTCGACAAGTCGTTATGAAAGTTACGAAGCCATGTAACTAACGGCCGTTCGTCGTATATAGGAACCGGGCGTTGGACCTCTACACGGGTATGATAACTATGTCCACCTTCGCAGGGACGGAACGTCAGTGCGCGTGACCCCGAACGGCGTGGAGCGATCGCCCGGCATCTTCATATCGCGGCTGGTGCCGGGCGGCCTGGCCGAGTCCACCGGCCTGCTGGGGGTCAACGACGAGGTGCTAGAGGTCAACGGGATCGACGTCTCCAACAAGACCCTGGACCAGGTGGGTGCCTCCCGCGACGGGGCCGTTTCATATTTTAAGTGAAACTTCTAATGCGACTTCCCACAGGGTTGCGTTAAACGTTTAACGCTACCATGGAGGGGGTTTGAAAGCACTGACGCGTTAATCGTTCAACGCTACTGGGGAGGGGGAACAGAAGGAGACAGAGATTGAATGCGTGGCACTCGAAATTTCACTTCCTCCTCGCGGAGGTGGGCTCCACGCACTACTTTTTTTTAACATCGACCTCACTTTAGGATAACACTATCCTGTGCTGTATTTTACATACATTTTCACGCGGACAAACACCCAGCTGCGAAACAACTATCCGTGGGTTGCACAAGTAGTCGTCCCGTGTGGGAATCGAACCCACGACCCCCGACGCCGAAGACAATTCAAACATTCTATCTACAGGGAGCCAAATTCAAATACCTATCGCTAGTAACCAAATCGATCTGTTGATGGAACATTGGGACCGGCCTTAAAGCTATTTTTCCGACTGCCCCGATCCGCCGCAGGTGACCGACATGATGGTGGCCAACTCGTCGAACCTGATCATCACGGTGCGGCCGGCCAACCAGCGCGCGGGGCCCGCCCCGCCCGAGGCGGCCTCGCGCCACTCGCAGCCCTCCAGCGAGCACGACGACGACAGGTGCGTCGCTTCCCCCATCCGGCATTCCGTCCGCCGCCACAGCGCCTACTGATGCTTGCACGGCCTCTGAACCACGCTAAACCATTCAGCATCACACCACCTACTGATGCTTGCACGGCCTCTGAAACGCTCTAAGACAATCAACATTCCATTTAACACCACAGCACCTACTGATGCTTACACGGCCTCTGAAACGTTCTAAGCCAATCAACATTCCATTTAACACCACAGCACCTACGAATCCCGCCACGGCCTCTGAAACGCTCTAAGCCAATTAACATTCCATCTAACACCACAGCACCTAGGAATCCCGCCACGGCCTCATTGTAAAATAAACTCTCTCCCAAAACAATCAAAAACAAACTTATATGGTTGTGGCAAATACGCTAACATTAAAACACTACAACTGCAATTGATTCTTCGTCTCGTGTTTCAGATTCGACCAAGACGAGCAGGACGAGATCGTCGATCTGACCGCAGTGACCTTGGAGGAACAGCACACCGAGCCATCTGGTTTCGCGCACACCATTCCCGCCAAGGATGACGGACAAGTCCTTCACCTCTAGTACATACTGGAGAGGTATCGGCGGGCGAGGATGCAAGCGATTCCACACCATAAGCCCCAAGCGACTGGTGTTAAAATCGCGAAGTGACATTCCAAATTGCTATTCGTATGGTGCAGTGAAGTGATCATTCCATTTTAGATTCCAAACTATCGTCGTCAGGGATCAATTTCGGCTGACCGCGTACTCAGCGATATGCTAGACGATTGTGAACTTTAAGTATATATCGATACGTGTCAAAATAGTAATATCTTAGATGTCACAATATTGAGTTAAGAGTTATAGGATAACGGAGGCAGTGCAAACATATGGTATTGATTTTAAGGTAGGTCCACACGACTATTTTATTTTTACAATTAGTCAATTAGCTAACTGGAATATGGACAATAGTTTTGAAAGACATGTGACGAATTGTCTTGTCATGTAACGGTCTGTTTGTCTGATCGTATATTTAAACAAAATGAAATCAAAACTTTAGTGCCTTATTGTTATTTTTCGCAATCACAATGGAAGTGGTGATTAACACAAAATCAGCAATTATCTTCAAATGTTAACATACTATTTGAATGAATTCTGTAATATATACATGTAAAACATTTTTAATGAACTATGATATGTATTTCGATAGTTAGGTGCATCTCAACATTCCATCAGTAAAATAGTATAGTACTGATACTAATATTGCTGACGCAAAACTTAGCACTAGCAATGGTTGCATTAACTAATTGTGTGGATCGATATTAAACTTCAATTAATACATGTCTAATTTTACATTGTTTGATACAGTTGTTGTTTAGAAAGCGATTAGTTGATACAACAAATCAATGTGTTTTACCCTGAGAATTAAAGAAAGATATTTAGGCATTTATAAGGGTACTAATTGTGATACTATTTTATTTTCCATCATCTATTGCATTTTAAAACCAGCATATTTTGATAAGTTCTTTAAATTTTGTTAGAACGTGCATATTCAGGGTAAAACTCATCAAAAGTTTTGCAGTTCCCATAGAAAGTGCCTGAACTGTTATTATTGGCTCAATTATATATATTTGAATATATGTATACATTTATGATAATAATGCATATTTAATATCAACATGGCAATAATTTATATAATTACGTGTGAAGTTATTAACTAGGAGTAGACAAATAGATATGATAGTTATACGATAAGCTCCTTTGTGTTTTGGAAATTTCTAATTTTCATTTAAAATTTATAGGTAAACCTTTTATGAAACATTGTGTAGGGATCAAAGCAGCTTACGTTTTCCAATCTCTGTCTTTGCCACAAAACTAAATAGTGACTCTGTTAATTTGAACAAAACAAACTCATTTTATAATAGCCTTTTTCTTTTCGATGATTATGTCACATCAAAAGGCTTTTAATTTTGCTTGTTAAACAAATGATGATGGCTTCATCATGTGTTATACACATAAATAAAAGAAATATTTGTACTAGAATCACTAGTGTAAGGATTGCAAAATATTTGTTGTTTAGCTAACTGCGGTGAGTTAAATAGTAAGGGTCACTTGTATTTCGAACATCTCAAAACAAGTGCCTTGCTAATCTCTATGTCCATTCTTTTTCATTAAGGATCCTTAAAAGCGAGAGTTTTGGAGGATTGTAAGGATGTACTGTCACATATAAAATCGTCTAAAAAAATATCTATAAAACTTAATTATAGAGGAAGGAATTACTCTCGACTGTACACCAAGTTATAGAAGGAAGAGATAAAAACTATTTAAACTGTGGAGCGAATGAGACGACAATATTCTTTCCATCCATGGCTCCAAATGTGCGCTGAACGACGATTTGTACGAACTTCAGAGCCACATTAAAGTATTGCCCTATCAATATGTCCTATATATTCTATCATACATTCCTAAAAGTATTATATATTTAATTCACACGAATTAAATAATTGACTTGTTCTATTTTCAAATAATTATGTATTCGTCGTTAGAAATTGTTTTTAGTATTTTGGACAATAAATTAGTTGTATAGGTGAAGAATTCCATCCATTTTGTTGTAGGTCGTAGCCTCTTTGTTTCATAGTATTTAACAGGAATTGCATTCTTTTGCAACTTGTTTTAAGTGTTATTTTTAATTGAAGCATTCATCGTCACTTTATGAAGATTCAGAAGAATGCAGTTTGTGTTTATAAAACGTATACTTAGTGTTGATAGTAAACAATTTTATACTACCACTTCCTATGGAAGGTGCTAAAAAAATCATTAGCTATCATGTTTGCGGCTATCGTGAATTTTATAATGTTGGATGATTTATTGTAAGCGACTTTTTATATAATATATCTTGTAATTTATATATTATCTTCATTTGTAGAGAAATTCTTCTAGAATGAAAGATGAATACCGCTGTATTAAATTATAACTCTGTATACATTCAGCTACTTAAGAAATTAATGCCTAGAATCTCTTTGGCTCACGCTCAGTCTTTTCAGATAAGTTTGAAATTCAGATATAGTAGTTTATTCCATTCAAATTATCCAATTTAAGAATCATCTTTATTGAATAACATTGTAAGAACTGCGGTCAAATATACAACCCTGGGACACTCGTATTTAAATGCGTTAATGATTTTTTAATATATTTTTTTACTTTGAACTGAAATATTTTTTTTGAATGTGAAAAGCTGCCAAGCGAGCAAGTGGTTCACCTGATATTAAGGTGAATACCGTCGCCCATGGACATCTGCTACTCCCTGGAGTTGCAGATGTGTTGACAAGCTTTTTGAAAATTGGGTTCCGGCTACCTCACTCAACAGACGAAACGCGAAAATATACTTCCACTTGACGCTGGTCTTCCGTGAGGTCGTGGTACTTACCCGGACGAGCCTGCCCATTTGTGCAACAGCCGAGGCTGCTGCATGGCCTTACCACAGTTAATATATCAATCATAATTGTTCACGATATTTTTTCATCATATAAAACATGTTATAATTAGGTCATTTTCTATTTCTCTGCCCACCTTATCATTCCATATATTTCGCATCATTAGCTGGGATTTACAATCAACCTTTTTTATATTTTTTAGCCATGTATTACTTGGATCAAAGTAGTGTTAAGCGAATTTTATTTAATTTCTTTTAGTATGTTAAGCGTATTTAAAATATGGTTACGTAATAATTTCATGGACTGATAATAAGTCTATCTGTGCACATATCAAAAGAGAGCTTTCGAAAATACTTCGTATTTTATGGCGCTAAATACCTTTAATACCGCTACTGTAATTTTATTTAAATATAAACAATTTTTTATATACACAACAAGATGGAGTAAAGCATGACGCATCTTATGCATACTTTTTTTTAATATTAAATGCTTACTGAAGCGAATGTTAGTCATATTTTCTTGTTTAATTATTGATGGAGGCAGTGTGGCCAATCCATGCCTATATAAAATTTCGTTGAAACAAAAGCTCTACCTTTTGCCCCCTAAATGTTATTTGTTTACTTACTTTTACAATTCTAGTTATTCGTTTTTATCAAAAAGGTTCTATAAAGAAAAAAAAAATAACCAATGTATCAAAGGAATTCGACGTTTAAATTCAAGGAGCTTTTGCTCTATTTTTAAGGAAGGAATTGTTTATAAAAGAACATGCTGGGGCCATTTAATTTACCTACTCGTATAAAATGAAACTTAAAACTGCGACACGTGTGTTGATTACCATTGATCAAAGTTTGTAATTGAATTCTATTAAATTTGTTGTAACTCTTTTGTGGTAAATAGTATCCACTGAGTATTTATGACATTTAAAGGCAGTATAGGTATTTAAAGAGAGATGGAGCTTATTTTCATTTATATTGTCTCTTACTCTTGATCAGGTTTACTGTTTATCAACTATGAATCAATTTTTATAAAATCAACTCATATTTGAATGAAGTTTTTCTATGAACGATGTTCAGATTGCGTTTTTACCTAATTTTTTTATAAGGTCTTCACGTATTTTTTAAAAATATTTTCTTATACTTTTGGCCCGGTGGTCCTTAGAGGTGGCGCGGAATTTAATATCGTGAACAGTATTTGTTGTGTAACGAATTAAAATGCTGCAATATAAAAATAATTATAAAACAGGAAAATGATGTATGGGGGGATATTTGATTTGATTTATATTGTTTCACTATCCGGTATGGTATTTCTTGTTCTATATTTTTCAAAGTTGGAAACATTCGTTGGTTGTTTGATTAAGTCACTGTCTGAACGGAAATTTCTTTAGCTTGCACTTATTTAAAAATCAATTTCGTAACTCGACAACTTCTAAATAACGTGTTGGCGGGAGCGGAGGTTTTTTTAAGCGTCGACTTAAGCTGTATTTATATGAAGTATTATTTTGATTCGCGTTTTAGGCATCGCTAATAGCACCGTATTATTTCTATTGTTTATTGATTTGCGATATTTTTTATACGGTTATGTACTTAATTTTGTAATCACAAGTTGCCTTTAGGGTCTGTCCACACGAGCGAAGCTTTTTATATATAATCTGTGTACGCGAAGCGAAGTACGCACTTGTGAACGGGCCCCTATAATTCATGGTAGCGGCGAGTCACTTTATTCGTTGGCTCGATTTCGCTGCAGATTTTCGTATCGTTGCGGTGAAGAGAATCTGTTATATTTACCCTCTAGTTTTAATGTTACACTTGTGTTCCAATGTAATAAAGTATATTCTTATTGATTGTGTTGTTTTTTTTTGTGTTTTGTGGTTCCGTACGGCTATTGTTGCCTTCTTAATCTTTTTGGGACGAAAATTTCGACCTCCGATTTGTAGGTCAAAGGTTGCACAAGTAATCGCGCTAAACTAAATCGGGATGACAAATTATAACTTAAGTTTCCGCTTGCAAATTATTTAAGTGACAGTGGTGAAGGCAGTGGTATGGTGTACAAAGGTATAACAGATAATCATAGAAATGGAATCTACATAAGCTACCTTACCTTACTTCCTAATAAGCTACCCTTCCAGCCCAACTATTAAGGTTGGAATGATATTGCGTATAAGGAAGCGTTTAGTCACTCACCGAGCTATGAAGCGGGCTATGCTCGGTATTTCTCTGCGTGATAGAGTACGAAATGAATACATCCGCAGTTGAACAAAAGTAACCGACATAGCTCAGATATTAGTAAGCTGATTGCGATGGGCCGGCAATGTATAGCTCGTAGAAGCAATAACAGATGGTTAAGAAAAGTTCTTGAGTTACAGCCTCGTACTGGTCATCACAGTGTAGGACGATCCCACTAGATAGAGTGACGACCTGTGCAAATGTGCGAGATGTCGATGGATGCACGTGGCTCAGGATCGTACTTCGTGGCAGTCTGTGGGGGAGCTCTATGTTCAACAATGGACTCAACCAGGCTGAAATGAATAAATGATATTGATTCTGTATTTATTAAAAATGAACAATGAAAAGTCAAATAATTTTTTTATTATCAAATGAAACTTTACTTACGGATTTATCGCGTTTATTTTTAAAGTTATTTCCCGACGTTTCGAACCGTTTTCAGCGTTAATGATCAGCGGGACAGACTGCGGCGTCGGGATTCTGAATGTGATTTATTAGTATTGGCTACCGCCAGTTTTTCAATGATAAATTTTGTTTCTTGTTTATGTTAGTAGAGGTTTTTATTTGGGCCTAAATTTAATTTTATTAATGATAGATTCCAAGCTGACAAAACATTTGTATTGACAAAAAACCAATTCATAATATTTAGGTCTCGGCCTCGGCGTATTAACACTAATTTAATATTGATGAGGCCAACTTGTGGGTCACACAAATAGTTGTCTCACGTGGGAATCGAATCCATGACATCGGGGTGTCAAAATGAATACCATGGCAACAGCGTAACGGATTCCTAAAGTAGTGTGTTGTTCCGTATTACAGAAAATGCGTCGGGATGGTATATATTTTACTACAGCTCGGTCACAAGGACAATAACACAATGGTTTTTTAAGTTTTGTTGCAATAATAACACTAAATAAAACTCTGTTAACGGACTTATCGCGTTTATTTTTAGTTGTATTTCCCAACGTTTCGAACCCTTTACTGCGTTCATGGTCACGGGACAGACAGAATTAAACTAAAAATAAACGCGATTCCGTAAACATAGTTTTATTTAGTAATATGTAATCGCATAAATACAAGAAATTATTATGCCATAATAATAGTAAAATAGTATATTTAAACTCAACCGAAATAATTATCTCGCGTGATCAATCACCTCAAAATCTTCCCTTGGCAAGTGGCGAAAGATGCGTGCTAGTTTTACGAGCTATTAATAATCAAACAAAACGATACAAATCACCGGTGTGTTTAAAATATCTGCTAAATATGATTTTTGCTAGGTTTGGCTTAGTAGTTTGTTGTAGTTCATTGGCCGTTGCTATGTATACGAAGGAAACTAATGCGATAGATTTCTATTTAAACGTTAGAATGATTCATTAATTGAAAAAAAAAATATGGATAATAACTTTATTTTTATACTTTATTTATTTAATTGGCTTATTATTTATGGCACAATTCCTTTTCTCCTTTCTCTACTCATGTTATTAAATGAATCAATATTTACAAAAATTGTCAAATATATAAAAAAAAAACCATTTTAAAATAGCCACCTTTTGTGTTTATACATAAATCAAATCAATTGTACGCCTGTTGGAAACTAAATATACACTAGACGTACATTAATATATAGACTGTATTACGCGCCAAAATACAATATTTCAATACACCTGTCACTTCCGGCTGTTAATGTACTGAATCCACAGATTACAGAGCATTCACGTTTGAAATAAAAATGGACTTTACACTAAAGTAGTATAGCTCTTTTTTGAACTAAAGAATAGATATATGATAGAAGCAAGGTCTGGGTCTCCAGAAATAAATATTACACTCTCCAGAATATAGGATTCGGTGCCAAGTTACTGTCCTACGTAGTTTAATATCAGTCAACGTACAAAAGCCGTGCCCGATGGTCATGAGTGAAAGTGTCGATAGGAAAAGTTCTTAATTGACATTTGTGGACGCGGGAAAATCGGATTGTTCAAATCGTTCATATTATTAATTTTTAAGTGACAGCATTATGGCCGACGAAACATATCATGTGTACACTCGTACAGAAAACATTACTGAGCAGGATGACAGACATTTAGCGGGAGCAACAAAGGAGATAAGAAATGATCTAACGGTTATTATACCCGAAAATCCTTTCCCAGAAATACTGGTCGAAGCGTATCCACCTCTAAAATTCTCGTGGGTTATTCCGAAGAAGTTAGCGGCAATGGCCTTTCCCAGAAATAAAGAAAATCTACAGTTCCTTGTCAACCAGGGTATTACGAATCTGGTGACATTGACCGCTGGAAAAAAGCCTCCCGTTGACGACATTGCCAGATTGAGGTGGACGGAAATACCAATAGAAGAATTCGAACTACCGACGGTGGAACAGATTAAAAAGTTTGTTGATGTTTGTAAAAGGGCCGATAAAAACGGTGAGGTGAGTAGAAACAATTATTTAGGTCATTTACTTGTAAACTGTTATTTTTTAATTTTTAAGAAAGAATGAAAATTTTTGTAAAGCATTTTCAAATACCTATGTTATTTTTATGCTGGTCATTAAGTAATAACAAATCTCTTCTCAGCATAAAATATTTGGTGATATTTCAAAAAATGCAATCGCTATTATATTTTAGAAATGTTTGTTATCGATTTAATTTTGTTTTCGAAAAATTGTGAATATTTACACATTAAATTTTAATGTTCAATCTTAAGTGCAGAGATTAGCACGATAAAAAATTTAAAATTGTGAATATGTTATAACATTTTATAGATATTAATTTTTTTATCCAAATTTGTATGATCGACGTGTACCTAATTAGCAAATGTTTTTTGTTTTCTTTATCTCTAAACACAATAAAACAGTGACCTAAACCATATCGAACTATATAAATCAAAAAATGATCATAAATAAAATCATTCTGCAGCCATAGTGGATAAAATAAAGTGTAATGTTAACAAAAAAACTGTAGATTTTCGTAAAATTACATTGCCCTCTAAATATCACGCATTAATAAACAATAACAACATAGTATTAATCTGTGGTTTTAATGCCCTTTCCTAACTTTAGGGGACACCTAAAAAAATGTAAGGCTAAAATTTTCCATTAGTGTCATCATTTTCAATCAACAAATCTTACTGTTAAGAATCCATAGTGAAAACGGACATAAACCCATAATATTTTTTAACTTATCAAAGTAACGGTTTATCTATAGTAGGTATTTAAATTAACAATAATATAGTTAATTAAGGCTTTTTGTGAACAAGCTGTGAATTAACTCGGTTCAACCAGTTGGATTCATCGTGCTAATCTAATCAGACTTTTGTAGTGTTATATCAGTTGTGTCGATTTAGCATTGTAATATTTCGGATTAGTCCAATTAAGTTCACACTATGCTTCGTAATAAAATAACCTGAAAGATAAACGTCTGTGTTCTCATGGTGCACAGAGTAACCGAACTCAGCCTTTAACTTTTATGTTAACTTAGTGGTTAAAAGTTAAAGCCTTACACTGTGGTACCTCGACAGGTCATGGGCATTCACTGTCGACAAGGGCGCAGTCGGTCGGGCGTGATGCTGGCTTGCTACCTGGTGCACTTCCACCGTTTCCTACCGGACCAGGCCTGCAACGTCATCCGGTTGATGCGGCCAGGTGAGCGACATAGTCAACTTGAAACTTTCACCGGCCCACGTCTAGTTAGTTTGGAGTCAGAGTGAGAAGTAAGCCGTGATGGCTCAGTGTCCGGGCGCTCGCCTTTAATTCAATATACGAAGACTCCGAGTTATACGAAATAGTGTTATAAATATAAATAGTGTTATACGAAACCCGAGTTCGAGCCCCGGTGCCGGCACCAATGAAATGGTTGATTTTAAGTGCTGACTTATCACGTGCTCAGCTGTGAAGGAAAACATCGTGAGCGAACATGCATATTCTTCGAAATAATTAAAAAAAAAAAGTATTTCGAAGATATGTGAAGTCCGCCAATCCGAAGTGGGGTTGCGTGGTGAGGAGACCTTTGCCCAGCAGTGGGACATGTATCGGCTGTTACTTTCTTTCTTTTTTTTTCAGAGTGAAAAAGTCAAAAATTTAACGGGCTCCGGCTACCTCAATCACCATACGAAACGCGCAAGTATTTGTCATACTTCCACTTTACGCTTTGTGGTAAAAACGTCTGTGCGCGAATCCAGAAACTTTTCAGCCCTTTTCAGTCCTAATGTTTTGTCATATATGCGGAGATTAGCACTACAAAAAATTAAATTTCATGTCTGCTTTATATGAGATCGTGATAATCCATCCAAATGTTGTATAGACATAGAGGAACTAGCTAATGCCACTTCGCTTCATCTAGAGAAATCTTACGTACTCAATTCGACACTATTTAGAAACACATACATTCTTTTTTATATATAGAGGAATGGAGGGAAATATTTTTCGTTCCCCAGGCTCCTTGGATTTCCCCGAGCAAGAAGAAGTCGTTGACAAGTACTACGAACACTTGATCGAAGACAATCCCCTCAGATTCGGTGTCAGCGGTGAAGTAATGGAGGAGTTCATAGAAGCGGCCAGAGATTACACAAAAAAAGGCGTATAGCTCGTTTATACAATCTGTGAATTGTAAAAAAAAAACACTGTGAATCAATACTGTGATTTCGATAAGAAAACTTTGTTATTGAATTGTGTATGGTGATTACTTTATTAAATGTTACTGAATAGAATCTCCCTGGGTTTTTGTCGAAACATGTTTAGTTTTAACACAAACTTAAATAAATTGAATTTTCATTCGACGCCAAAAAGAAATTGAACTAGGTAGTGTTTTAGCATAGTCAAAGCATGTAGTAGTAAATACGTGACAAGAAACTAAATTTTCAAAAAGACAATTTTATCTAACCTTGTAGAACTATGATTGATTTGATGTCCTTTTGTTATTCATTAAAAATGTATACATTTTAATTTCATTTACAGATAGCTTAATTAATTTTGTGATTTATATGTCTCGCATTTTCCGTTACGATTCATCATCATCCTCCTTTCCCTATCCGACCTAGATGGGGTCGGCACAACACTTTAACCATGTTGTACGCAGTGTTGCCTGTTTTTTACGACCGGCCGCCTACCTGACGTCAACTTTCATTGGAAAACAAACACCCAGATCTGGAACAATAAATAGTCACACAAATATTTGTGTGGGAATCGAACTCACGACTCCCGACGCAAAGCCATTCGCTTAGCAACGGCGTCACCGAGTCATATTTACGACATACGACTTTCCGTTACGATAAAGCTTCGTAATAAATGACAAAGAACCAAGAGAAAATTACAACCCATAAATTTTTTTAATCCTAATTTTCCTCCTGCTTTTGCTAAATTAAAACAGGAACCACCAGTTAAAATCTAGCAATTCAATTAAAACTCAGCATAATCGGAAATACAAAAAATAATCTCGACATGTTACGGAAAACCAATGATATCTACTAATTTCTTCTACCAAACAATTTCGGTAGCATCGGAAAAATCGCCCACCGTATTACACTTTATTCTTCTGCAGCATACAAAAACAGATTTCATTCACTAAATTGTCTACATACAACAGCGTCCCAATAACAATTTCTTTATCGCTGGAAAATTTTAATGGCTTAACTGCCGTGTTTCGATTAAATTTTCGTTAACAGACTACGCTGAGAACAGAGACCCAACTGCGTAATATCATCGTATATTTTAAGAATAGCATTAACGCTGTGAGTACGGAAAGTTTAGTGGGAAACGTGTGTGTTGGTACAGAATTGATATTAATTGTAGATGAACATTATGACAATTGGGATATTGTATTTACTAGTGTCGTATTTATGAAACGTTCTAAGCGTTACTATCTAAGTGCGAAGTTAAGATACATTCGGAGTAAATCAATCAATATCTAAACTGTGATCTCATGATTTTAAAACTATAGAACACGTGATAATTCTGCACTTAAAATTATAATGAACAACTTCATTAGTGCCCTCACCGGGATTTGAACTAGGGTTGCTTGAGTATATCGAATTAGAAGCGAACGCTTGGACACTGTGCTATCACGTAACTTATAACGTGCCCAGCGGTGAAGGAAAACATCGTGAGGAAACTTGTATGTTTTTGAAATAATAAAAAAAATATATCGAAGATATCAATGGAGTCAGGTTATGAAATATGCCCTTATGCCGTAATACCCTCTGTGCAGAGGACACCTTTGCCTATGCATGACTTATATACTTTACTCTTAACCTAAAAACTCTACATTTCAAAATAACTACATTAGATAGTCCAGATCACATATTGCATGGGTCTGGAATAAATAATATGATAAACCTTGACACTTCTAAATATTGCTTTTTTATATTAGAAGGTGGCCAGAGAGTTGGCGGTTAATTTTTTGTTAAATAATAACTTCCCATGGACATCTGCAGCACCCGTAGGATGGTCACCTTTGGAAAAAGTGACTACCTCAGTCACCAGATCAAACGCTGAACTAATTGCTGAATATTTTGACTTCTGGGAGCAGTGGGAGTATTCAGATTAATATTTCCCCGGAAGCGTCTAAGCGCTCGTACAAAACTCAACGGCAAAGACTGCCGTGTGGACACACCAACGTCCCCACTATGGTGAAGAAGAAATAATTAAAAAAAATCGAAGGAGGAACAGGATAGGGGGAAACGGAAAACTTTCACATTGGTAGGGCCACGCAGCAGCCTCGGCTGTTGCACGAATGGGCAGGCTCGTCCGGGTAAGTACCACGACCACACAGAAGACCGACGTAAAGTGGGAACCCTCGGGTGTAGCAGATGTCCATGTGCGGCGGTATTCACTCAACATCAGCTAAACCGTCTGTACGCTTGGCAACTATTCACATAAAAAAAAGTAATGTGAGAATGATTATATGGTAATCATTCACACATTATCTTTTCATCATCATGAGTTCAACACCTTGAGTTTACGATTTACTGATGCGATAAAACTAAAGTAATATAAACATTATTATTATTATCAATCAATTGGCAAATGTACTTGACACTTTTCACGCGAGTAAAAGTAACACAATTTGTGCGTCGATGCCAAATCCATTCGCCAAATCTCCTGGCAGCGATCCAGATGCGTGTGACGTCAAGATAGCCGCAACGAAAATAACGGCGGCAAACCGTTTCGCGCCACAGTTTTCTCTGTTTATCTCGAGTCGAATAGCGGTGGGTAGGCGACTTTTCTTGTTTACGCGGTTTATATTTCTGGAGATTGTTTATCGTCATGTGGGCGGGATGCGATAAAGATTTGTAAATTTGACAGTTTTTGGTGTTTATTTTTTTTTTAATAAGGCGAACTTAAACAAGGTTCAATGCCAAAGGTATACAATACCGCGGTAAATACTTAACTTATATATGGCGTTGAATCGTGATTTTTTTCTGTTTCATCATTATTTTGTATTCCATTCGTTGACGTATTTACATATAAAAATTTAAAAATACTTACCGAATGACATAAATACATTTAATGTTTTAATTGGGCACAGCACTTTCATAAATATTTTTGTCTTTTTACCGTTCACAGTATATAATCCTGAATACGCGTACATTAAGACTTAATTAAACTTAAATTGGTTACCATGAGTACCGTGCCAAAAAGGACCAACGTGAAACTAGCCAAGCTATTTTACAAATACGCAGACTCAGCACCTAAAGAGGAGATCAAAGAAGAAACTAAAGAAGACAATAAACAGTATGAGTCATACCCACCGTATAATTTCTCGTGGTTTATCAAGGACAAGGTAGCGGCAATGGGTTGGCCTCAGACCGTTGAAAATTTAAATTATTTAGTCGACGCCGGTATCAGCCATCTGATTACGCTGTCACCGGAGAAGTTGCCGCCAATTTATGACTTTGACAGGAAATTAAAATGGACCGAGATCGGAATCAAGGAGTTTGGGGCGCCCACTTTGAAGCAGATAATAAAGTTCATTGAAATATGCGAAAGGGCGGAAATGAGAGGGGAGGTAAGATTAAGAACGATTCAATCATAAGTAAAATTTTTTTAAGAGTAAAGAGAAAAAAACTGTATTTGTTACGTACACTTGATAAAAGTTACCCAGAGTGGAGTATAAAATGCATTATTTTATCTTAGAGTTGATAAAAAACCACGACCAAATAAAAAAATATTAAAAAAAAATCATGTAATTAAAATCAGTTTTGTGCTTCTCAATTAAGTGAATGCTAAACTTACTTGCAATTTCGTAAGTTTCATAAACCTCTTTTGACGAGAAGTACCTAAATTTTGTTATTCAATATACAGCGTGTCTTCACAATCGCGACAATAAATGAACACACATATAGGATAACTTTTTAAAATTGTATTAAACATTTACATTCTTTAAACATCAATATTTACAGAGTTATTAAATTTTCCAAAACAAAGAATTTTAGAACATCCTTCTTTACGTATAAAACTGTAACGTTAAGTTCATTTGTAAAGGTCACAAAGCATATGAATGGGTTGACTGAATTTAAAAGAGACAAGACATACTCTGTTAGAAGGAGAGGCTTGTAACGCGACGCTGTGGCAACGAATGACAAGTCTCAGAATGTATGAATCAGCCAGTTGTAGTTGTATAGATGTTACAAATTTTGTTTCTTTTTTATTTAATTAGTTTGTTTGAAGGAAAAATATTTTTTTTTTATCATGGATTTTTTTAACTGTAATATTGTCTATTAAACTTATATATTAATTATTGTCGCGATGGTAACGACACGCTGTATAGTATGGATTATGAGTGAGATCGTCGTAATTACCATCACAAAGTACACAAAGTCTTGTGAACTGAACTGGCCAACGTCCAGTAATGATGACACTTAAGAAGTAGCGATTTTGGTTCTAACGATACTCTTTTTCAGGTTATCGGCGTTCACTGCAGACATGGGCGCGGTAGGACGGGCACTATGCTGGCTTGTTACCTCGTCCACTTTAAAAACATGGCGCCCGAGCGCGCCGTCCTCACAGTACGTGTACAGAGACCGGGTACCGTAAACACTGTCTATATTCAGGTGCTCTATATGGTTCAGGTGCAGGCGGGGACCCAGAGTTAGAATTTGGAGGAAGTCAGAGATCGAACTCTGTTGAATATCTGACATGGAACATGTTACACCAAAGATAAAAATATAATTTTCCACGCTAACTAATAACATGTGTAGTAAAAATTCATTATTTAATTCTTAAAACACTCCAATACTTACTCCTTCCCATTATAAAGGAAAGGATGTGTTATATTTTATAGTTTAGGGAAAACATCTTACTGCTAGTGATATGATACCAGGATTACACAAACTATAAATACTCACCCACAGATATTTTATACTATAGATAAACTGACCACTTTATCATCAGTTCACTACTTTTTATTAAAACATTGGCATATTTTTAAATATTTTTATATTTCTCAGAGGAACAAATTTGTTTTAATAAAGAAGGTGACGATTTTAAATAAGAATAAAATTTGGCACGTTTCTTTTATGTTGACCTTTGTTATCAGCATCGCCTTCAGAACTGGAGCTGTTCAATATCACTAGCACCACTATGAGAAACACTAAACTGTGCGACTCTTTTCGCATCTGACATCCGAAGGAGTGCTAATTTGCTTAATAAATGGGTATTTTGTTTGTAGGTTTACATTATATGAACACTTGGGTTTTGGCATAACTATAGGAAAAATTTCAAAACAACAAAACTTCAAATTATCTATTTAACGAACATTACACAAAAACATAAACAAGTCTGAATACATGCGCGTGGCTAGCCTATTAAAAGAAACAAATGCCCCGTTCCCTCTCCTCCTCACCGCGTTACTAGGTAACCGAAAGCGCGTGCATGCGGGGAATAACCGGGAATTTCGGATCGCGGTTCCGTGCTGCTCATGATCATGTCTGACGAACGTGGTTTTAAAATTTCGCGCGGTTTCGGAAAACGGGACAATTTTGCGTCCCGAAGATTTGTTCGGGGACAACGGGACGTATGGTCAGTTTAACTATAGATATGTTATACGCTCACAAAATTACCGGTCGAAAGTGTTCCAAACACAGTGATAGTAAGAATCACACATTTTATTTATGCAAACTTTCCGGACACATGCTGAATGGTGTAAAGAGATTAGTTAGTGTAATTAACTAGGAAAAAGTAGAAAAGAGAGTTGGTTTCCTGCACAGATAAGTTTATTCTTTATGGTTATAGTACAATTTTGCTATGGTTTGTTTTATTTTTTACTATTATTACAGGTTCGTGTGAAACTTACGAACAGGAGAAAATAGTGTGCTACTATCACGACTGTGTAAGGGGTACTGTAACGAAACCCGATTACCGGTTAGTTGACGATAAGGTCTACTTTGATTGCTCCATGAAATATACTTATCCCGACGAGGACAAAGAAGCCAAACCGGACGAAACTCTAGGTGATGACAAATCTGTGTTAATGATGAAAGACACTCCTCTACAGTTAAATTTGACGGATGTTAACACCGAAGAAGGGGAGGAACCGAGAAAATTCCGCAAATCAAAAGCAATGGTTATCAATCATAAGATATATTTTTAAATATAAAAGAGATACAAGTTTCTAATGTGAGCACAAGGTTTTATTTAAAGCAGGTTTAATTTTTTTCAGTAATAAAATTTTTTAAACATGAAAATCATAGAAAAAAATAGAATATACTATAAATAGAATATACTAAAAATAGAATATACTCTACTTATATATAAGTAGAGTATACATCATTATTATATAAAAATAGAATATACTAATTTTCATAGGCAAAGTTCTTAAATTAAGATATCATAGTAATAACTATAGAATGTTTTAATAATGATGTTATCAATGTGACAGTAATTAATTAGAATGTAATGGGATAATTTTAATGACATAATTCATGTATGTTGGAATAACTATTTCAAGACTACTAATATAAAATTAAAAATGTATGTTGCAAGAAATTGTTGTGTTTGGATTAGTTTGTTGTGACTTGTTCTACTTTATGCGGGGAGCCTGGTAATATGGCAGCCAAGTAAGCCTGGCTGCTCCCAACGCTTTGGTACAACAGCAAGGGACAGAATTGTCTGATTCCTCCTCACCAAGATTTGGATCCTCTGACCCACTGAATGTTGGACAATACTGTTGATCTGATTTACATTGGAGAAGTTATTGTGGTTTATTGATCCGAATTGAAGCAACTGATCGTTTTGCCTCAAACCCTGAAAAAGAAATTGCAAGATGGAAATAATTGTTAAAATATTTTGCCAAAGGTTAGGATTTGTAATCCTCCCAAAATCTCAGTAAATTATCACATTGAATATACACAAAAGAGTAAATATTTCAGAAATATTATGATACATATAATTGCACAGTATAGCATATCGATACAGAGATTAACTGAAACCACATAGGTTTTGTATATTATTTACCACAGTATTAAATAAATCTATTTTTGAATTTTTGCACGGTATTAAAAAAATCTACTTTTACTTTTTATTTAAACTTAAATTTCTAATGTTTTAGGTAAAATAACTCCTAATACCAAAACCAATAAATGATAAATATAAAAAATGTAAACAAGTAGTAGAAAAATTCAAATTTATGCATATGACGCATAAATTTGTATTTTTCTAAAAATTTAAATGATTTTTTTATATACTTTTTATAATAAGAGACTGTCCTATATTGCAGTCAGAATATGCAATATGCATAGTTACCTATGTTGAAAAACTTTGTTTTTCAATTATTACATAATCTAAACAAATCAGAGACAGTGATATATTCACAAAATACAATAAAGAATGAATAGTGATTGGTAGTGTAGTGAAATATTTACATTGTCATATGCAAGCATCATAGTGCAAGCTTTCATAAATTCTATTTTGTGTTATTTTGAACTTTAGTGAGTTTATCAATAGATTTAATATATTAAATTGAAACTAGTTTACAGATTTTATCGCATTTTTATTTTGTCTTAAACAACAATAGAAAATCCATAAAACAGTTTCATTTAATATTTATAATATTCGCGTAAAATCAATAACTCAATATAGAGAAATTTCAATAATTCGAAAATAATCTGAGTATTAAAATTATACTTACAGCTATATCTGCTGGAGAGCCATCCTGAACATGTTCAATAACAGCGAAACTCGGAGCTTCACTTCTTTGTGTATTAGGAAAATTAAATGCATGACCATTAGTCATTTTAGTTGGAGATCTTTCCCTTGCCGCAGGTAAATTATTATTCCCCCTTTGAAAGTTCAAATGCGCTTCATTAAGGCCCTCTTCTATCATTTTCATTAATGATTTGTGGTCATTTTGGAGGCCTATAAGATATTAGACTGCTATAAATAACAAAATTTTATGAAATCTAGGAATATATGGATTGTTGTAACCATGTATAACAATATTGTTTAAAAAAGCAAATAAGTGTCTATAATTCAAAATGTTGTTGGTTTATCATATAATTACACCATAATACAGCTAGGAAAAATACAAGATATTATTATTAATTGAGCATCAATAAAAACTGAAGAAAAGAAATTTATAAATGAACAGCTAAATTTATAAAAATAAAAAATTGTCATAAAAGTAAACAAGTTACTACTTTGTTAGCATATCTTACTCAATAAATTGCTTAGTCACCGCCATCACAGAATAGGAGTGTACTTACATATAATACGATGGCGCGCATGTCTCACTTTATATACGTCAATATCAGCCCGTGGGAAGCCATCAATATCTACCAAGGGGTCATCCATACCAACATTATTGACCACCAGGACTGCAGTTTCAGCGCGAATTTCACTTTCGATTCTATCTTTTTCTTCCATTAGTCTCATCACTCGATCCCTGGCTGGACCATCCATGTTATAGTTCACCATTTTGTTCTTTTTAAATATTTTTCTTTAAATATTTAATTGGCTTATGATACCTACAAATAGCAATAACAAACGCAAAAGTCAAAACATAAATCGGGATCAATTATGCAGATACTTAAAATACATACTCTCCTACAATATATATATTTATTATAGTATATACCGAAGTGTTGCTACATCACAAACAAGCTAAATTACAGGACGTTGTAATAAATAGCATGTTGTTAAAAAATTTATGTGTATTAATAGTTATCGTTAAAGTACTATCATTACATCGGTTATAGAATATACTTTTGTAGCATCTTTTGTATTGCTTTCTAAGCGTTACACATCACCAATTTTTGATCTAGTACATACCTTTAAAACAACCGACCAGTTTTTCATGACATTTCCATGAAATATTGAAATCTGGAGGTGTCAGCTTTTGCTATGATAATCGTTCAGGCCATATCCCGATTGTCTCAGGTTCAAATCCAAAAAAAAAATTTTCTATAAATTTAAAATTTCGTCAAGTGTATATTGATAGAAATTAATATAATTAAAATTTTCTTTTACTTTTTAACTTTAAAATCAGTTTGTAGTTTTAACGTGGTTTTTTCATAGCTATTAGCTATTTTTAGCTATTTAACTAACTGTTATTTGTACAAAATAATATGAATTTTTAGTTTATTAATTGCGGTCATTATTATACTCTCTTACTTTCTCCATTACGTTTAAATATGAAATTCGTCGCAGTATTGATATTCCGAGATAAGTATTGCACTTTCGTGTAGGAAAATGGGTAAAATTTTAGTAGGCTACTATTTCGATATAGTAAACAAAAGAAAAATTAAAATAGAGAACTAATAATAATGAAAACGATTTAAAAAATAATAATACTTTGTTATTATAAACCACGTTATAATAGCCCCAAAAATAATATTTTTATTTTAATATGACATACGATTAAATAAATATTATTATATTTCTACAAATTTTAATTATCTAAAATTTTTTTTTTTATGCAAAAAGTTGTCAAACGAGCAGACGGTTCACCTGATGTTAAGTGAATACCGCCGCCCATGGACAAATCCCGATTTTGACAACAGTTTGAAATTGGGCTCCGGCTACCTCACTCACCAGACGAAACGCGAAAGTATTTCTCATACTTAAAGGTCGTGGTACTTTATTTATATGCGTTCTACGAAAATTAAAATATTATTATTAAAAAGATTATTAAAATATTATTAGAAAAATATTATTATTTAAATATCTCTAAATCACATAATTGTTAGTTGAAATTTTAAGTGCCGAAAACTGATTTATCATGTGCTCAACTGTGAAAGTAAACATTTTGACGAAACTATGCATATTTTTCAAATTAAAATTAATAAAAGATAAAAATATTTCAAAGGTGAAGTCTGCCAATCCCCACTAGGTTCGTGTGTTTGGCTATTATTTTTATTTAATTTTCTTATTTTAAAATCATAGGTAATATCTACAAGACGATATGTGTATGCTTTTTTGTGTAGAACTGCAAGCTTCCCTTTGGTCATATCATAATTAGATTTGGTTGCATGATGTCAGCAGTACAAATTTTGCTATATATAAATAGTTTGCTTTTCTAAGTGTATCCATTTTTTTAATAAAATTCTAGGCATAAATAATGTTATATAAAAATTATAAATATTTAAAATCACTCGTAATAATTAATTACAATCATTTGAACTTATCTTAAAAAGTGCGTGATATATGGGCATTATTTTACGCGCGATCATTCATTACTAATACACACACCAGTTCGTTTCAAAAGTATACGACGCATTTATGAATGACTTCAGGTTCCGCATTGTCAACAAGTTCCGTTTTTTAGGGAATAACGGCAATTTTTTTTGTAAAAAAAAAAGTTTGTTTTTATCTCAATATACGATTATACTACAGAGTCTGAACCTCCTGTGTGAATGTGGACACCTTTAAAAAAGCCACCCTGTATACAGCTGATTTTATAGACGACGGACATATTAACGGAGCATATGCAGAATTTCCAAATCTGAATCATGTACGTACTTGTGACCTAATTTTTTTTTTCATAGATCATTTTTAATTTTTTCAAACATTATGGACATTCCTATTAGTAATTCCTGCTTTACCGTCTCAATACAATAACTTATTCACGAGCACTAAAATTTTCGCTGAATGAATCTTCACGACATAGTATAAAACAAAGTTAGACCTTTAAAACTGCGCTACGGATCTTGATGCGTTTTTTTACTACATAGTGTGATTCAGGAGGGAGGTTTATATGTATAATACATGCATAATAATAGTAGAACACATTTAGTATTAGCATTGTACCCGTGCGAAGCCGGGGCGGGTCGCTAGTAATTACTAAACCGCTTATCAATAGGGTGACCACTCTTAACGGGATAAACAAACAATAATTGAATTGATATTTTTCTGGTTATTTCTTGTCTTCGTCTAAAAACCCTTTCGTCTAAAAAATCACTGTATAGTTATATAGTGCATTTTAGAAAACCTGCAATAAGTTTGAAAACAATAAAACAAGCACAATTTTATTTGTTATTTTTTATTTTGAAATCAATAATGAGATTTTTTAAACTGTTGCTCTTAAGAATCATTATTTTATACAAAAAATATTGCAAGCCTTTAGTAAATTTACTTCGATTTTACATTTAACAAATACAACAATGTTTTAAATAAAAATGACCAGATTAATAGTTTTACAATATTACTAATAATAAGGGTTTAATCGTAGAGTCAGATTTATAGTAAAATTAACAAGTAAATGTGAGTGTTGGTTAACATTTTTAAATGAAGGAAGGTTACATTTTTAAGCGCTCTTTATATATCAAAAGTAATCTAAGCTTTATTAAGAAAATGTCTTTTTTTCGACAAGTGTACTTCAGTTATTTCACTTAAAATTAAAGTCCGCTATGGAATTTTTTTTTACGCAAAGCGGCCCATCGGTTTGGTGCGCCAGGCGACTCTGGCGTAAGTCGCGAGCGTACCAAGTCCGAACAGCCAACATATATATAATACCGCTAACTCACATATAAAATATTGTGCAAAAAATCGTAGTATAAATAAATCACATACATAATGTATATAACTAATGACAATGACGAATTGTCGAATCATTCGGCATTCGTTCGAATGCGGAACGAACGGAAATGACAAAAGAACCATGATTGTGCAAAATAATGAAACAATATTACCTATTATCACCTGGTAGTATTGCCGGAGGCTTTTACCAGACCAGTATCGGCGCGTGTAGCCTGGCGAAACTACATGCAGGAATTGTGGGACGGGTAACCGCCACCGACGATACCGTCAATGTTCGTAAACGAAATGGTCCCTAAAGAAAACTAATACAAAGAAAATTTTCCAAAAATCACACAGCGCCCCCCCGGTCAGCTCGCGGGGACTACACGTAAATAACATACAAAAACATACACTAACAATTATGGCAACGTTGACAATAAATAAGGGGAGGAAAGAAAACTTATTCACAAGGCAATGTACGAAGTAAGGTATTGGATTTTCTTCACATTTATAGAGAAATAAATACTGGCGATATAAATAAGTGGACAAACGTGTGTAGACTTGCACGGATTGGTAAAAAAAAATATACAAGGCAACAAGTGCAGACTTTAAGTTTACTACATTATCATTGTTGATCTTAAACTATAAAGCCACATTCGCAAACTGTTTACAAGCTTGGCTTCATTCGCGAATAGGTTAATTGTAAAGTTAGTATAATCCAATAAACACATCGCCACTAGATCCGGACGACGTGTCAGACGCCCTGATCGCTATATGTATGTATATTATATTATTTTTTTATGGATTTTTATCTATTTTTTACATAGTACACATTTTAAACTAAGCTAATACAGATGGAAAAAAATACGCAAATGAACAATAGGTATAAATGATGTAGATTATAAATCAGAGCGTCTGACAGCGGCGTTGCGGGTCGATCGTACATCAGACCGAATCGATTACTCGGTCCGTTTCGTTTACAGTCGGAAGGGCTCTCGTTTCTCCGTGGTCTTAGAGGCCGGGGTGCCGCGTCGGGCGAGCGGCGTGGTGGGGGCGCCGTTTTCAGACGCGTCCGATTTCTTGCGAAGCAAGCGGGAAGTCGCGGTCTGTTGGCCGGCTCGTACTGGAGTGGTGCTGCCCGACGGCGTCCTTTGCCTACCGAACGATCCACATTAGAACCACATCGAGCGAATTCGGAGCGAAACATGCACCAAAACAAAGACATCGACTCCCGCAACAAAACCTAAGTACGGACACAATAACGGCAATCAATACTACGAAATCACAGCAAACTAAGAAAGTCTACAGAATAGCAGAGTGATTAGTTACCTAGTTGCGTTACTGTTAATGTGCTGGTCCTTAAGAACCGGTATGCGACTTCTGCCGGGCGTTTGGCCATCGGTGGAGGCAAACGACCCACTCCTATGGCGGGCGATGTTAGTGAGCGTACAAGTACAGAACATTAGTAACAGACAACAAAGAAATATACATACTATTTCAAACTGTTGTCGCATACGCTACCGCAATTTCCCCGATATAGTTAAGCATAATTTATTTATGTAAAAATATCTAAAGGTGTAAAATATAACACTGCATGTGCAACAACAATATTGAAAGAAACTGAATAACATATACATAACTCGTCACAGTGTGACAAAGCCGAAGATGAAATTAATAGACTGTGGACAAAGTTTTAAAGCTTTGATAGTGTACATAATACATAACGTAGAAAATAATTTGTTCAATATACATTAGTATTTTCATGTCTCAAAACCGTTCCAAACATATCATAAAAAATTTTCATATCTGGTCAAAAAAGCATAATAGACAGAGTCAAAAGCGTGTTAAGGTTGTGGATTAAAAAAATATCAAAACCTTTTTATTATAAATAGCTTACAGAAGTAACAAAAAACTGTGCATATATTTATATTTAACATTACAGATGGGGTGAATAAACGTGTTTGGATATCGGATGAATATGGTCTGTGGCATATGATAAAAGCAAATGATAGCTGAAGAGAGTTGGTATGAATTGTTTGCGTGGGTCCTGTGAATCTGAATGCGGTAGCGGATGGAGGGTTATGACGTGAAGACGTACTGAACCAAAAGTATGAAATAAAACTCAACGGGCGTCAGTCAAAATAATCGGGCAAAACCATAGCTAGCAGTTTAGAAGCCTGTACCCTTTGCCGTCGCGCTGAGTCGGCTTTGGTGCTTCGCCGCTCGACTCGCTCATGTTACTTTCGTACTCATTGTCGCTCGTCATTCCCGATATGCTGAAGAGCGAGGAGTCGTCTTCGGGACTCCTCTGGTCGGACTTCCGCGAGGGGTTGTGGGAAGTGGGGCTGGGTTCCTGGGATAATTCCCTGGAGTGGGATTGGCGGGACGCCTTCGAACCGCGATCAGCCGAGGGTGACCTGCGCGAGCGATTACCCACGTAGACGGGTATCTTTGTGGAGCCTTGGGTCAGGAATGCTGGATGGTTGTGCGAAAGAGATTTGGGATGTTCGGACGCCATCGAGGACGGCTGGGAATGTGTTGAGCTGTTTTTTTTAATTTCAGTATCCATTTCCGTATTGCATGGCATGCGGGAAGGAAAAAGATATTTATTTAATTATCGTCATCAAATACTCGAACCATTTTATAAATAAATACGTGTAGTACTGTTTGTTAGATTAATTTCACGCCTTAAATCTTATTAAGCTATGTTATTTCTTGGAACTACTCGTAACATGCTTTGACGAACATGAAGAATACCTAGGAAGTTCAAATCCCACCACCGGAACGTAACATTTTAAAATATCCAAACATCCGGTATATGTCCAATATTGAATCGTCCAACATATATACGCCTCACGTGTCGTGCACATCATAGACAACACTACAAAAACCTATAACCCCCAAAAAGCGAAATCAGGTGCCACTTAAACTCGGTGCTCATAGTCATGATCGTAATTTGTTCATATTTATTTTACTTAGGAAGATCATATTTATGATACGAAATAAACATTTAAATTTATATAAATCATGTTCAAAAAAATTGGACAACGAATTGCGACCATTGATTTGGGCACGTCAACAACGCACGAGCAAACTCCAATCAGTGTTTGTACCTCGCTAGCGCCGGTACTGGTGAGAGTGTTGGTATACTGGAAGTGCGGTACATCCCTCCGCTTGTATACCTGTCCCATTATTGGTCAAATACAATTACAAACATAGTTTTGGGTCTCTGTGCTTATAAATGCAAATTTTGTACACGGTTACACATATGCTACAAGTGTAATTATCAAAATAGTAATAAAAAATTTAGTCAGCATGTTGAAATATTAACGTTAGAAAATGTTAAAAAACAAAAATGTTAAAAAACGCACCTCCCACTGGCTGGTGTAAGGAAGCCTGTTGGTGTTCTTGGCCGTGAGCCCCCATTGGGCGTTGTCACGCCAAGTTTGCTGGCGTTGGCCGCAGCCCGCGCGGTTGAGGTCCTCGTATTTGTCACTTTGCGCATCGGAATGCGAGATGGGGTAGATACGTCGTCTGATAGGAAAAAAACATGTTTGTCTCTTATTATAGTACGATTATTATATTTTTAACATTTTCATTATTTTTCGTGATTTAATCCTGTGATAATTTTATGGACTTACATCCTCGTCTACATGGTCCATGGTCTTTGTATTTATTGACCATTTAGGTCATAACTTTACATGAATACTTTAATAAAATAACCCGTTTTCTAAACAAAGGTACATAATATAGAGATGCATATTTTAGGCGTTTAGTGACGCATTGACGCAACACTGGCAATGTAAGCATTTAGAAAAATAAAAAGTTTTATAAGGTTGTTTAGCGTAGTGGATAAACGGTTTCTTTCCTTTGACTGATAGATAGCAGGTCAATGAAGAATCTTCACTAATTTACACAGCATAATTTATATGATGTATATGCCGAACCTGTGCTATCCAGGCTTAAGTTTGATCCATGCCTGGACGGTGGTTTCGAGCCCGTCCTAGATCCAGGTCTGGAACCAGGCCTTGATCCACCAGGGGTTAGTGTTGATCTATGGGGCAAAGAGTAGTTTGTTACAAGTTGATAGGTTTCAATATAGCATAGAATTATGCTAAGACTTTATTTTTTATTTATCCCAAATTATTCAAGTTTGCCTTTTGGTTTGAAAGATTGAATAATACCTGGGAACACTGGGCTTCCTGTATCTAGTTCCGAGTCCACTGGCAGCTTCATTGTCACTGAGGGAGTCTGGAGTGCCGGCACTTAGGGAAGAACGGGATGCTCGTCCAGTAGCACCCGTACCGGACATGGGAACCGAGCGAGCGGTGCGTTCCCTTACCTGCGTATGTCAATCTCTCATTTAGCACCAAGAATTACAATCATTACACATAGAAAATTATTTTTTTCAATAAAAATAAAAAAGCTAATTTAAAGTGACAAAAGTTTCTGTAATCACAAAATAGTGTGTTCGCTCTTAAAGGCTGATTCTTATAATTCTATAAGCGGACTTTGTATGTTACAACACGGTGACTGCATTGCGTGATCATTGTCAAGTTCTAATTTACTGGCATGCTGAGCTGAGAATAACTTGCCCACCGGAAAACAGTTATCCTAAAACATTTACAACAAATTCAAAAGATGAAACTAAACGAAGGCAAGAACCAAATAAAAACAATCGAGCATCAATCGCGACACTTTCACACTGCCTAAGTAGCGTTACCCAGTGACATCCTGGAGAAGGCTGGTATCCATGGTGATGAGTATAGTGGTGGGCGCCCGGCGTCGTTGAACCTTGAGATCTTGAGTGTCCGTAAATGAAAGCTTGCTTAGTGCCATGCGTCGAGCCCACGTGCAGCGGGTACGAGCACGGGAGCTCTTCCCGTTGCCTTAGTGCCTCAAAAATAGGCCTCAGCTGCTCCAAAAATTCTTCAGCTAGACGCACCAATACAAAATCGGGACTATCATTATGGATGACTGGGAAAACATCCGTTACACACGAAATCTTTCATAGTGCCAATCGTATGTACGCATCGCGCATATCACTGTGTTACGACTAATTCGCACGGCGGCGGTTGACGGAGGACGGTGGACGCGAATATTTCGGTTTATGCGAGTATGAAGGAATCTGGCGATAGGGTCGGAGGTGATGAACGAGATACTTTACCATGAGATCCTAAGGCGTTGACGTGCCACCTTTCCAATGCAGTGGTTCCAATGATACAGTAGCAAACAACACCAAACACTACACGAGCTTTTCAATATAGCCTTGAGCACACCAATGCAATACGACCAAACGCTACGAGCTGAACGCATGCTGCACTCACGGACAATGCCTCTTGCAAATGGATCTTTAAATCCATGTACAAGTGCAACGGAATAAGCAAAAAAAATCCCAAACCGATTGCTCCCTCTATCAACTACTGTGCGCTTTACGTGGTACTTGTGCGAAATTACAGCTATATTCTAACCTGTTGAAAAGAGGAATGTATAGAACATGTACAATATATAAAATATTCGTAGAGACCGTCTGCCACTTACCTTAGTGATTGGTCCGGTGGACGGTGGTGTGTTTGTGTTAGAGCGGGGCGTACGCGGTCGGAACGCTGCCATGCTCTGTGAAACTCCATCGGCCAGTATGAACTGTTCCCTCAGTTCGATGTTCGTGCGTCCCTTAGCTGCATGCGGGCGGCGTCCAGTGCGTAGGTTTGCAAACGGGATAGGACAGGGGAGGCACAACGAAAACCATTCGGTAACGGGACAGACGAGGGGTAAAAAAACACAAAAGTGTAAAAAACAAGGATGCGTGCAAGGTAAGAAAGGAGGAAAAAAATAACAAACAAAATCAGAAAAGTCAAAACAAAACAACATAACACATCAAAATAAACAAATTTGAGGGGATTTTGTTATAATGTGCAGTTAGGAACGGGAATTTGTAAAATACAATTAGTGTTTTCTTTCACCAAAAATATGCTATGTCAACAAAACGAGAGCAAGGTCAAAAAAAATCTAAACATAACAAAAAATATAATTTTAATCGTTGAAATTCTGTTAATACTTGAAATAAGTATTAAAACATTTTATTTATAAAAGTGAGTATTTACATTAAGTATAAATAATGTTTCGAAACGTCTTGCACTTGTTTTATTGAATAAATAAAGAGATACATCATAAAATAATAAACAATACAAAAATGCAACCAAATACCATTTTCATGCTGAACCAGTAATATTTACAAAAAGCATTTTATTTAAAGAATTTTTTTTTTAAAAATTATATAAATAAACTACAACTACTGTGTCACATTTTTAATTTATTAGTGATATAGTATTTATAATTTTGCTATTAAAGCATATCTACTAACTTTCCCATGTAGCAAAAATTAAACTTATACGTTATAAAATAATATTTAAGCCACACTACATGGCAGGTACATGGCTTGCGTTTGAACCAACGTTCATATAATGTATTTTTCTTTTAAATAAATATATTAAAAATAATTGAACACAATTTATAAGTCGGTTCTCAAAGCAAGTCTTGTTATCTTACCAAGCGGGCAACAAGCTTCATGCTGCTCCGGCTTGCTCGGATCAGGCAGCGGAAGCACTAACGATACTACTTATTAAAGGATTATTCAGGAAGGATTGAACGCAAAAATAATATTAATGTAAAAAAATTATAAAGGAAAGAGGAATTGGATGGGGTTAAGCGAATACGAATTAGTAAATTAGTAGCGACATCAATAATTGTCGTGGATAATTTTTACGCTTACTGTAGCTGCACTGCTGATACTAGCGATAAACGTCCTTACTAATGTTTCGTGATATATGTGAAGTAGGCATGAAATTCTACCACAGTATTTATTGTAAAACTGTTTTATATTTACATGTTTAACTAAATAATGCGTAAAATTGTTTAAATAACTTGCTGTTATTTTTATTACTCAATGCTAACTATTTTACTGGCAACTCTATGGCTTGCGCATGTCAAAATCAACGCGTGTCGCGTCAATTATCAATTTCGTAGTTGGCGTCGGAACCGGACGACATTGTTCGCCGAACAATAAAATCCAGTTTTGTGTTATAAAACCGTGGTACATTTACGATTAATACGCGAAAACTGTGTTAAAATGACAGGGACTATAATAGAAAATCTCAGCGGCAGAAAACTAGCCGTATTAGTCACGTTTCTTTTGTTGTGTCAAGTAACTTGTTTTCTCATCGGCGGACTAGTCGCACCCACGCCAGCAAATGTTCAGAATATTCTCGGTACAGTGTGTAAGGACACGACAACGGCAAAAAATGACACAAAAACGTGGTTCTACAACCGCGGTAAAGGTTCTTGTAAGGTTGTAGACCTTGGCGACTTTCATCAAGATTTGTCCGAAACGGATGTAGTCTTTGCGTTCCAAATGCCGGTTCCGCGAGACAGAATGATCTTGGACTTTTCTAGATGGCAACAAAATTTGATAGGCGTTCTACAAGTCGAATTAAAGTATCACTCTCAAATGGAAGTTAAACCACGGAGCACTATAACAATGGACGCGCGATTGGCGTACAAAAACAAAGGCGAAGCGGATAATGCTTGGAAGCTTTATACTCAGTCAATCGAAAAACGGCACTTAGACTGTGAAATCGATGTGAAAAGTGAAGAATACTTGTACAATTGCTCAGCCATACCATTATTTGAGCTTGGTTCTTTGTATCATGATTTTTATCTACTCAATATAAGGTTACCTGTAGACACGCCCGATATGAATACTAACATAGGGCACATACAAGATTTGTGGCTTACTGTCATAAATCAAAATGGAGGTTTTACAAAAGTTTGGCTCTCTTTAAAAACTGTTTTCTTTCCATTTATTATTGGTATATTAGCCTGGTTCTGGAATCGCATCCATATGCTCCAGAGAAAGCCAGTATTACTTGAGAAAATGCTTCTAACTCTTGGAATAGCACTATGTTTTCTTAACATTCCTTTTGAATATTTAACATTACATTATGACCTTCCATTCATGCTTCTATTGGGTGATATTAAACAAGGTGTCTTTTATGCAATGCTCTTTTCATTTTGGCTTGTTTTTGCTGGTGAGCATATGTTGATTCAGGATACATCTGCGCAAAGTTCTCTAAAACAATACTGGAGACATTTAAGCGCAGTAGCTATGGGTTGCATTTCCTTATTTATATTTGATATGTGTGAAAGAGGTGTCCAGTTACGCAACCCTTTTTATTCCATCTGGGTAACTGACATAGGCACAAACCTTGCTCTAACTTTTATAATTTTGGCTGGAATATCAACCGGAGTATATTTTCTGTTCTTATGTTACATGGTGTGGCAGGTTTTTATTAATATTTCTCAGAAAAGGCAATCACTACCAACAATGTGTTCAGTAAGGCGTATGCATTACGAGGGAATTATTTACCGTTTTAAGTTTTTAATGTTGGCTACTCTACTTTGTGCTGCATTGACTGTCATTGGTTTCATTATGGGTCAAGTTGCGGAGGGTCAATGGAAATGGGATGAAACAATTGAGCTAGAGTATACTTCGGCATTCTTTACTGGTGTTTATGGAATGTGGAATATTTATATATTTGCCCTCTTGGTACTGTACGCACCGAGTCATAAGCGTTGGCCAGTTAATGAGAACACGTCAGACACCCAGAATTTGAGTGAGGAAATTGAATTTAGTCCATTGCCCAGTGAGAGGAATAGCGAGATTTCATCATTGACATCTTTCATCAGAAAGGCCACTTTTGATTAACTTTTCTTAACGCTACATTAACTTTTGAATTCTTAACTTTACATTTACTTCTGCGTAATGTTAGAAATGCCTAAGCTGTATGTTTTTAAGTAAACAGTTTTGTAATGTTTGGCTTCAATTGCCTAATTTAGTCTTAAGAAACTTTACCAGTATTACCTAGGAATTCTCATGAAAGATAAATGTATACAAATATTTAAGATAAACTGTAGTCCATATTTAAAGTTGTTATCTTAAGGCTTAGTTACTTAAACATTTTGTAATAGCTGATAGCATTAAAAAGTAGGTTAAAAAACGATGCTTTACAGTGTGTTTATAATTTTTTGTGTTTTCTTTTAAACAAGACCCTAAGTCACTCCCTCATCTTATTTAAATTAGATTTTTTACTTAGAATTTGTCTTAGATTAAAAAAATTGTGACTAATACAAGCTATTAGGAACAGGTTTTGTGACATTGAATTGATCAAGATTATTATTGGAAACCTTTTGTACCATGATTTTAATCTAACTTATTTTTTCTGTGATAATTTTAAGATGAATTTTGCCAACATATATTGCATTTTTAACAGTATTTTAGATGTTTGATTAGGATTAATGTTGCCAGCATTAATTATAACACTTTTCCGCTATTTTGTCGCGACTTTTAATACATATAGTCTGTAGTAAAATGAAATAAAGATGATTAGAATTTATTTGTTATTTTGTTATTTTATGGTAGCATCCTACACTTGATAATGAAAATTAACTCTTCCCGTCAACACCTGTAGTTAATGGACAATTACTCCCCTATGTTAGGGTATGTTAACACATACATATCAAAAGTGACTCCCGAAACGTTTTTGATTGACACTTTGAATAACAGAGATATGTCATAGACTTTCCCCTTCTTAAAAATATTTTTAACAAACGGAAAGTCATAATTTATAGTAGTACAATGCTCATCATATTATCAGCATTGTAAGTTATTATTACTTATGTAAGCCAATCCTCAAGAATATGTATTAATTAAATTAGTATGAAGTAATATTGTATTAAATATAATATATCATAATTATAATTAATTAACAAATATATAATAAGTAGTTGTTTATAAGCATTTCACTCATTGTATACAGAAAAAAATAACCTATTTAATAATGCTTGGAGCTTGGCTTTATAATAAATCTGTAATGTGTTCCAGTTTAAAATAATACATACTGCATTGCAATACAAATAAAACAAATCATCCAGTTATTTTTTTCGAACATATTACAGTTTTATAAATTCAATCATTTTGTTTCGCATCACCAAAACACACCTCAACATAAAACTGATGCGTCGAAATTAAATGTTGGGTAACATTTTAAGATATTTTTTTGGACTGTATAAGGAGAAACGAAATTGGTCATCATATTAAAATCTAAGACCGGCGTAGATTGTATCGATGGAAAGAATTTCGGCGATTTTTCATCATTTTTATTTATTTTCAATTCAGGTGTTTGACATTTTTAATTTAGCTGTTCACATATATGCATTGCAATCATAATTTTCATACATACATTTTTTAACAAGATTTGTCTGATTAGTTTCAATTTCATATCTCCCCATACAATTATTAAATTATTCAATTAATATCTTGATAGAAAGTTGTGTCTAAGAAAGCCGTATGAGATGAGCGCCGACCCAAAGACCTGCAGTCATTCGTTATTAAAAAATAACCCTCATTTAAGTTTGGAAATTTTTGTTTACCAATAAAATTTAAATAATAAGAAATGTAATTTGCACTGTTATGTATTGTGTATTATTGCTAAAAGTGTAAAAAGTAGTATAAAAAGTGCCTCATAAATGTAATATGGACGTTCATAATATCATAATTTTTCATAATTGAGCCACAATGTTATTTTCATCATATTAGTTTTTAGTACTAATATTTGTCAGAAAAGATATAAGATTAATGCCCGGTTTCTGAAACACTGATCGTAGAAGTCAACTAATCAGCTGTCAAATGGATTTTCAAATTGAGCGTTAGATTTACGATTGTGAGGAAGTGCTTGTTGCATTATATATGATTATAGCGTTTTTCATGGCCATTAAAAGTTTGGGGGTCATCTCATCGGCCTTCCTGTTGTCATATGGGTCGATATGGTCACGTACCTCTGCAGGGGTCGTTCTTGACGAGGAACTCGTCCAGGGCCACCCAGCCGCCGCCCACGCGCACCATCACGGTGGAGCGTAGGATACGAACCAGGCGCAGTTTTTGCGAGTCGCCGAACTGTCGGGGCGCATGGCATTGAGCATACGCGGTGTTATATTGGCCGTTGTATTTTGTAAGTGGTTTAAAACTATACGGACTTAGCCATACCTTTCCCGCGTATTAGGGTCAGATGACGTAATATATCTAATTCCCCAAAATAATGTCGAGTATAAACTGAAAGTTTACTGTGAGTTTATTCTGAGATGATTTTTCCAATGCTCCATATCTCAAATGTTGACCGGACACAATCGATAAAAAATAGAGAGAAATTAATCAGAATTCCGTGAATAAAACTAACTTCAAATATCTATTCACTTTACATTTTCCATTTGTAGCTCCGGACTCCAAGGTCGGATACAGTGAAATTAATTTGGGACCTCACGAGGAACCGAAACCAATGCAATAAGAATTTTTAACCGGTCCACAAATGGCAGAGTTCCCAATTAACAAAAATAAAATAAAAACATCCGAATTGAATATCTCTTTCTTTTTTGGGTCGAGAAACTTCGCCCTTTAAATGCACAAAGTAGATTTAAATATCGAACCTGTTTTCAATTTAATTTTAAAACAAAATTGTATTTTTATATGGCCTAAGCTATTTTTAAAAAAAACTTGCGGCAGCGATTACAGTCCTTTATTCTTTTTAAATATACTTCAAATATAACAGACTAACGGCGAAATGGTAACTCCAAATATGTTCAATCTATCTATATAACTAATAATATTACACCCTTACGTATAAAACTGGAACGTAAAGTTCATTTGTAAAGGTCACAAAGCATAGCATCAGCTAAGAACGGATTTTAGGAAATTCCACAAAACAACGTTTGCCGGATCAGCTAGTATATTATATATAGTCAATACGTCGCGGACAACCTTATAGAAAAGTGACCTAGAACGGAGGGAAGTATGACAAAAGAAACTATGAACTCACCCTGTATTTCCCTTCTCCGACCTGGAACACCCTGAACTTCTGTCTGCATGTGCACAGCATGACCAGCCGTTTCACCTCATCGTGGATCTTGTCCGCGTCTGTCGGTGGGCCGCGCCGCTCCACCTGCACGCCAGCGTTTTAAGGACTATCCGGACGGTACGTAACTTGTGGTCACCACATTACAGTTGCTCAAACAAGAGCGCTTTTAGGGACTATCCGCTATTCAGACAGTAACTTATAGTCACCATATAAGTGGCTTATACAGTGTTTTTAGGACCTATCCGTTATCCGGAGGTAAAGTGTAGTTCACATTACAGTAGCTTAGTGATTGGTAATTATAAGTACACTTCACTGCACAATTAAACAGAAACGAGAATAAAACTCGATTAACAATTTAGATGCTGAATGGGCGGCCTTAATAGTGAAAGTAATTTCTTCCAGGCAAACTTTTGATGGAGAAAATATATGTTAAATCAAGACTAGAGAGTGTGGATCATTTATTGAATCAAACATACAACTGAATCGTAAGAACGTAAATGTAATGTATGTAAGGTTATTTTACTGATATTATTAAGTAGACTCAGTATAATTTGTAATTCATGGTCAAGATGTTTGTACTAGGATTAATTTTATTGACAACTACGCAAAAACAGCGACATAAATAAGAAAGCGAAACGTTCAAAAGTATTAAAACTTTTAGCTCTAATGGTTGTTTGAACAGGATACTCATACAAAAGTACGTCTATATCTAAATAAACTCAGTGAAAACTTACTCGTGGAATGGGTTGGTGCGAAGTAAATCGCATTTCGTTATCAACGGGCATCATTGTATCAGTGGATGAGATAAGATCGTTTAAAAGGAATCAATAATATTTTCGACCAAGCTAATACCAGCTCTCTGTGAATTCTCTTTAGGTATAAAATAGATTGTACTACTACACGACACTTGAAATAAGCGGCATCTCGAATTGTGCAAAAACATTTTTTTGCTTATTTTTCCTCTTTCAGCCATAAAACGGGGTCTCTGCCATATAAAAGTAGGAAAAGTCTTTTCACACATTTGTAGGTAACTCACAAAAAATGAGATTTCATTAGAACACTAATATTTTTTTAAAACTAAAGAAATAAAATGTCAGAAATTACGTCTTGTTGATTTCTTACGTAATATATTTTTTTGCTAGTTATTTTTATGCTTTATAACATGTTTTAAAACGAGCTTTTTTGGTGCAAAAAAATCGGCTGTATTCTATTTCTTGTCAATAGCGGCAATGTAATTTTAATCATTAAATTGTATTAAAAGTTATAGAAGTTATTGCGTAACGACAGAAAAGCAATTAAATCACTCTTTTTGAATTTATTAACTTTTTGTAATAACTACTTTTGCATTAACTTTCCAAGAAATACTATACTTTTTTGAAGTGTTATATATTTTGATACCTTATTATGTAAAATCCTAATATTATAAACGGGAAAGTTTGTATGTATGGATGGAAGTTTGTTACTCTTTCACGCAAATACTACTGAATGGATTTTAATGAAATAGGCTATAATTTATATACATATTTTATGTATATCTTTCTTCTGTCTGAATGTTACGCCTTCAGCCTATTCTACGCAGACGTAGTGGCGGGCAGCAGCTAGTGAAAAATATTATAATCACGCGAAGAAATATCGACAGCCCTGAACAGGTTTCGTTACGTCGATATCTATTCTACAGGAACCATTGCGCGTTGAGTGCGAAAAGAACTCACCCAGTCGGGCCTGAGAGCGGCGATGAACTCCTCCCAGTCGATGAGGCCGCCGCCGTTCCTGTCGAACAGGTCCGCGACGGCGCCCATTTCCAGGCGGGACGTGTCGAATTCTGTACACAAGACAACGAAACTTGAAATGTGAATTTTAGCAGAAAAACCAGTTACTAGAAGACTCCATAGAATAAATAACTTGTTCATGGGACGGTGTATACGCTTCTACATTAAAACCCCAGTTAATGCGCAGTCTGTCTATTAGTAGGTTAAAGAAATTTATTAAAGCACTTTTTCAAAGGGTTATTATAATATAAATGAACACATTAATTATAACTGGGAATGAGATGATCTCTCCTAAGCAGTTCCTAAAAACAAATTAAGTACTGTATAACAATGTATTTATTTATTTAAATTTTTACATAAAAACTAAACGTTGTGTATAGGCGGATTTAATGCCTAAGGCATTCTCTCCCAGTCAACCTATGGGCGACGCAGAGGCAAAAGAGGCAGGTGTAAAAAGTTTCAAATTAAATATTAAGTAATGTAATTGCTTGAGAAAAACCGTTTGTTTCGAATTCCGTACGCAAAAAAAAATTAAACTTCAAATGTGAATTTTTGAAGAATGTGAATCTTATGTTTTAATTTGATCAACATAATGCTTTTCTAATGTTTGCGTATTTATTATATCCAACAGTTACTCATTTACAAAATGAATGTATTATTAATACATTCCTAATACTAATTGCACAAGCTTACATTAGTTTGTGACTAGATAATTTATTTATTATTGCAGAATTTAAAGAATACGCAATTTTGAAGTCACTGGTATGAGCTGATAGAACATCATATCACATCTATTAATCTTTTATCTACACTGCCTTCATTTTTAACCCTCATTAGTTTTCTTTCTATTTATTTATTTATTTAAAAACTCTATGCACAATAACGTACAATGGCGGACTTAACACATTAATCTATTCTTTACTCTACTTAGTGCGTCATACACGCCAGTCCTGAAATAGCACCTTGCAGAACAGAACGCATCACTAACTGTAGACTAAACCATTCCATTTATAAACATATCCTAGTCAGAATTGATAACAACCGTTCAGAAATAGATCATGCGAGCGTAGACTATATTAAAATTTCTATTGCACGCCGTTGTTTTCTCTCTTGTTGTATATTAGTACAATAGGATTCCAGCGCCGTAATTGAAATCAACTTCAATGAACTTCAAGAGCCGTGATAGCTCAGTGTCCGGGCGCTCGCCTTTAATTCAATATATACTCGAGCAACCCGAGTTCGATCCCCGGTGCCGGCACCAATGAAGTTTTTAACTTTAAGTGCTGACTTATCACGTGCTCCGCGGTGAAGGAAAACATCGTGAGGAAACCTGCATATTTTCGAAATAGTAATAAAAAAAAAATATATTTCGAAGATATGTGAAGTCCGCCAATCCGCAGTGGGGCCGCGTGGTGGATTATGCCCTGATACCCTCTGTATAGAGGAGGCCTTTGCCCAGCAGTGGGACATGTACCTATAGGCTGTTACTTTTACTTCTTTTTTTTTTTTTCAATGAACTTAGTCTGTTGTAGCTTTCGAACTAATACGCGACATCGATAAGACTGACAGCTTAGTTGCAGTTCGATAATAATGTAAGACTTGAGCAGTGTTTGCCAAAATTGTATAGGTAATCAACCCCTTACGATAAAAAAAAATCGTAGTCTCTTAAGCGAATTAAAATTAACCTTTGTAGGTCTTTGATTTCATAGAACGTATGGCTTCCGTGGAGTGCTATTGGAAATTTGCATTTAGTTCCCACGATTACAATTACAAAAGAAAGAGAAATCTCATTGTATTTATGTTGACCGCTTTTTTAGGGTTCCGTACCCTGATGGTAAAACGGGACCCTATTAGTAAGATACCGCTGTCTGTCTGTCCGTCTATCACCAGGCTGTATCTCATGAATCGTGACGAGTTCGACAGTTGAGATTTTCACAGATGATGTATTTCTGTTGCCGCTATAACAACAAATAATAAAAACAAAATAACATATAACATATTCAAGTGGGGCTCTCATACAACAGACATGATGATTTTTGCCGTTTTTATAGATAACTAGCTTTTCGCCCGCGGCTTCGCTCGCGTTGAAGCCCTTAAATAAATATCTTTCTTTAAAAAAAACTCCAATTAAAAATAGCCTATATCCTTTTTCAGGCTCTAGACCAGTGATTCTCAACCTTTTTTTTGTTGCGGCACATATTTAACGATTTCAAAATTTGGCGGCAAACAAAGAAAAAGATAACAAATATTTACTTACTACAACACACTGCATAAATAGTTTATGACAAAAATTTTAAATATACGAAATAAACTAATATATACTACAATAATAACTAAACGTTTATTAAGGGATTAATTACAAGCTAATAATAAAAATATTTTAATGCGAAATTTGAGCTTGATGTTTTTTTGATAATTTCATTTATATTTATTTGGTCGTAAAAATGACAATGCTACTCTCATATCGTCTTCTACATTTAACAATCTTGATCTTTTTTTTTAGGTTTAATGTTCGCTAATGCCAAAAAATATTTTTCTTTTTAAATGATATAATTTAATAATATTAACATTATTATATATTTGCAAAATTTGGCGGCACACTTTTGAAATTTGGCGGCACACAAAAGTGCCGCGGCACAGTGGTTGAGAATCACTGCTCTAGACTATCTGTGTGCCAAATTTCATTCAAATCGGTTCAGTAGTTTTGGCGTGAAAGCGAGACAGACAGACAGGGTTGCTTTCGCATTTATAATATTAGTACGGATAGTACGGAACCCTTCGTGGCCGGTTCCTTTACGTGGAAAGCACTCACTGGTGTTGATGATGCCGTCCATGAACTCGTTCCGCGGTATGAGCCCGTTGTTGTCCTTGTCCATCTTGCGGAAAAGGTCCGTCAGACGGGACTTCTTGTGGTTCATAAACTTGAGGAACTGTTGGCAAGCAGAAGGCACCGGTTAGTGGGCAGTTTTGCGATCCTCCCCTTCATCGCTATCTTCTGTGCTCGCCATCATCGTACCTTGATGTATATTGCAAAGCCAAAGTTAAAGTATCTTTATTCAATATACGTTCAACTTAAGCTCTTATTGAACGTCAACAGAAAAACTACCGCCTGATTTTTTTTGATTTTCTTCGATGTGTAGACGATGAATCTCCAGCGTTTTTTTTTTAAATGAAACATTGTCCACAATGTATGCAATAAGGGTTGAATATGTGACGACTTATAGCCGAAGTATGCTCAAGGAAATAGCGGAATATCGATGAGCGCACATTTTAGCAAATGCAGTAGAGATGCCAAGATATTATCTTAAAAACTTAACACAAGATACGTTAGTCATCTACTTTTTTTCAAATTGTTATTAACCAAAACTTGCAAACCTTTACAGTGCGGATATCTATGTGTCTCATCTATTAGCCTGTCCTAACAAATTTTGTCGCATTCACCCGATGGTAAGGGATCACCGCCGCCCAGAGACACTTGGAACAACAATTCAGTCACAACTGCGTTGCCGGCGCCTTTAAGTTAGGATTAGGCTCTATTGAAGGTCCCTAAGTCGTAGACTGCGTCAAGGCTGGAGCCAAACGTTGCCGCCCTTACCCGCTTCCTCCACTCATCCCAGCTGAAGTTGGACACGCGCTGCAGCTCCTTGAGGTGAGCGAGACGCTCGTGCAGCCGTCTCTGTCGCTCCCACGCCAGCAGCCACACGGTGCGCCACTTGTCCCACAGCTGTTTCACGCGCGGCGATCGGAACTCAGGCTCGGCGCCTTTGCTACTCCCCCAAAAGAAAACGAAACCAAAATTAACCAAATCTTACTTTTGCCGTCGAAGATAAGCATATTGCGTTTGAAGCGTTGTATATTTTCAAATTACAGACAGACGAATGTCTCGATCTGGTTCTGGTGATATCTTGTTTTTACGCGAATATTACATATGTTTAACTGAAATTGTTTTACGGATTTTATCACGACTGTCTGTGTGTCAGAAGTCAGCGATCTGTCCCTTTACCATGAATGCTGGAAAGAGTTCAAAACGTCGGGAATTTAAAATCAAATTAAAACGCCATAAAATCCTCACAATAGTTTCATTTAATCATGGCTTTAGAAACGATTCTCAGTTGACTTGGGCAAAAGTCTTTCTGGGTAGGAATTATTTAAATCAAATAAAATAACGTGCCAATTTTTTTACTTTGAATAAAAATATAATTTCCTAGCAACTATTTCAATAGATATTATCAAGACTGTCCTTGTAACCCTTAAGCGGATTATAAGTTTATAGACGTAATACTAATAAAAGAGTTACTTTATTAAAAAAGTCTATTCATAATCGTCAATGTCAAATTGATCCAAATGAATTATTTCTATATCGAATGGTATCCGATGCTCGATAAAATTCAATTTTAGAGGTCATGTGATCGATATTGGAATTCGAATAAATCATCAAATTCTTAATAAACTCACATCCTTAATAAGTTTACTAGAAAAAACTGCATGAAAACCACAAGCCATAGCGCACTTACCTATTGTAATTCTACAAAAGCAACAAACAAATCGCAAAACGATATATAAAACATACAAAACTCTATTGTATATGCTTGTCACTGAAAATTAAAATCCACAATGGAGGGATGTACAGTAAATGAGACAAACAAAGCAAAAAAAAAAAATTAATGGCGTAATTTGATACATTAAGGGCATGATTCTTTGCTCCCAAAAGCCACAAATCACTGTATGATACGAAAAATCAGAATATTACATTAATTTAATGGTCAAATATATACAAATGTATTTAATGGATGGCTATAGTGATAAGTTTAAGTACTTTACAAGACCGCTTGCCGTAATAAAATATTAAAATTGATTGAAAATTTTGTCTGAGGGATTTTTGTATCAGATTTTTAAAATAAATAAATTTGGCGTCACAGAACTAACAGTCATCACGAGCTTGGGAACGGATAGTACTTTCTAAATACCGTATATATTATTTCCTATCGTAAGAAAGTTTGTATTGATGTTGTATATGTTTCGTGTTGACTGGCCTATAGTGGTTTGTGTTGTGAGAGGTATGGCAGCCGACATGGGAAGTGTAGTATGTAGTATACCTACTTTTTAGTTCTCCTCTTTGGGGTTGTCGAAAAGTGGGAACGAGCGAAAATAGAAGAACCATAGAGACAACAGCGGGGTCAGGTAAATGTGAAGTTAGTGTAGTTTGTTGATAGCAATTTTTGTCTTTTATTGGTAGGTTCTTTAGGAGGCTGTTGAAAGGGCTAGTGCTTTACGGGTGTACGTAAATCTTCGTATCTCCTTAGTGTGTGTAAAGTGAGGGGTGGATAGACTATACTAATGACAAACATCGCTGCCCGCGGGATAATAAGACGTGAGAGCGGCAAACCGCCTGTTGCGATCTCTCGCAATTACGGGCGTTGTGGTAAGTTGACAGTGGTGCGTCACTATCTTTTACGTACGACAGAGAGCGCAACAGGCGGCGTCCTGCTTCCACGCCTTATAACCCCTCGGACAGCGACTGTTCGCCATTAGATAGGGCGTTCAGACCGAACCTCGTACGGGTAATCCGCAAGGCATGGTGGCTTGGTGCCTTACCTGCCCCGCGGCGGGAACCTCGGGCCGTAGTGCGGCAGGTTGCGGTCCGGAGTCTCGCGGCTGGGGCTCGCGCGGCTGTACACGCAACATGGCACAACACGTCAAGGGGAGCGGACGAGCACGCATGTGTATATACCCGGCCCGTTAGTAGTCGGTTAGTCGGTGAGCGGCGTCGACTCGGTCGGTGAGCAGCGCCGACTCGGTCGGTGAGCGGCGTCGACTTGGTCGGTGAGCGGCGCCGACTTGGTCGGTGACGCGTCGTGTTAGTCATTGGTGCGTGTAACGCGGTGTGTTTAGTCAAGCGAAGTGTTGGTGATTGGAAAGGCTGAGTTATGTGCCCTCGGTGTGGTTAGGACGTATTAGTTTTGTTATTTACTTACTTTCGACCAGACATACCCGGACTGGGGAAGGACGATGCCCGCAACCATGAATTTAATTTACGACTTTAGAAATGACCATAATAGATTCTAGAAAACCTCTAATTTGGTACAAGAAATAATCGAAGGAAGTTTAAAAAACAAGCCACTAACTACTTACTAACTACTCGACACACGATGCAAAAAAAAAATCGGCTTTAAAGAAACTATTTACACAAATTGAACGATATTGAAATGCGATGTCGTTTCATTATTTTCTAAATTTCATTTAAAATTATGTATGCTCAATCGCACTCATAGAAATTTGATGATTTGTTCCGTGTTAAACATGCTAAATCTTACTTGTTTTCAATAATTTTTATTTTACAAACTTCAGAGACAGTGAGCTAAAAAAAGTTATTAATAATACTAAAAACTTATATCAGATCGTCGAATTGTTAAAAAAGTAAAACTCAGCAAGAATCTATTCGCTCTCGCTTTAATTTAATTATTGGACAATTGTCGCGAAACCAATAATTCAATATCGTTCAATTACGGCATTAGAGACCACATCTAGAGACTTCAATTAGCGCTTAAGTTTTAGTTAAATTAGTTTATATTAAATTTCTGATTATTAAATTAGTTTCATTGTCAAGTCGAATAGCAATAATTATCCTATAGTGTAAGGATGTTTTACACGTTGTCAAAAACACCAAGATGCGGAACAGTTATCTGTAAGCCTCGCTGTTTTTGTTAAATAAATCACTTTCTTTCTCTATGGGAGTCGAATCCGATGCCAATTTCTCCGAGACAGCGACACAATGCTATCACATCGAGTGATCCATCCTTGTCCTAAGAACTTTGACATATTAAGAAATCTCTCTGAGTTAGCTAGATTGAGTATAAAACTAATTGTTGGCTCCGTGGGGCAGTTGTCAAGACAAGAGTATTCGTGTGCCGCCACTGACAATCGTTTCGGATCTTTTTTGTATGTCTACATGAACTTATGTATGTAAAACTTCCTCACAACGCAGGATAATGTTATCCTACATTAAGGGTAATGTTTTTAAAAAAGGAAAATAAAGGCAAATGCTGATTGAACTCTCTGATGCGTCAGTTGCTCTATTCTCGTGCTGACAAACACAAACGCTATCGTGAGATATCTACAAAAACTAAAAAAAAAAAAAAAAACACACGAGAAATTAAAGAAATGGCGTCAAACCTTCCTCTCCTACTTCGACTGTGAATCCTCGACCTGCCCGTGATCATCGAAGCGTGACATACGAACGAGACAGAAAGCAACATTTACACGTGTTAGAGCGGGATGGAGGGATGCTATTCCAATGTCACCAGAGATCGCCGCACAATCGTCATTGCGAAAATTTAGATCAAAGCAAAAACCATAACTATTAAAAAACTAACTAACGCCGTGCGACTTCCGGTGACTATTCAAATAGCATATGTAACATTTAAAAGCTATGAGTAAATTATTGTAAGTTAAAAATGATAATACCAACTAAAATAAATATAAAGACTTTAATGAGTCTCCCTAATAATATAGAAACGTGAAAACATATTTGAAAGACATGATGACAACTACTACATATGAAAGAAAAACGTTGAGGTGAAATAATTATTACCCACTTTCAAATATATACGAAAAAGAAACAATACAACAAGTACCATTATATTAAATCTTTTTATATATTTATATTATATTCATACAATTAGGAAATATGTATATAAAATATACATAAAGATTTTTTTGATTACGTAAATAAAATATAGTTGTCTCGAAAAAAATATGCGTTCCTTTTTCGAAAACCTTCGCATTCCTTTCTCGTACATGAAAACTAGAAATGCGAGTTCCATTTTCGAACGGTTGTCTCATTCGAAATAGTTTTTTTTTCGTACACAGATTAAAAAAAGCGAGTTCTCTTTTCGAAGGTTCGAGAAGCGTGGCGTGGGGCGAGGCGGGTACTGACCTGAAGCGCCTGCTTCCGTAGTAGTCCGGCGAGGTGGACCTCTCCCTGTGCAGCTCGTGCTGGGAGCCGCGCCTGTGACGTCATCGGTGACGTCACGGAACGGCCGCGCCGCGATGGGGGGGGGGAACGGAAAGCGGCGTTGGCGAGCGAAATGGCGGGTGAAGGCGATTCGAGAACAAACACACGCACACAAATGAACACTCGGCGCGTATATGGTGGGGAGCTAAATTCGACCGTACGACAATGAGATAAGATTCGAAACCCCAATTCACTTACCCGGCTATTCCTTTCGTGGCGCTCTTGGCGGAGATCTTCCGCGGCGTCGTGTCCCGCCCTTGGCTCTGACTCTTGACCTGGTAACGCAATGGTAATATGCTTTGAAGTCTCCATGAAAAATAATTTAGCGTTTTTCAGTAATAAATAGGCGTAGAAACTTTTATTCCTAGTATACTTAGACGTAGAAAATATTATCATTAGAAACTATTACGAGGTCTGGTGAGCGATTTCTTCGTACATTTACCGTACACGCGAAACGCAAGAAGATACTATTTTAATACACTTTCAAATACTCAAAAAGAATTACTTCTTGTACTCAATCCTTACTTATATTATAAAGGCGAAAGTTTTTATGTATGGATGGATGTTTGTTACTCTTTCACGCAAATACTCCTGAATGGATTTTAATGAAACTTTACAATAATATAGCTTATACATCAGAATAAGACATAGGCTATAATTTATACACATATTTTAATGCATATCTGTCTTTCTGTCTGAATGTTGCGCCTACAGCCTATTACGCAGACGTAGTAGCGGGCACCAGCTAGTATGTTATATATTGAGGACGCGGTGGCTCAGATGTTAATCTATTGACGTTCAAGTATTTGTAAGACCTTTTGTTTAGGTCAGGTTTATTGTTTATTCAGGTTAGATTATCTGGCTGTTTATTCTCAAGGATTCTTGGGATTTTATTCAATCGTGAAGTAGATACATTTATAATAATAATGTCGTATATAAATACCTGGTAAGCTTTGCAGACGCGGTCGACTTCGTTCTGCCTCTTCTGCGTGTGCTCCATCAGCTCTTTGTGGTCTTCTATCAGGCCTTCTAGAAGTTCGATCGACTCCGGCAGTGGTTCGGATTCCATTGCTGTGAAACGAAGAGAACAATTTAAAATCAACTGAGGCGTACCGCAAAATAAACCTTGCGCAAATAACATTCGGTTTAAATTTCATTGGCACCGTAACCTCTATTAAATACTCACATATCAAGGTGTTCTCGAGTCCCGTGAGCCATTGCAATAGCTCCTCCAGCACCAAGTCCAGGTCTTTGAGGCTCTGCATGTGCGCCTCCAATTTGCTGCCACGCTGCATCGCCCATTGCCACACCTGCCACGAAGACATTACATTCAGCTAAATACAAAAATGTACGACTAATCATAGTCAAGTGGTAGTTTTTTGATGTTCAATAAGAGCTTTGTATTTATATTGAATGAAGGAATTTTGACTTTGAGTCAAAGAATGATATATTTATCTTCAAACAAACGTTTAATTTTTGATTCTCACCTTCTAATGAACTTAATTTTTTTTAAATCCGCAACGCAAGTAGTAGCCTTAAGTATTAAAACAACTAGAAGGTAATATATGTCTATGTTCAACAGTGGACGTCTTGCGTCTGATGATAATAATAATGATGATGATAATTATTATTATTAGTCTGGTCCCATGACCACGAATGAAAAGTTATTTTAAACGTCGGGAAATAAAATTAAAAATAAATGTTAAACTAAAAGTTACATTATTATTTATGGTCTGCTTGTACACTACGAAACGTAAATATTGTAGTAACTTGGCTTCACATTTTTAGAACTTAAATTACTAAGCAAAGAACTAAACATTTATGTCACATGGTAGGATTTGAAAACAAGACAAAACAATTCTTCAGTGATCATATTACATTACAAGCACAAACTGGACCTGTTCCTTGATTATAATATGTGATGGTGAAGAACGCTAACTCATCACCTGTCCAGCGGAGGCTTTGCTGATAATCCTCATCACCGGCAACACGGAAACGACAAGCTGTCGAGGTTTAGGAAACATTTTTTCAACGAAAATCACGCGAATCGCTTTAACGCATTATGTAAGAAACAACACTATAATTATTTCTTTAACTCTGAATGGAAGTAAAACATCAAATCGACAGAATGATAACGTAAAATGATTAGATAAATTAATTTTTTTAGACCTCATTACATATTAAGGAATAATTAATCTACTGCATGTATTCGATAAGATACGTTAAGATTGATTTTACTGCACATCTATCAAATACTTCTAAGTGATATTATTGGGATATTAATAAAGTTTTCTCTGTTTCCCTGTTTAATTTGTAATTTTATAAAATATTAGCAAACATAAATAATTGTTCCCAATTTGGGTGATTTTCCGCGTTCAATTTGTTTATAAATTGTTCCACTTTTACATTATGACACACATAAGTGAATGTGACAGATGATATAGAAAGAGCTAGCAGTTTCTAGAATCGCAATTTAACCAATTGGCGTAATTTGAGTGCTTCAATTTCGGTGCGCCAGCGGTGTGTTCATATATATCGTATTTTTTTTTTCAATCAAATGACTCTTGCGCGTTCTTACGAATAGTCAAATTTTACATTAAAAAATTATATATATGTACGTTCGTAAGCGGTTCGTAAAGCCGTTTCTGTTGAGAAGAAACCGGCAAGAAACCCAACAGTTGCTCTTTTTCAAAACGGCTGCCCCTCTCCAAAGAGGTCGGCCACGCACCTCGTCCCAGCGGCTCTGGATGATGGTGATCCAGTGCTTGATGACGGCCACCGCGTCCGGGTGCGCCTTCGCCAGGATGGAGCGGGCGAGCGCGATCGTGTCGTCCTTGTCGCGCGCCTTGTCGGCCAGCTCGCGCGCGAAGCGCTCGTGCTCGAGCAGCTGCGCGCGCGCCTCCGGCTCGCCCTCCGGCGGCTGGCCCGAGAACCGCAGCCGCGTCTCCGCGTCCGAGAGCCACTCCAGCAGCATGTTCACCGAACGGTGCAGCCGCTCCGCCTGCGAGTTACGTTATTACGATCGGTGTAGTGTGTGTGTGTGTGTGTGTGTGTGTGTGTGTGTGTGTGTGTGTGTGTGTGTGTGTGTGTGTGTGTGTGTGTGTGTGTGTGTGTGTGTGTGTGTGTGTGTGTGTGTGTGTGTGTGTGTGTGTGTGTGTGTGTGTGTGTGTGTGTGTGTGCAGTAAATCTTCTGTACGGTTCTCCATGCGGTCTTTGTTCTTACTGCTACTATGGATTTAGTGCTACCCTACACTCGAGGTGAAATCGATTTAATGCTGCCGTACTAGATGAACGGGTAGCCCCTACGCTCGAGGTGAAATCTTTTTAGTGCTGCCCTAAGCTTGGGTAGAAATCGTTTTAGTGCTGCCCTACGCTTGAAATGAAATCGTTTTAGTGCTACCCTACACTCAAGACGAAGTTGGAGTGAATCGTCGGAAAGTTTTCTACAAATCCAAGATTAGAACCAGACGCATCACAACAATTTCACTTAATCGAACATAATTAAAGACTTATCTACACGAAGTAAGTACTTTGGAAATTATCAATTTTGACTTATAATCGAAATAGTTTTAAAGAAATGAAATTATTTGTACCTCTTTAAGGGCGATTTCCAACTTTTGCGCCTTCTTCTCGCTGAGGCTTTGAACCGTCTCCCAGGCTTGCTTGAGTTCGCTGCACTGCTGTTTGATGCTTGCAGCGTCCTCGACCGGAACCTATGGTACAATCGAGATTGAGCTTAATTCAATATGCATAAAGTGTTTATTAGGGTTTTAATTATTGAATAATATTTCAAAGCATAATGATCACTTCACTGATTAATTCGTATTTACCGTAGCCTCGAGGTCTTTGCCAGTCTTCATTACAGACTGCATTTGCTGTTCTCTGGAATGTAAGTCTTCTTCGAATTGCTGTGAACAAAGTTTACTTTTTAATAATGTACATTTCATTGTTGTATTATAAATCGTCACATATATCTTATCGTTCAAGTATAAGTTACATAGAAAAATTATTTCGAGTATAAAACAAAATTTTATAGTATAAGAAAAATTACGGTTAAAATAAGGAGTAAATTGTACTTTATTTGAAGGAAAAATAAAATGTCATAATAAATGTAATAAAAAAATGTGCCATACAATTTTTTTGATTATTGAAAGATTTTTTATATAGAGGGCGTTGGGGCACGCCAGTTCCATAACCGGCGCACCTCAACGTCTTCTCAGGAAGAAGTAAATATAACCATTTATATATAAGCCATAAAAAAAGTAAAGTATCAGCCTATACATGTCCCACTGCTGGGAAAAAGCCTCCTATGCAAAGAGGGTATCAGGGCATAGTCCAACACGCGGCCCCACTGTAGATTGGCCGACTTCACATATCTTCAAAAAATTTTTTTATTATTATAATTTTGAAAATATGCAGGTTTCTTAACGATGTTTTCCTTCATCGCTGAGCACGTGATAATTCGCACATTTCATTGGTGTCGGCACCGGGGATCGAACTCAGGTAGCTCGAGTATAAATGAATCAAAGGCGAGCGCCCGGATACCGAGCTATCACGGCTACATAAGCCATATTGGCGAGCAATGTCCGCCTTTAAGGCCCATTTACATGGTGCCAGTTTTTTGCCTGTTGTATACAATTAAATTGACGCAATAAATGAGTTGCATGGTCTAAACAACAAATGGTCTAACCAATTATTGCGCGCAATTTATTGCATTCAATTATTGCTCTTGTATGTACAAGAAAATGGCATCGTGTAAATGGGCCTTTACAGAGGGCGCTGGGGTTTGCGGCAGAGCGGCCGATGCCGAAGAGCCTGACCTTGTGCTGCTCGATGAGCGCCATGACGGTGTCCAGGTCGCCGTGCAGCGGCGCGTCCCCCGCCAGCTGCTTCTCGCGCTTCCTCAGCCAGTCGAGCAGCGCGGACATCGCGTCCTTGAACTGCCCCGAGTACAGCAGCGCCTCCTCCAGGCGCCTTTGCCTGATGAGGGACAAGAAAGTAGCAACCTATACTTAACGGCCGAATCGAGCTCTTCTTTATCTTGCTTTTTTACCACATTAGATGAAGTCGGCAGAACACATCCTTCTCTTACACTTTCCCCTATCAGCAGCTGTCCTCACAATACTCATTTCTATCACAAACAAATCATTCTTGTCACAGTCCATCTAAACTTTTTTCGGTATTGTTTGCCTTTAATCCTATAATGTAAAATGATGTTAACAACCTATACATATGCTCAAAATCTGGGTAAATACTTCCGCTATAGAGCGCAATACAAATTAATACCCCACAGTTTGGGCAGACCATAAAAATGTCGTTGTTTATTTCTCTTATTTATTTTAATTGCATTTAAATTTATTCCTTTTAGAACTGTTGTCCAAAAAACTATGTTCAAAAGGCCAAATCACAACATGGTTTACAGCTCTATACCAACGTATAGTGGAACGAAGGGAATGCGAATGGGACTATGGTGCGAGCGAGAGGGCAATAAAAATCACAATCCCGACATTGCGCTATCTTCATATGAAAATATGCGCCCTTGCACGTTCTGCTGCACAGAGTGTACATTGCAAGTAAGCATGGATCAGGCCGTACCTCTCGACGGCCTTGGAGCAGACGGTGGTCCACCTGGCCTTGAGGTCCGCCAGCATGGTCCGGAGCGTGGGCTCGTCTCCCTTGGGCGCCTTGTCCTTCAGGTTCTTGCCGCTCTTCGTGGTCAGGTCGTAGGCGGGCTGCTTCGCGGCCAGCGCCTTTTGGAACTCCCGGTGCTTGTTCAGCCTGGATCACGGGAAACGTCGCGACCGTTAGCCTCTATTTATCTATTTTAATGTTTATTAAAACTAACTTAAACTAACCTAACTACCTAACCTAAACTTCTCAGTCACTTCAGCCACTCTCCACCAGTAAAAAAAGTGTACTGTAACCTTACATGATACTGTTATAGCTCTTTAACTTGTTTCTTCCATCTTTGTATTTCTGTTTCTTTATTATTATTCTTTTTAAATGTATTATTTTATCTTGTTTATTTTATTACTCACACTGTGTGATATCTACAAATAATTTTAATATGAGTATCATTTACACTTTACCTTTGCTTGATCTTCTCTGGGTCGTTGACGTTTGCCTCGGAGTTGAGCTGGTCGAGCTGTTGCTCGGTGTCTGCCAGCCAGTTCATGAGATTGTTCCTATTAGACGTAATTTACATTATTAAGCGTTTTGGCCACTAACCATTCTAGACATATATCTTTTACTACAGAAGTTATTAGTAAATATCCAAATGAGACGTATAAAGTGGGCGAGTTTTGGAGGGAATGCGGTATTATTTAGTCGCTTGATCAGTGATCGTGGGCCGCTTTAGAGGCCAGGTACCCACCACATGTCGGCGAACTCCCTGGCCTCCTTGAAGCCCAGGTCCAGGGCGCGCGTGCGCTCGGCCGCCTTGGCCACGACGCGCTCCCAGCGGTGCTGCACCGACACCAGCAGGTTCTTGATCAGGATCACGTCCTGCTTCTGGCTGAAGTACTTCAGGTGCGTCCCCTTCTTGTCCAGCTGCAGCATCGTCTCCCGGTGCGTGGCCACCTCCTTCTGGAACGCCTTGTGCTCCTCCATTTGCGCTGCGCCCGAATGAGGGAGGAGTCAGCGCAAGATATATATTTTACAAAAATAATTAAGCAGTTGGCTTTTACGAAATTTATTACAAATTGTGAACAGATCCATTCCTTCTAATCATTTTGAGAGTAGAGCGAGGTTCTTAAAGTGCTTTACTTGTATAGACCATGCTTTATAGGATAAATTCCTCTATTGCAGGGATGCATTGGTGTGGTTGAAGAGAGGGAGGCAGCTTAATAGATTTCTAAAAATTTTCACATTCGAATTGTTGCCAACCTGTCCTATTTTTTAGCTTTAGTCTTATAGTCAAAATATGTCAATCAACTCCAAATAATCAAAATGGTCTATTTATTTTATGTGGTCCATTCGAAATTTATAATGGTATATCGAATGCGCATTGTGGTCTATCGGATCACTCACTTAGCAGAGTTTCCATGAGCCTGGAGACGGGCTTGGCGGAGGTGAGGGTCTTCTCGGCGCTGGTCAGCCAGTCCACGAAAGACTGCAGCGCCTCGTGGAACTCGGTGGCTTCTTTCAGGGCTATCTCCAACTTGATCTTCTTGTCAGAGGCCCTGACAAAACAATCACATTGTTGATCATCAAATCACACACACACAATATTTAACTTGTCCAGTGAATAAATCATCTTTTCTTGTCAACTGTGGCCAAGGGCTATGAAGTAATATGGCAATTAAAGTCATGGCTGTGACTTTCAGTAGCGTGTTACCTATACTTTTCCATTTATTCTTTTATATTATGCTTCTGATGCAAAGAGTATTACAGCCAGTGGTGAAATCTTTATTGGCCCGCATATCAGTGTGTATATGTATGTACAATTTATTTTACGTAAGTGCAGTATGTTTTCCTAACCAATAAAATAAAAATAAATATTTATTCTGTGATAAATATTTGCAATGTAAATTTTTCATATTTAATTCGTTATGTCATTTTCTAGGTGTATTCCATGTGATCTTAAATATAAGTATTTCGATATTAATTAAAAACGTGGTTTTTTGTTATGTGACCCGTATCACAAATTTGCATACCTGGATGTCACGTTATCCCATCTCGACTTGAGGTTCTTGAGGTTGTGGTGGAGCTGAGATGTGGGGTTGGGTTTCTCCTGCCGCTTGAGGTACTCCTGGCCCTGCTGCAGTACAGCCTCCATCTTGGGCCGGTTGGCTTCGATCTCGTTGTAAACCTCCTGTTTTGAAATAAAATATTGCACATGTAAACAATATTGCATCTTCAAAATAAAAATCTTTCTCCTCAAAATCTGATTCCTAAATAAACTTGAAATTTTTGTAAAGTAGAATACATACATACACAAGAACAATTTTATTTTCAGTTTAGTATTTTGTACATTCTAGCTTTGTGAAAAATGTTTAACTAAATAGTATATAGACTTACGATACAATACTTAATAAGCCTGTCTCAATTTTTTTAAGTTTCATACAAAATGAAGAGAGTAACACTAAACATTAATAATTAAAATTTAAACGGTACTTAACGGAACTAAAATTATTAACAGAACCATGTCTTATGAAAGCTGAAAAGCGTTCGAGTTCGAAACGTCGCGAAATAAAGCGACAAATCCGTGGACATAGTTCCGTTTAGTTGGGTAACGCGTAAATACAAAAAAATCATGAAACAATAGCACCCACCATAAACCTCTCGAGCTGTTCAGAGGCGGTTTCTGGTAAGCCGCCAACGGGTTTCGAGGCGGCGATGACCGCGTCCACCTCCGACAACCAAGACAGCAGGTCACCGATCTCAGCGTTGAAGCTGAAAGGGAATTATCAACCTTAGCATGATGATAATAGAGTTCTCTATTCATGTATACTACGGCTCAATTGAATAAAATTAAAAACTGTCAGAGGCGTCGCGAAATTAAAATAAAACTGAAAGGCGAAATAGTTTTATTTAAAAAGGTTGGTTGTTTATATGATGTTTTGGCTTTTTTATAATTGTTTCGGATCCGGGTGTTTGTCCGACAGTAAGAGGGCAATGATTTTGAAGGAATAACTACAATACAACTTGTAGGTCGCAGTGACCTTTGGGATTTACTACCGAACTCGTCAACACAAAATACAAATACAAGAATCGACCTATACAATAGACCATTTACGAGCGGAGAGTGGTAGACAGCAGCCGATGCTCACTATTACCATGATGACTCGCGAAGTCTTTAGTAGAACATAGACAACATAGGATCAGATTGAAATTTGTACTGTGGTAGGAGAGGTCCGTCCTGGCTGGTATCACGACCTCACAGAAGACCGGCGTCAAGTGGAAGTGTTATACTTCTGCGTTTCGTCTGGCGAGTGAGGTAGCCGGGGACCACTTTATTAAAAGGTAGCAACGCATCTGCAACCCTACGGCTGTTGCGAATGTCAGTGGACGGCGGTTATCACTTAACATCAGGTGTACCAGGCCGTTTGCTACAGTTTCACATTTAAAAAAGAAATTCTGTCTTACCTTTGCGCTTCTCTCAATGCGTCTTCCAGCTCAGTCTGGCGATCTCTCGCCTTCTGCTGCAGCGTGCGCCACTTCTTGTTCAGCGTAGCCAATTTCTCGGCCGTCTCTCCTGCCTCTTCGCTGCCTGAATCTGTAGAAACAAGTTAACATTAATGGACTGTCATTGTGAAATCTATTCCCAAAATATTATAGCCGTTAAATGAAAAAAAAAAAAAAAAAAAATGTTTCTTAAGAAAATGCAACAGTTACTTAATACATGAATAAATATTAACAAAATACATACAATTTAATTTCATTTTTGGCTTTACACGCAAGTTGTGCAATAATTTCAAGATATGAATCAACTCTGTTGAAGATACAAATCAAATGCATGCTTAATTATCGGAAAGCGTAAATCGCGTTAAACCATAATTAAATTGAATTCATTTCTCGATGGTAAGATTTAAATTAAGAGCAAAATAACATACGTATATCGATAATATTCTAAACGTTTCGTATCGAACTAGCCGTGTCGAAGCAATGTGACCTTAACGACTATGGAAATAAAGCATCAATTACCGTGCTGCACGATGTGTGCGCCGGCATCGTTGAGCGTGTCGACGCTGGCCTGGTGCGCCGCGATGTCGTTCACCAGCACCTTGAGCTTGGCCAGCTCCACTTCCAGCACCTGCGGCTCGCCAGCCACCTGCACGCGGATACGAAGCTTATTACGATGATCGTAAGGGTCAAATCGGAACAGCGTGGCAATGTTTCAATCAAAACGCACAAACGCATCGAGTAATGTAGGAGAAATAAACTATTGCTACTTTGATGCGTTGTACGAATTGGTATCGATCGGAACGGAAAAGATGAAAAGCTCCATCTAGTGACTTCTAAGCAAATTTTTTCGTTGAATTGGCTTTTTTTATGTAACCTAGTAACAATAACATTTAATTTGATCTAATTGATTAGTAGTGAAGTCAGTGTATACAGTTATATTTTTTAGAGGGGGCTATACTGGGTTACTGGATGTCGGGGGCATACTGCCCTAATACCCCCTGCACAGAGGGCTTTGCCCAGCAGTGTGACATACACGGCTGTTAGTTTAATCGCCGAGGGGGTTAACCGGGATGACAGGGTTATCGGGTTGAGAGGGTTATCGGGTTGAGGGTGTTACCGGATTGAGGGCGTTACTGGATTGAAGGCTTTATCGGATTGTGGGCGTTACTGGATTGAGGGCGTTATCAGATCGAAGGCGTTACCGGGTTGAGGGTGTCGAGCGTGGCGTCGGTGTGCTCGATCCAGGCGAGCAGCTCCTGCAGCGCGTGCTGCAGCTGGCCGAGGCGCAGCAGCGCGCGCTCCAGCTGCTGCTGGCGCTCCACCATGCCGCGCAGTAGCGCCGACCAGCGCGCGTTCACCTCCGTCAGCGGCTGCTTGATGGCCGCCGCCTGCTCCGACGACGTGCGCTCCGTCAGCTCCTGCGCTTGCCTGCGGACGGTGGGTACGGTCAGCAGCTACGCTTAGTACTAGTTTTTTATGTGATAAAGCAGCGGTTCACCTGATGTTCAGTTGTAACCGCCGCCCATGGACATTTGCAACACCCGTAGGGTTGCAGATGCGTTGCCACCTTTTAATAAAATGGGTCCCGGCTACCTCACTCACCAGACGAAATGCAGTAGTGCAATACTTCTATTTCACACTGGTTTTCTGTGAGGTCGTGGTACTTACTCCGACGGACCTGCCCATTAGTGCAACAGCGAACACCGTTGCGTGGCCCTACCACAGTTTTAGTGATAACCTACTCCACAGAACGAATACGGAACAACAGTGGCATACATTTATTTAACCGTTCTTAGTAGCCGTCTGTCCGTTTGGCGAGTTGTGGCATCTTTTGGAACGTTCTTTACATAAACTGTAGCATCGGCAAAGGACGCGACTGTGGCAAGTGTGTGTGATATAAGAATTTGGTAATCAAGAGCGGCAAATCTTACTGTGAGGTAAGTGTTCTTACGACTATTGAGCTATTCCGGGTCGTGAGTTCCAATCCAGGTGAGGTTTAGGAATACCTATGATTAGTTTGTTCGAGAGTTAGAAAATTGTGAAGATAAACTTAAATTCAAAACAATAGTAGGCTCGGCATTATATGAAAAGCGTAAAATAATCAGCAAAATACTATGTAAAAGCTTTAAATTTTATTCGAACATATAACGGATACGTAAATTAACGAGGAACATAAAGAAGAAGCTTTTTTATAATCGATCTATTAATTTCGACTGCAACCAAAACTTCTTTAGCTATAGATACATATAAATACGCTACGGTGTTAGACGAAGTGGACAGCACTACTAAAATTATTGAACAAAATAAAAGCTAAACGCACGGACAAAACTACTTTTCTACAAGATATATGTCAAAGTAGAAAACATAAAACCTTTGCATATGAATATAATTATAAAATAATAAAAAAACATTTAACTATTTTTATCACAACTGATTTAATCTTACTAAATTAGTAGTAAGATTAAATCAGTTATCTATACCATGTTCATATTCACAATATGAACATGGTATAGATATGGAAATTTAGATTAATTAACCATTAATGCAATTTCAAGATTAAAAAGCTAAGATGAGTCTTTATTTTTATACTTGTCTAAAATTATTTTAAACAAATGATCTTATCACAATTTACAAATACTCGTAACTGTATGATTTATCATATTTCTTGTACGAGTTTTTATGACAATTTTTTTTGACGAAGATTGTAGAAGACATTGTATTGAAAGAAATATAAAATTTTTTCGTCAAGACATAACGGTAAAGCAACGTTTATTCGTTCAGTAACGAATGTCCCTTTCTATATTTTTTTTAAGAGACGTCATTCGTTTTCAGTAAAACCAAAATACTGTTTTCAAATTGACACTATGACTATAACTGCTGTAAAATTTCACTTGCAAAGGTCAGAAAGAAGGAAGAAGTACAAGACAAAACTACTGCACTGAAGCGTAACACTCAAAAAAAATCAAAAACTCGTGTCCTTGCCTCATTAGACTCCTGCAATGGCGGTACGTTGGCGGGTGGGGTGCCAAAACAAAATACAAACATTAGTGCACAGTTTATATATAACATACTACCAAGTGTTAGAGCAGTTGAGACATTTTATATCTTTAATAAACTGGGGAGAAACACAACTCAATGACTATAACATTCAATAATAACCTAAATTTGAAAAGATATATGCTTTATCAAACAGCAGAAACTGGCAGTGACCGTATAGTATGGTCAAAATAATTTTCATAAAATTAAAAACTAACGTCAAGACTTTTAAAGTATTAAACTTAAGAATACAAAGCATAATATTATTTAATTTATTAATAATTGAATAACACATTCTCTTGAATGTTTCATTGTAGTTTTGATTCCTTACACTTGTCTTCTTGTCAAATATTAACTACTGCATTGTGTAATTTATAAGCCAGCGTGAGTTAAGTTAATTTTATAGTTTAATTACCCATCACCAAGCTAACAATTTATTCTTTAGTTAAACTTAATTACATTAAGTACATTTTTTAAATAAATTATAAAGCATTATATTTATACTTTACTGGAAGTTTCAAAAATATATTTAAATGGGTAAAATTGGGATTCCTGAATTTATAGTGACGGTAAATCAATACAATCAAATTATTTACAAACTGATCAAGTGAACTGTACTTTTGGATACCTCTTAATTTAGAAGTAAGTATGAGACTTCGAAATTAGAATATTCCATATCTACCCAATATTGATATGTCGCGTTGGTAAAAGCGGATCAGGAGCATGTTACCTGTTGAGGGCCTCGACCTTCACCATGTGGGGGTCGACCTCCTGCTTGAAAGAGGCCAGCTGCGCGATCTGGCGCTTGACGGCGTCGATGTCCGAGCCCAGGGGCCCCATGTGGGAGAACTTGTCCTCGGCTGTGTCCAGGAACTCTTGGAGGTTCTACAAGGAACATTGACAGTCGTCTGTTGTGATTGCTTGTTTTTTAGTTTTCAATTTTTATTTCATACATAATCTATATTTTATTTGATAGACCCCACAGTGGTGTACTCAAAATGTTTAACAAATCAGAAAGTGATACTTATATGGCACAGTTTAATTTGGAAATTATTCTGCTTCCGTTTTTAGATGAAAAGTGATGGTGTTACCACTGCATTATTTTTAATTTTAATTGAAACTCAAATCAAAATATCATAGTGTACACCCGATGACATTTTATATGGACACCTTACAGCTCAAAAGAAAAAGATTTTAGTATGGAGTAACATCCAGATATATTTTTTTTAAATACTTAAGCTTTTCAGTTTGATGCGTCCTTTGTTGCCAGCTGATCATTTAAATCGCATTAGATATATTGTGTAATGTAAAAAATTTACATGAATTGTATTTTTCGTAAAACATAGGGAAGGGAGGACGCTTCACCTGCAGGGTGTCGTGGAACTCCATGGCCTTCTCCATGGCGTCGATGAGGTTCTCCTCCCGCCTGGCGTAGAGCGCGGTGATGTTGTCCCACGCGCTGTCCAGGTCCTCCATGTGCTTCTTCACCTCGGGCTTGTCCGGCTCGCCGCAGATCGACATCAGCGTGGAGCCGGTCTTGCGCACTTTCTCCACCTGGAAATTGCTTGCGTCAGCGCCATCATCTTCTTCAGCAGTGGGGACCGTACCCACTCTCTGGCGCAGGAGGCAGGTTCGCCATCGACTACGTCAATTAGGTGGTCAGAATGCTCGAAGAACTTGATTTGTTTGATTAAGGAATATAACAGGTGTATAAATTATTGACCAAATTCAATATAATAGCGTCTAAAACCTGTCTTCTATTTCAGACGCTTCAAATTATAACATGACTGGAATATGTGGTACATCTGATACACATTGCAAGTTACCCATTACACGCTACTCGGCTTTGAATCTGTGATAGATTATTATCTTCCAACAACTAAAAGTCGGCCTCTTCCGCTTCACTCCGCACAAAGTGCTGAGAGTCCACCGCTAAGAGGTCACTCCACCTAGCGGGGCTCGTCCAACACTGCGATGTAGGAGTAGTCACCTCGGGCTTGGTGTGGTCGATCTCGTGGCGGATCTCCTGCAGCGCCACCTGCTGCAGCTGGATGGCCCTGGGCTGGGCGGCGGGCGGCGGCTGCGCGCCCAGCGCGTCCTCCAGCTCGGCCAGCGTGCGCATCACGGCGCGCAGCTGCTGCCAGAAGCGGCGCGCCGTCTCCAGCGCCGCCTCCAGCGACGAGCCGCGCGCGCCGCTCGCCCGCTGCACCTCGTCCCACAGCCTGCAACGGGTGTATTTATGAGATGTGTTATGAGGGGCCTACTGCTATTCTCTGCCAGAGAGGATTCTAGGGCCTAGAGCCATTCTAGGGCAGGCTCGTCCTGGTAAGTACCACAACCTCACAGAAGACCGGCGTAAAGTGGAAGTATGACAAATACTTTCGCGTTTCGTCTGGTGAGTGAGGTAGCCGGAGCCCAATTTTCTAAAGGTTGTCAACGCATCTGCAACCCTCGGGTGTAGCAGATGTCCATGGGCGGCGGTATTCACTTAACATCAGGTGAACCGTCTGCTCGCTTGGCAAATTTTCACTTCAATAAAGAAAAAAGATAACTGTTTCGGATCTGAGTGTTTGTCCACGTGTGATATATGCGTGGACCTCCCATCCGTATTCACAATAATTAATATTGTTTGTATCAGTAGGCCAGCGTTCAAAAAGTCCCATAGTGTTCGGATTTAGTGCGTACTTGTTGAGCTTGTCCAGTTTGTTGCGTATGTCCCTGACGGCGGGGTCGCTCTTGTTGGCCTTGCTGATGACGTCGGTGGCCGCGCGCTGCACCGCGTTGTACGCCTCCTGTCGCTTCTCCAGGTCCTCGGCCAGCGCGTTGTTCTCCTCGATTTGGTCCCTGCAAAGGGGAATAGGTTAGTTACGCATCCTTCCGCTTTCGGTCCTTGTAGACGGATATTTAGCACATATTAATTATTGTTAAGTAAAAACCAGCCGGCAGCGCATTGTATATATTAATAATCTGTGGACATTGCTTGTCAAATGTCAATACTGTCTCTCTCTCATAACTTATTTAAGAAATCAGTCGCAAATAAACATCCCTGAAGTCAACAAATTACTTTCTTTTACTCCGCAAGACACCGAAAAGTGAACCTTATCCCCTACATTTGCATAGTAACATTATATAAAAATAAACTTTGCTCATAACTATTAACACCTTTACCAGATCTAGAAGCATAAAATTATTTATTGAGCACTAAGGTAGGTTTTTGGGTATTTGTCACCTAAGCATGTCAATAGCCAATAAAACGTCGCTGAACTGTACTTAACCTAAAGTGGAAGATACATTATCTATGGGATAAATAAAGACGTAAGAGAAACTGACTGAATCTTTGGCGGATGCGCAGAGACCGGCTCAGCGTGTTGCAGCTGGTCTGCTGTTCCCGCCAACGCGCGAAGCATGCCCTCCAACTTGTCGGAGAACTGCGATGACTCTTGCAGTGCCTGGGTAAAAAGTACATCTTTCGTAACTTTGCACGAACAAAAGAGGCAACTGTTATGAATCCTTCCTCCTGTAAGTATCCCGCTGACTTTATTATATGGTTCGTGTTTATATAAGCGAAATGTTAAAAAATTTGCGGTAAGTCGAGTATTGTACATTCATGCTGCGTGAGTCTGGTAAGTGAAAGAGTATAAGAAATAAACTTTAAAACCTGAACACTTAAGTCTAATCTCCCATGCTCAAGCATGAATGCATACAACAACTCGGTACGGGTAGTCATACGCAGTGAAAATTGAATTTTAAAATCTGCACGCTGCAATTGAATGTCGTGTGCTCATGCTATGTTACTGAAAAACTCGGTATGGCTCATTATACGCAGTGGAAAATGACATCGGAGTTCCGAGGGAACCGACCGGCTTTAACACGCAATGAAAAATGAACTTTAAAATCCGCATCCTACAGTCGGATCTCGCATGCTCGCCGCGTCATCGGAGCGCGGTATGTACTGTCATTATGCTCAATGAACAATGAACTTTATAATCGAGGCAGGTGAGTCGAGTATCGATACTACCATTCTGCGCCGTGTAAAATGGACTTTAAATTTCGAACACTTCAGTCGGATCTCGCACGCTCGCCGCGTTATCGGAGCGCGGTGTGCTCAATGAAAAATGTACTTTAAAGTCGAGGCGGGCGAGTCGGGAATCGGGCGCACCTGCTCCAGCTCCTGCTGGCGGCGGCGCAGCTCGGCCCGCAGCGCGCCGTAGCGCTCGCAGTCCGCCTCGACGACGTCCTGCAGCTTGGCGGCGTCGTCCTCGCCGCAGAGGCGGGAGAGCGCCTCCCCGGTCTTCGTCAGCTTGTCCACCAGCGGCTTGTGCCCGGCTATCGACTGTTGCAGCAACTGAAAGCGGGTCAATGTTCATTAACGCATCCTTCTGCGGCAGCGAGAGCGGCACAGCTGTTATAAGTAGTAATGTTATAAATGTGTTCTACGTGTTTGTTATCTCCATATTGCAACGGCTGGACGAATTTGATGTGGCGATAGCCAATGCTGTCCGCTAGCACAAATGGTTTTACATAAATTTTATTTCTATTTTAATAACTTACATCCAAATTGAAAGGCTATTTAGAAGAAAATATTTAGAGGAATAAGGACACAACTAAAAATATATACCCTGTTTAAATATTATAACATAAATAAGTTTACTAACATATTTATATTGATTGTTAATTATGATAATGCTTTAAATTTAAATAATATTTAAGTGAGCAGTGTCCTTTGAAAAAAATAAAATCAATGTCTGATAATGGCATCAAATTTTGAAGCACTTCTTTACTAGTTATAGTAGGTGTTAACCTATTTGTGTGTAAAGTACACTTAATGGAAAATAAATAATTGAATTGAATAATAAGTTTGTTCGAACAATTTCCTTAGCCATTGCTACTTTTATAAAGATATCTAAGATTGGTTTGGAACAACCTTGATCAGGTATCGTCTCGTTTAAAATTACCTCATTTTTGTCCTGTTGCTGAACGATCTGCTCCGGGCGAAGCGCCGGCATAGCCAACATCTGTATTTGATCCTCCATCTCGTCAAGCCAAGACGACAGTCTATTAACGAAATTATTCATTATTAAAACCACGAAATACTAGTCTAAGTATGTAATCTAAAAGAACAATTTAAACGGAACCTGAAAAAAATGAATATTTGGACTATGTATGTGCATAAGAATTGATTATAAATTGCGACTAAAGACCGGTTCCTATATTCAACGAACGGCCGTTAGTTACATTGTCATTATGAAGTCGTTATAACGAGTCGTTATGAAAGTTATGAAAGTTATGTTATAACTCACGACCGTTCGTTGAATATAGGAACCGTTATAACGAGTCGTTATGAAAGTTATGGAAGTTATGTTATAACTAACGGCCGTTCGTTGAATATAGGAACCGGGCATTAGTAAGATTTCGCTAACTGCTGCCTCATCAACCCTGACCTTCAGTTGTTCGTATAAATACAAGTTCGATTTTTTTTAGTTACTTTTCGACCATTTCTAGTCGTCGTACTATTAAATTTTCTCAGCGATACATGGATCCGTTAGCTTTATGCATACACTGACGCAAGAAAACTTATTTGCCTCACACAACAGAGACTTTTCAGGAGCCAAAGAATTTTTTCAAATAATAAAAGAGACATCACACCAAATACATATTGGCTGCATCTCTATACTTGTTTGTAGCTCTACCGACATTTTGTAGACATGTGATAAGATGGCGGTTCACTTGATGGTAACTGATAACCGCCGGCCATGGACATTTGAAACACCCATAAGGTTGCAAACGCGTTGCCATCTTCTAATGAAGTGGGCCGCGGCCACTTTACGCCGGTCTTCTGTGAGGTCGTGGTACTTCCCCGGACGGACCAGCCCATTCGTGAATCAGCACTTTGCAAGAAAGTGCAGCAGATGTTGCAGGGAAGCCGTGCCGCGTCGATCTCCGTGGCGAGTGCACCGGTGTACCCGACGGTGAACCCGCGGTGTACCCGACGGTGTACCCAAACGGTGTACCCGACGGTGTACCCGACGGTGTACCCGACGGTGTACCCGACGGTGTACCCGACGGTGTACCCGACGGAGTACCCAACGGTGTACCCGACGGTGTACCCGACGGTGTACCCGACGGTGTACCCGACGGAGTACCCGACGGTGTACCCGACGGAGTACCCGACGGTGTACCCGACGGAGTACCCAACGGTGTACCCGACGGTGTACCTACCCGTGATGCGTGTCTGCAAAGTGCTCCGCCAGCGGCAGCGCCTGCTCCAGCGCGGCCAGCCGCGCGGCGCTCAGCCTGCCCACCTCGTCCATCATCTCGCGCAGCTCCTCGCTGCGGTCGCGGATCACGCCCGCCTCCTCGCTCGACTGGCACTCGCGGATCACCTGCCGAATGGTAGATACATTTAAAGTAAAGTGCAGCCTGTACATGTCCCGCTGTTTAGCAAAGATCACAGTCAAACACGCGACCCCACTGCGGATTGGCAGACTTCTCTATAACTTCATTTCCGAACCAGCATATTTTCGAAGTAATAACAAATTTTATTTCGAAAATATGCAGGTTTTCTCGCGATGTTTTCCTTGACTGCTGAGCACGTGATAAGTCAGTAATTTTTTTGGTGCTGAATTTATTACACTGAGCTCCAAAAATAGGTCATTTTAGCCGGATAGTCAACGATCGGACTGAAAGAATCGCTAAAGTATCTGGCCTACCCTAATGACTCCGTGGTGCAGTCCCCTAGAGATTCGCACACGGAAAACTTTAAAACTTTTCTTCGTAGCGTTTCAGATGCGGCTGAAACTTTCTTACAACAGAATAATGCGATGACTCGGTTGCGCAGTCACCAAGGTATTGCCTACGGCGGCGGGGGCCGTGGGTTCGACCACCACAGGGTACAACTGTTTGTGCGGCCCACAGATAGTTGTTTCGCATCTGGGTGTTTGTCCGCTTGAAACTTATGTTTGAAACGCCCTTACAAGACAGGGTAACGTTATCCTAAAGTAAGGGCTATAAAGGAGGCGCACCTTCTTGGCCTGGGCGAGCAGGTCCCTGGCGCGCACCCGCTGCGCGGCCACCTCGTCCGCGAGGGGCCGCTGCGCCTGCAGCTGCGCGCGCAGGGCTGCCGCCGCGGCGGCGGGCGGCTCCGCCCCGCGCAGGGCTGCGTCGGCGCCGCGCAGCCACTCCACCAGCTCCTCCATGTCGCCCACCACCTCCAGCGAGCGCTGCCGGACACATGTGCATCGTTTTACACATCCTTACTTCCTTAATTTCTTATATTATAAAGGCGAAAATTTGTATATATTGATGGATGTTTGATACTCTTTCACGCAAACACTACTGAATGGATGCAAATGAAACTATATACATCAGAATAACACATAGGCTATAATTTATATACATATATATTTTATGTTTATCTGTCTTTCTGTCTGAACTAGTATATTTATTTATGAGGGGAGATATGACCAGCCCTTGTTTCATCAAACTTATATGCCAAAGGAACTTGTGTTGCCAACTGTACTTTGTGCTTCAAATATATAATTGTGAAGTTCGGTATGCAATTTCGGGCTTTAACACCCTTTCGATTTCTGTGACAATACTAATCTCTACACCTGAGATGAAACATTAAAATTTGTACAAAAAAGGATCAAAAGGCTTAAAATTTTGGTTCATACTCTCGTTTCCTACAAGTTTTAATGCTTATAGATCAAAAATAGAAAAATAGGGATAGGTAGTGTGAAAGAGAAGTAAATACCTTCTTGCTGAGCAATACTCGCTCGGCCTTGCGTTGGACCTGCTCGGCGATTGCGTCGAAGCGGCGGTTGTCGCGCGTCACGATCCCCTCCACGTGGGTGGCGCCCTCGCCCGGCGATATCTGCAAATCGACATGATCATTTACTCGGTCAGTAAAAAAAATCTATAATTAAAACAATAAGAAAGATTAAATAAGTCAAGCGCTCTGCATCTTCTTTACGAAAACTTGGAAATGAGAATTGTAAATATATTAATGAATGTTCAGGATAGAACAAGGAAGAAGAAATAACGCTTCTGAAGGTGTTAAATTAATATAATTTCAACTAAGAAATAATTAGTTTGTATTCGAATGCGAGTCCGTTACGGTTGGAAGTCAGTGCGAATGTATTGATTTGAATGTGAGTCGTTGACCATCCTGAGCCAATATATTTAAAATATAACGGTCGACTTCCAACGCGAGTGTTACAAGTATAAAGACAGTCTATGGTTTACACGTTAATTTATACATTAATAATATTAAATTTATTTATAATTTTAAATTGTCTGTAGCGCAGACAATGAACGTTACTTTTTAAAAAAATTATATGAGTTTTATTGAATAGCAGATGTTTATGGCGGTGGTCATTTTCCGTCAAATTAGCTTCCTGCTCGTATGCTCCTTTTTCTCAAATAAAAAATTGTAACGCAATCCTTACCTGGCACAGCTGTGGTCCGATCTGGTTGATGTTCTCCAGGACTGGCCTGTACTCCTGGATCTCTGCTTCGAGCCTGAGAATGTCCTCCTCGCGAGGCTCAACGGACTGCAGGACGCTCTCGGCGCCGGCCATCCATTCGGTCAACCTTAACGAGAGAACCATACGTTCTTAATATGTGGTATAGAATTTGTATTAGTCAGTAACGGTTAGTGATTATGGTTGTTAAACTGGCATTTAGGAGGAAGTTTAAGGAGACGGGGACGCACTTGGCGTCTACTAGCTCCATAGTTTTGGTTGTTAAACTGGCATTTAGGAGGAATATCAAGGAGACGGCGACGCACTGGGTGTGGCTGCCAGCTGGATAGGTCTTATTGTTATCATTCCACGTATCGTTCAATTAAGCTAGAATTACGAGGAAGCTCTTAGAAGAGACTGAGACGCATTTAGCGTCTGCTAGGTGCATAGCTTTCGTTGTTAAGCTGGCATTTAGGAGGAAGCTCAAAGAGACCGGCTACTAGCTTCATAAGTTTTAAGGTAGGAAGGTTTGTTAAACTGGCATTCAGGTGGTGGTTTTTAGAGCGCATTTATCGTGGTGGCTAACTCCATAGTTTTCGTTGTTAAACCGGCATTTAGGAGGTATACATCCACAGTTTTCGTTGTTAAACTTTTCTTTAGGAGGAATATCAAACAGACGGAGACTGACTTGGCGTGGCTGGCGGCCAGCTGCTGCACCAGCGGCAGCGTGTCGGAGGCGAGGCGCAGCAGCTCGGCGCCCCTGGCGGCCAGCTCGCCGTAGCGCCGCTGCAGCGCATCCAGCTTCTCCTTCAGCTGCAGCGCCTCGTCGCCAGAGATGTGCCGCATCAGCTCCAGCCCCGACTCCACCGTGCTGTCCACCGCCTCCTGCTTCGACGCTATCTCCTCCGTCTTCTCCTGCGCGACAAATGTATCTCACCTTTACTTAACAAAATGACGCTAGACAAATATCTTTACTGCCAGGATATATCTACATTACACGTCTTAAGAATTAAAGTCCGCAGTTGTGAAAAGTAAAACAAAAAAACTAAAAATCATATGAATTATCCATTTTTGATACATTCATTACATTTTATGTACTTCATATCAGTCGTCGACACATGTCAGCCAGGATAATAGCTACCATATTGCTTATCAGTCATATAGGATCATGATATTGTTCTTATCCAAAAAAAAATATATAATATGTCAATGTGTCAATGTACGAAATAACTTTTATCACACATATACCTTTATATATTTATTCGTGGAAGTATATTTTATGTTGCAACTATTCACCTTTGCCTATTCTCTTGAATGAATAACTACAAATAACGAAGGAATAAATCGACAAACTCACAGCGAGCTCGTCCATCTGCCTGAGCAGCTTCTCCATGTGCACGGGCAGGACCTTCCTCTTGGCCAGGTACTGCTCCATGAGGTCCATCCAGGCGGACAGGTCCTGGTACGTGAGCACCAGGTGGCGCAGGCCCTTGCGCGAGTTGTCCAGCAAGTCGCCGATGTTCAGACTGTGCTCGACCAACGCTTGATACCTAGAAGGAAGTTGAAACTATGAAATGTATATAACCAATATTGACAATTTATAAAAAAATGACTAAAATGACCCTTGTAGTGGCCAAAGTTTGTTATATTTCTGGATTAAATGTTTATGCTTAATCTTTGTGAAACAATGTTAAGAAATTGCCACAAACATTACATCTTGTGTATACAATCATACGGAAGATAAATATTTATATATAAAGATTAAACTATAACATGAAACCATTATACGGATTTTATGCTATTAAATTTAAATTATCGACGTTTTAATGCTTTGCCGCGTCATGGTTATGAGACGGACGGAATGTCTGTCCTGTTTCATATGTACGGAAGGTAGTTTTTAAATATTTGATAACGTTAAAATTTTGAATAAAGTGTACGCGAAAGTAATATTAAGGTAAAGTGTGAGTATGAGGTAGATTGAGACAATTGAAGTGCATAATACCTGTCGGTGGCGGCTTGCAGCCTGTCAGCTAAGCTCGTCGCCTCGTCATCTCCGACCAGGGCCATCAGGGTGGAGGCGGTCTCGGTCAGCTGCTTGAACGGCGGTTGCTTCGAGATTATGTCGTCGTGAAGGATCTGCACCGGAGTTATTCTTTGAAGTCATACTTCTTTAGGCACGTTTAGGAAGGAGCAACCAATATAAACTTTTTGACATTTAATGTTGTTGTTTAATGAAACCATTATCGTTTAATGTCTTTTTTGCGCAAACAAACAAGACGAGATTAAGAAGAAGAAACAAAGAACCTGTACGCTCACGGTGTATTTTTTTAGTTATTGTAACAACAGAAACGTGCGAACACGTTACTTATAAGTACGTTATTTATTATATTAAAATCGATACTTATTAGAAGTGCGTACATTATGTATTATAATTGCACCTATATTAAATGTAAAAATCGCGGTTATCGTCTCGCCGTCGTAAAGTTTAGATCTGGGCTCCGAACCTTATGCTCCCTGATCTTCTGCTGGATCTTCTCCTCGTCAGTGGGCACCAGCTCCAGGGCCTTCACCTGCCGCTCGGCGCCTCCGAGCCACTCGACCAGCGGTTGCAGCTGTTCCTGGAACTGCTTCGCCACCTGGAGAGCAACGAGAAGTCAGATCATGGTGTCTAGGTCTAATAAATATTATTCCCTTAATATTTTGTGTAGCACACAATCTTTTTCTCACGGGATCGAACCCTTGACACAACGCAATCGCAGTTGACGAGGTGTCAGCTTGAACCGGGTCATTTTTGTAGTATGTTCGGTTGAAAATATTTCAGAATACCTGTCCAGACAACGTCAAAATGAACATTTGAATATTAGAGATGTCCTTTGTATATATTAGTAAGATAAAGATATATATATTCTTACAATGAACATATAGATATATTCTTTGTGTGTCAAAATAAAGAGACAGCAAATGATTTTAATATAGAGAGGAGAAAGACGCGCCATGATATTTAAAGCTAACGTGTCAAACACACGCCGCCATCTTTTTTCTTATCGCTTTAATTGCGCCATCCTTTTAGTACCATTCGAAAGAACCATGTGAAATTCGACCGGTGAAAGGCATAAGGTAAACGGAACATCAGATAGTCGAGAGCATCGATGGCTCCACCTGCATGGCCTGCTCCAGGTCCAGCATCCGCCGCTGGGCGCCGTCGGTGAGCGCGTCGAATCTCTGCATGAGGCCCTTGAGCTGCTTCTCGACGGCCTTCCTGTCCGCCGGCTCGCAGCCGGCCGCCACCTCGTTGCCCATCGCGAACAGCGACGACATCGAGTTCTGACGGTCCATCAGCATCTTCTTCAGGAACTGGAACCGCCGATCGGCGTTTGTAGTGCAGCAGTGTAAGGCAAAATATACCTTGTTTCGTTTCGATTAAAACTGTATTCGAGTGCGCGGTATGGGGATTCATATTACATTCGTATAAATTAATCTTACACATATACACTTACGCCCGGTTTCTGAAACACCGATCATCGTAGAAGTCAACTAATCAGCTGTCAAATGTTATTTGAGTTGCCAGAAGGATTGTTAAACTCTCTGAAACCTCTCCGGGCGTTAATCTTATAAACATTGACATTAAAAGATTTTTTTAAGAATTAAGCTTATCAACTAAGGTACTATGTATTAATTAATATTTTTTCGACTCGATCCACACAGTTAATAAATAACGTTTAAGAATATAAATCAATTGTAAAATAACAATACTTGCACCGTAATGCAACGGTAAAATAGACTCTATAGCAATGAGCATAGAGCCGTATTTGGAGCGGCGTGGCTCACCTTCTGCTCCTGCAGCTGCGCCTTAACCACCTTGTAGTCGGCCGAGGGCGGCTTCTGGTTGTTGACCATGTCCTCGGTGTCGGCCAGCCACTTCTCCAGGCCGGCCAGGGCCTCCGCGAACTTGCCCGACTGCAGCAGCCCCACGTCCAGGCGACGCTCCCTCTCGTTCATCTGTTGGGGGCAATCATTATTGAATTTTACGTTCTAAAACGGTGTTAATGAATATATAAAAGAAAATTAAAAGTATTTTATGAGATGTGTCAACAGTCTTCAAACAGTCTTGGCCGTTACACGAATTGGCAGGTTGGTACAACGATTTCACAGACGACCGGCATGAAGTGGAAGTTGTATACTTTTATTTCCTATGGCGAATGAGGTGACCGGGATTTACTTTATTAAAAGATGGCTAATACGCGTCCGGACACTGTGATAGCTCAGTATCCGGGCGTTTAGTCGTGATAGGTCATTGTCTGAGCGGTCGTTTTTAATTCCTCATACTCGAGCAACCAGAGTTCGATCCCAATGCAGGCACCAATGAAATTCTAAATTTTAAGTGCTGACTTATCGCACCGTGAGGAAACCCGCATATTCTCGAAACAATAACAAAAAGGCCCCGTGTAGGCTCTCACCTTCTCCTTGAGCGCGTTCCAGCGGTCGTTCATCTTCTCCAGGTCCCTCTCCAGCTGCTGGGTGGCGACGCCCTGCGCGGCGGAGCGCACCAGCCCCTGGCCGATGCGGTTGCACTGCGCCACGTTCGCGCCCAGCGGCTCCAGCGAGCGCCGCCGCAGCTCGGCGAAGTCCCGCTGCTGCGACCGGATCTGCTCCACCTCGGAGGAGACCGGCTTCAGGCCGCGCACCTGCTCCGACGCCTGGGGCGATTGGAACCATTGTTAACGCATCGAGAGATGTTCACCAGTGGGCACCAGTTGCGGACCTATCGGAGCTCCTTCAGTGATTCTCCGTAAGAATTATTAACACTTTCGTGAGACGTTATTGAAGAAATGATAAAACGGCCGGACTCGCGTTCAATCGGTGTGTGTACCAGCTTTAGACCTACCGGAGGTTATTTATTAACTCTCGTGAAGGCGTCATTTGGAACTGGACTTACAAAATTCAACCTTAAAGACATTCTAAAAGGGCTCAATTTAAAACATCGATCTATTTAATAATAGTCATGAGCCAACTGACTCGTTGGTATTTGCTTCCGCCAAAAGCACACCCATTGCCCTTTTTTTGATATTTTACTTATTATTATATATATATAGGATAAATATATAGGACAAAGAGAAAAAAATAATAGGAATTCAAATAAATAATACTGACACTATGACTAAAATAGTATAATACTATATGTACTGTACTACACTACTAACGTCATTTCAAATATCAAAGTCAAGATGCGGGCTTAATTATAGAAAACGATCGCTGTTCACGCCGCCACTATAATACCTAAGCCATATATTATTATCATAAGGCATAGAGTACAAAAGAAAGTCAGATGTTGCACCTCTTGCACGTCGTCCATAACGGAGTCGTAGGCCTTGTAGAAGGCCTCCAGCTTGCTCAGGGTGTCGTCAAGGTCCTGTTCCTTGGCGCGCGCTCGCTCGTCCAGCTTGGCCAGCTTCTTGCGAAGACCTTCCACCTGCAAACAAATACGTTTATGTTTATTATGCTGCATCTTGAAATATAATGTAAATATATGTACAGCTTTATATGTGAGGAATGTAATCTGAATATAAATTTGTTCTTCCTTCGTGGTAATGCCAAAATACAGCACCATCTCTTCAAGAAGGAATTCTTCTTTAGTTTTTCTATACTAGGGTTAGTAGTATGTATACTTAATAGCCAAATAAATTAATAATGATTATTTTAATATTTACCACTCTGTGGCTTAGTTGCCTACATATTGGCTTAGGCACCGAGGGTCGTGTGTTCGATTCCCGCACGGGACCTCTATTTGTAGATAATCTGGGTTTTTATCCGTGTGGAATTTAAGTATGTTAAACGTCGTTACAACATAAGATAATGTTGTCCAACAGTAATGGCAAAAAAAATATATAGTAATTTGACTAGGCTACGTGGCGTTACCGCAATAGGATCACATGCAAAATTGTATCACTAAAAACAGAGATAAAAAGGCCGCATAAATTCTTGCCGGTTCTTATCTGGTCAGGTCTAGTGAACCGGTGATAGTTTATTTTTTGACGTTCGATAAGAGGTTAAATAAAGTCTATATTGAATCATCATCATCATCGTTTCAGCATGTTTGAGTCCACTGCTAAACATAGGCCTCGCCCACAGACTGGCACGAGGCACATTCCTGGGCCATCTGCGTCCATCGACATCCCGCACACTTGCACAGGTCGCCACTCCATCTAGTGGGGGGACGCTGCGTCTATTTTGAATGAAGAAATTATAACTGACTTCAATTATCTGTCTCTATATTCATTTAATAATTGATTTTCAGGAGTTCCATAAGTATCCCCGGAGCCCAAGGTCAAATGTCAATGAAATTAATACGGGACCACATGGGAAGCGCCAGCTTTGCAATAAAAAACCAACATCAAAATCGCTTCGCTCAGTCAAAAGGTCTGAGGTAACAGACATAAGCAATAAAAATAAAAAATAAAGTCGAATTGAGAATTTGAAGTCTGTCAAAAAGAAAAATAGAAGATAGCGGGGCGCACTTGATCTCTGGTGCTGGTCAGGTCCACGGAGTGGCCGTCGTCGAGCAGGCCCTCAGCGGCCCTCTCGGCGCCGGCGACCAGCTCGTCGGCCCCCTCCAGCCGCTTGTAGAAGCGGCCCAGCTCGTCCAGCTGCTGGCGGACGGTCTTCACGTCGCGGCCGGGCGCCTTCATGCCGTCCAGCTCCTTCTCCAGCTCGGACAGGTCGTGGGACACGCCCTTTACTTTCTCCTGCGGGTGGGGTTACGCGGCAGTGTGATCATATTGTATTGACAATAAAAAAATTGCCTTATGCGAATGCAATTGTAAATGCTTTTTTTTTTACCGATTGTACAGTCTTTTTATTTAAAAAGTTTGCAAAGGTTCTGATGCTTGATTACCGTCATCTCACTCACTATACATTTCATATTTAATTTTGAGCAACGTCCTAATGTATTTCCGAGGTCCAATACCGGTTAAATTAATATGGGATCAGATGGGAGCTATATTGAACCCAATGGAAAAATATTTTTATCGCTTAACAAATGACAGAGCTCCGAGGTAGAAAATTAAATTGCGAACCCCTTTCTTGAAGTCGGTCGACGACCTCGCTTCTATAACCCGACGGAAGTGCAAGGTGCTATTCCCACCGGTACTTCCCCTGACAGAAGTACAGCTTCGGCTGTTGCATAAATGGGGAGATCCGTCCGGCTGAGTACCACGACTTCTGAAGACCATCAGAAGTGGTGGTGTCATACCGCTGCATTTTGTATGGAGGGCAGCCGGGGCGCAATTTCCTCCTCTTATACAACAAGCGGTCACCTGGAAGTGGGCCAGCGCGGCCGCGGCGCCGGCCAGCCGGTCGCGCGCCGCCTCCGCCTGCGCCTCGAGCAGCCGCAGCCGCTCGGCCAGCGCCCGGGAGGTCTGCTCCAGCACGGGCCGCGCCCGCTCCGCCGCCGCCGGCCCGCCGCACTCCAGCGCCAGCGATGTCACGTCGTCCGCCGCCGACTGCACGCTCTGTTGCGTATACTACGATTTAGTAACACTACACGAGAAGCGGCCAGTGCGAAAGTTCCGGCGATTGACAACAAATTCACAGGACTGTTTGTTACAATTGGTATTCATATAAAACTTAAGTATATACAATTAATTTTATATGATATATGAGTTTATCGTTTACGATGAACTCGGGAAATTTTGTCAGCGCTTAAAGATTAATTAATTTATTAGGGTAATGGACTGCATGAGTAGCCAAAACTAAATTCTGTTGATCTGTTACTAAATTTCACATGGTCACACAGAATTGGTGCAGTCCTTTGATCTTCATATAGAACTTACATACATATATCAATTTTTGTATATATTTCTCATTGAAAAGTAGTTTAATTTGTTTACTGCCTTAAAAAAATAAAGGAAATGATTAATGAACTAAAGGATATCAACTTGTGATACAAGTAATATAAATTTAAGAGATTTCATACACAGACTTACTTAAGAAAGTGTATATTGAGGCAATGATAAGGCTTGCGGGAGCTAGTCAAGACGTGTCGAAAGAACGAATCAGTATGGGGGTGTTAGGCTTTAGAAGAAGTGTTGCAGAACGAAGCGTTGCGGGGAGAGTGGGGGGAAGTAAGGGGAAGAGTAAGAAGGGGGTCACCTGGCTTTACAAGTGGTGCAGAACGAAGCGAGGTGGAGAGAGTGGGGGGAGCAAGGGGAAGAGTAAGAACGGGGTCACCTGGCTTTACAAGTGGTGCAGAACGAAGCGAGGAGGAGAGAGTGGGGGGAGCAAGGGGAAGAGTAAGAAGGGGGTCACCTGGCTTTACAAGTGGTGCAGAACGAAGCGAGGTGGAGAGAGTGGGGGGAGCAAGGGGAAGAGTAAGAAGGGGGTCACCTGGCTTTACAAGTGATGTAGAACGGAGTGTGCGGGGAGAGTGGGGGGAGTAGGGTGAACGGTAAGAAGGGGGTCACCATGCTTTACGAGGGGCGCAGAACGAGGCGGTGCGGAGGGAGCGGGGGGAGGGGAGGAGGGTCACCTGCAGCGGCGCTTGGAGCGCGTGCAGCTGGTCGGCGAGGCGCGCGGCGGCGTCGAGCGCGCGGCGCGCGGGCTGCGTGGGCTGCGCTTGGAGCGCGGCGAGCCGCTCCTCGCAGCGCGCCAGCGGCGCCTCGACGGCGCGCACGCGCTCGCCCCACTCGGCCAGCAGCCGCGCCACGCCCTCCAGGAACTCCGCCTGCTGCAGCACGTCTGCCGAGCGTCGGAGCGTTACTACCTCTGTGCGGACGGCTCTAGGACGTAGCCCGCCCAGCGACCAGACAGACTTGTGGTTTCTTTACATTATTTCGAAAATATGCAGCCTTCATCCCAAATATCATATCTGAATATTTGACACTGATATAATGATGACTGAATAGTTAACACATGTATTATTTATATTCGTTAACAAATTCGAAACAAAACAAATCACCTAGGAACTTTATTAAATTTTCCAGCTTAATGTTATAACTCAAACATCGCTTGACAAATAAAACTTCTGAAGGCATCCAGAACTCACGGTTGTTTATCTTGTCCCATGTCTCCTTCATGCCGTCTATCTGTTTCCTGACAACTTCCTGGTCCACGTCGCACGACGAGATGAACGTTTCGCCGAGGGTCTTGTTGTTTTCGAACTCTCCGGACCTGGTGAAAATAAAAACCCCACTGTAATAAACATTCATATCTTTTAATAATAAACTTTTCCCTAAAGTATTTTATACACCACAATTTTATCTCATGAATTAAAGTTTTATAAGTATTAATAATAAATATCTGACTTATATTTTGTTATGGAAACACTTATGCCCAAACTTGACATCTTATAATTTCAATTCGAAACAATCAAGTTGATAATCTACCAACATTATGTGAGGCATTTATAAGCAGTCACTTCTTTAACTTACAAGAAATTGATGTTATTTCAAAAACCAGAACTGTTCATTGTAATGAATTCTTTATACGAGTAGTCTTCCGTGGTGGTGAAAGAAAAGGGGTCAGCTGACCTCTTCCAGATGTCGTTCCTGATCTGCTGCAGCTCGCGCAGCTGCTTCTCCACCTCCTTCTTGGTGAAGGCGGCCGGTGGCAGCTTCTCCAGACGCTCCTCGGCCTCCGCCAGCCACGGCAGGAAGGATTCCTGAGCTTTGCCGTACTTGCGGCAGTGTTCCTGTTAAGAAGCAGGTCAGTTACTTTAAAACATCGTGAGGATACCTTCATACCATACCATTTCGGAATAATGACAAAAAAAAAGAAGATATGAAGTCCGCCAATCCGCGTTGGGGCCGCGTGGTGGACTATGCCCTGATACCTTATGTATAGAAGAGGCCTTTGCCCTGCAGTGGGACATGTATAGGCTGTTACTTTACTTTAATTTTAGTTACTTTAGTAACAGTAACACTACAGAGACTAATCGTCTAAATACATTACATTAATAATATAAGTTTGCATATGTAGGTTTGTTCCTTCTTCAATTTTCAAAGAGATAATTAGTACAAGTGAATGCTCGGTAGTCGAAGTTGGAATTTAATTCAAAATTTAATATTTTTTCACGAAAATCAATCATCAATATAAAAATTCTATGCAAAAATTTCTATACTATGCGACTCTTTGACCGTAGAATATTATAATATACAGTATGATTCATACCGTATGAATGTTTACAAATTTAATTTAATATATTACACGTTAAATATAAATTTTAACATTCTGCTCTCCTTCATTACACTTTTAAAGTGTCTAATGTTTGATCTAGTGTTTGATCTTCTCGTGTAAGAAATGTGTATATTTGTAAGGGAATACTTTAAATCGCGTCAAGAGGCAATCTCATATGCTTCAATAACAATTCGGTGATAAATACAAATATTACTGACCATAGCGGTTTGCAGACGGTTGTATCTGTCCACCGTCTCCCGCTTGAGTTTGTCCCATTGTGTCTGGATCCTGTCCAGGTCCTTGCGCAAGCCTTGGTGCGAAGGTTTCTTCTCCATCTCGCGGCCTGGACGGAAATGTAATATTCGTGTTATAATAAGTAAATAAGCATATAACTCTTCAGGTTGCGACTATATTTGTAATTTTTAAGATTAGATTTATATTTTAATCCAAGAACAAAATAAACTTATTTTCGATTTCAAGCTAAATATAAGCAAGCAAAAATTATATTTATTGAGTAATGTTTAGCCATCTAAAAACCCTAATTTGTGTTACTTAAGCATTTAATACCTAGGACAAGTAAGTAAATTAAAGGTTAAACTTTTATTGTTTTATATGTTATAATTTACCACCACATTTTTTAACATTGGTGTAGCGAATATATAAGTTGATTCCGGTATCGAATTCGCAGCTCCCAAGTCTGATTGATTTTTCTCTTTCATATGCATTTTCAAATAAGACTTTATACCGACATATCTAGAACTCTTAGAGGCCCTTACCTTTGTCGAGCAGCATGATGATCTCATGCTCCCGCCTCGTGAGGTCCCTGTAGAGCGGCTCGTGTCGCTCCAGCTGCTGCTGCAGCCGCGCCTTGGCGGCGGACACCTGCAGCCTGGCCGGCAACGCCGCCAGCTCCGTCTGCAGCCAGCCCAGGGTCTTGGCCACGCTCTCCTCCAGGTTGCGGCCGTCCCTGAACACGGTCTCCGTTTAGTTCCCCGACTACTTTTAGGGCAAATTTCTTCATTTTGCAATCCCAATCATTTGTTTGTAGAGACTTTTAATGGTATTTGGCATATGAACAAAGCGTCCATTTCATTTTATAAATATATTAGCACTGGTTTATTTTTTTTAAATGTGAAAAGTTATCAAGCGAGCAGACGGTTCACCTGATGTTGAGTGAATACCGCCGCCCATGGACATCCGCTACACCCGAGGGTTGTAGAAGCGTTGACAACCTTCTGAAAATTGGGCTCCGGCACCTCACTCGCCAGACGAAACGCGAAAGTATCATACTCGCACTTTACGCTGGTATTCTGTGAGGTCATGGTACTGACCCGGACGAGTCAGCCCATTCGCGCAACAGTCGAGGCTCCTGCGTGGCCCTACCACCGTTAAATTTATTGTGAAGTTGTTGTGACTCCTCAATCAAGCCATTTCTTTTGTAGATTGAAACCTTTACGTACGTTTACTACAGTTGAAGTGGGCTATTAAGTCTAGTAGTCTTTATAATATAGGAAAGTTAATATTATTTTTTTTAAATATCCACTTTCCCACTCCATTCTTTCTATTTTACACGAACAGTAGCCTCACAGAAGACCGGCGCGAAGTGGTAATGTTATAATTCCGCGTTTCGGTAAGCGAGCTGCCGGGGCTCACTTTTTAACTCATCTTCAAGCCCTCAGGCGGTGTACACGTCCACAGGGGTCCAGTTAACATCAGGCCTCACACCGCTCGCTGTTAAACATAGCTATCGAGGCGCTCACCTGAGGGCGGCCTCCGCTTCAGCTTTAGCCATGTCGAGGCGCCGTTGCAGCGCGTCGAAGTGGCGCACCGCGCCGGCCAACTTGCTAGCGACGTCCTGGCGCGCCGAAGACTCTCCCAGCACGGCGCCCAGCGCTTCGCCAGCCGCCTCCAGGTCCGCCAGCAGCGGCCGCTGCCCCTCCAGCTGCCTCTCCAGGTTCTTGAGGACATCGAAGCGAATTGTTAACCACGGTGGTACACGCAAGATCTCAATAAGCGCAACGTATTAACCACGGTGGCACACGCACGAGCTGATCGTAATCGTCTGTAGTTTTAGTATATTAAAACGGATCGAAAGGAACGAACGAATGAATGAATGCAATTGACCCGTTTGAATTGAACGGAATTAAAGTGAATGAGAGGTAATTTTTTTCATTTATCGCTGCATAACATCCAATGAGGCGGGAGTGTAGACCGTTGGCGTCGCCACGTTACACGTCGATATGAAACATCTGACACGGTGTGTTGACGCGTCGACGCAAGTGTCAAAAAGCGTTTCCGCGAGGGGTTTTCGCCTCGCGATAGAAGCAAGAGCGCGGCGCACCTGCACGCAGCGCAGCCGCTCGTCGGCGGGGTGTTGCGGCGCGGCGTCCAGGCGCTCGGCGATGGCCTGCAGCGCGCCCCGCAGCCGCGCCAGGCCCGCGTCCAGCTCGCGGCACGTGTCGGCCGCCGCGCCCAGGCTCTCGGCGCGCCGCTCCAGTCTGCCCGCGCACGGCACGCGTTATTAACACGATATGGATATATTTATGACAATCGGTTCGTATACGATACGGCCGTCAACTGTGATAGCTCGGTGTCCGCTCGCTCTTAACTTAACATAGTCGAGCACCTCAAGTCCCGGTGCCGGCACTAGTGAAATTGTTAATTTTAAGTCTTGAAACTTGAATGTCTTCGAAGAAATAGCAAAACGAGTAAATTTTATTAATTAACGTAAAACAAACCGACTTCAAAAATCTTGCTCTGTATCCATTTTATAATTGATTTTCAGGAGTTTTCCCTAAGTATCTCCGGAGCCCAAAATTTAATCCAATGAAATTAATATGAGACCACATGGGAAGCACCAGTTTTCAAATAAAAAAAAGAATTATCAAAATCAATTCACTCGGTTGAAAATTATAAGGTAACAAACAAAAAACAAACCCCCCGAATTGAGAACCTCCTCCCTATTTAAAGTCGGTTGAAATCAATTGATTTAATGAATATGTGAAATCCGCTAATTCGCAGTGAGTCGCATGGTGGACCATTATGCTCTCTGGCCTTTGTCCAGCAGTGGAACGTGTACAGGTTGCTACTGTGCGGTAGCTAACAGAGCCATCAGCAACCAAGCGCCGTTCGATAGGACGCGGAGGGAGCGAGCGAGAGGCACTGACTGTGCGAGCAGCGCGTCCCAGTGGTCGGTGAGGCGGCGCACGTGCGCCTGCAGCGCTTGAGCATCGGGCGAGTCGTGGCGCAGCCGCTGCAGCGCCGCGGCGCCCACCTCCTGCAGGTGGCTCAGCTGCGGCTGCTGCCCGCGGAACTCCTCGCGCAGCACCTGCACCTGCACATTCGGAGGTAGGGCATTTCATGACTCTTCCTATTCCACACATTCTGCAGAAACTTGACTATGGACAGTAAAAAGTTTTAAATTTTTTATTGTTTCAAACGTTGTAATCTACCACGAGCTCCAGCTTCTGTGTATGTTTCATAATATTTCACTGCTAATATGAATTAGTGTTGAGCCGTGATAGCTCAGTGTCCGGGCGCTCGCCTTTAATTCAATATACTCGAGCAACCTGAGTTCGATCCCCGGTGCCGGCACCAATGAAGTTTTTAACTTTAAGTGCTGAATTATCACGTGCTCCGCGGTAAAGGAAAACATCGTGAGGAAACCTGCATATTTTCGAAATAATAACAAAAAAAAAATATTTCGAAGATATGTGAAGTCCGCCAATCCGCAGTGGGGCCGCGTGGTGGACTATGCCCTGATACCCTCTGTATAGAGGAGGCCTTTGCCCAGCAGTGGGACATGTATAGGCTGTTACTTTACTTTTTTTTTATGAATTAGTGTTGTAAAATACAAATGGATATTTCGATGTAGACTTCACAGAATATATTCAAAGAATTGTTACAGCATACAAAGTGGTTGTATACAAGCAATAAGATCGATTGGGAATTAATAAAATATTCCCCATCATTAATTGTATACTACTTGCAAGATATGATTCAAATCCCTGGTCATTCGAACTAAACCTTTACCATACTTTAAGACCACAGATATTCTCTTTAACGCTACTTGAACAAGTGAACAAATTCATTACTCACTTGCTGCACTTGTGTTTGCACCATCCTGGAGTCCGAAGAGATGGGGCCCAGGGCTGCCATCATTCGCTCTTTGGCGCTCAGCCACTGGGACAGGTTGGTGCTGGTGTCGTGGAAGTCCTTCATCTCCTCCATTAGGCGGATCCTGTGCAAAGGAGACGGCATGATAAGACATGATAGTTCAGCATACAAACAAGAAGGCAAATCTTGCATATACCATTAAATGGAGAAACGTAGGCAACAAACATCGCAAACATTAAAAAATAAATGACTTGAACGTTACTCATGTGACTATTTTCAATATTCTTCCTTATATCATTTTGATAGAGTCTATTTCGGCATGGCAATGTCAGCTCGCTCTGTACAGCAACCCCAGTGCTATTGGCCAATAGACTGGGCTAAATATAAAGCTCGTTAAATGTCTCTGTTGGCCCAGTAGGTAAATGTTGTTTCACCAAGATCCGGGTTCGGTTTCGACATGTAACATTTACGTGACCGACAAAGTTCATTCTTAGTGTCTCTCCGTGTACAATTCGATTTCAAAAGGCAATCTTATTTTATACTATGAAAGGTTAGAATAGAAAACGTGTAAGAAGAATTTAGTCCCTGTTACTCAATTGCCATCTAAACGCAGAAGTATAACACTCGCACCTCACGCCGGTCTTCTGTGAGGTCGTGGATCCCCAAACAGACCTGCCTATTCAAAAACTGTTTCGTGTTCTTGCCACAGTTAAGCTCCATATATAATATATTGCTGATTTGTCGGTTGACTGGTAGAGAACACCTAATGGTGTTAAGTCCGCCATTGTACGTTATTGTGCATAGTTTTTAAATAAATAAATAAATAAATATAATCAGTCAAGTTTAATCGATGTTGATAACTCACTTGTCTTTGAAGGCATCGTGGAGCGACTTCCAGCGGGAGGCGATGTCCTCCATCTCGTCGTGCAGACGATCGGCCCCTTGCACTCCCTGCTTGCGCTTCAGAAGCTCACGGACCTGACGATAGGAATACTTCATTTGAAAACATACCTTATCACGTAGCATTTTAAGTGCATATTGCAATGCTTTAAAAAAACCGTGAGTGCGGACTTATTTACACACGTAAGAAGTTATACTTCTTTAGTATAACGAAAGAAAAATAAAGAAAAATTTCATACTGTGTGCCAGTACAATTTTTTTGTGAAAAAAGTACTAATAATAATGCAATTGATAAAGGTTTAATAAAATAACTTGGAATTATTGGTAAATGCCAAAAAGTTGTTATTTGTTGCCACGGTAACACCATGAAGTTGTTGCCCCGCCTCATAAAAATTCCATCTCATAATCTACTCCAAACGCACCGAAACCAAGTATATTTTGCTATGATGCAAAAGAATTTCAACCTTATAGCGTTAGAAATAAAGAGATTTTTTAAAATAATAAACCTGAGTCTTGGTGGAATCTAGCAGGCTCTGCTTCTCGTACATCTCTTCGAGCACTGCGCGTGCTTGTTTGATCGTCTTGTCGGCTTCTTCCTTCGTATTGGGAATGGACTCCTTGGGCATTTGTCTTTGAACCTGAAGAAAAAAAATAAGTATGAAAGAAAAGAAACGAATGTTCATAAATTAAAAAAATAAGATAAAACAAACATCGTGAATAACTAATAGAAAAAAACATTTTTTTTGTGTCTCCGATAACATAATAAGAGCCTAAATTGATGGTAAGCAACTTTCCTTATTGACTACTTTCGGTTCCTATTACTCGCTTCGTTGTAAACGACGCATAAAGTGGACATACCTTGTCTAGGAAGTTGTTGAGTGTGCGCAAGTTGTCAAGATGCTTCTTTATTTCCTCCCTGATAGAGTCTATTTCCGCTTGGCGGTCCGACAGCTTACTGCCCAGCAGGCCGTAGCGGTTGTTGATATCGGACAGCTGCTGTTGGACTGGAGACAGGTCTACGAGCATATGAATCGAAGTGAATAAAAAGTTCTTTTGTGTTCAACTATTTGATGCGGGTTGGATCCTTTTGAAGTTTGAATGGGCCTTGTATGTGATACATAATTATCACTTCATTATGAAGGCATTCCCGAAAAAGCGGAGATAAAACGAGTTAATATTCGTGTCATTGACTACGTGTAATGAATACCGGGAAGAGAATATATGATTGCGGTATTGAAATACTTTTCAGTGATGCCGTAAGTGGTAGCCAATCAATTTTGCTAGCTAAGAAATTAGTAATGTACTACAAACTACTATAGAGTACCACATTATTTCTACTATAGAGTTACAACAAAGGAAAAGGGAAAGATACTCGATGCTGTACAAAGACCTAGAAAGAGAAAACTGGTTCATCATCATCATCGCGGCAGTTCTTCAGAACATAGCTTCCGAGTTTATCTCTCACTTCCCTTCTTACATTGGTTGTGTCCAAATGCATCATAACCACCACAAATGAGCGTACAATCGGCAGACGACGGACACTGTACCTCCCTCTCTCATCCCGTCTCTTTCTCACACGTGTCGCCTGTCTCACCTTCCAGATGGAATCCGTCCTGGCTGGAGCGTCGCGACGAGAAGCCGCTGGAAGCGGAGTGGGACCCTGGACTCACCAGGTGCCCCTTACCCGGCGATGGGGATCGGGCGTCCAGCGAACGGGCTGACGAAAACGTACCATTATCATACATAAATCATACATTTTATATAGATAAGGGAGTTCTGTGCCTATTTAGTTCATGGACCTTGCTATAAAAATAGAGTAAACATGGCTTTGATTTTATTGTATTAAAAGAACTGAGTATTTTGTGTGAGTAGTAGTTATATGTTGTTGCAATTTTAAGTGCTTAATTACTACATATAAAACAAAATTTTCGAAGATAAATGTCAGATGACATTCAGCCAATCCGCAATCGTGTGGCGAAACATATCCTAATGCCGCCTATTTAAGTCTTTCCTTAGTGGGACATATCCATACTTATTATTTGCTTATATCGTTTGTTTCGTTTGAAGGAGATAGTGTTCTATGAAATTAGCGGATTTGTATATTCTCCTTTTCGAAAGGTCGATGAGCAACGTTTATCGTAGTAGTATAGTTGCTGGCAAAGCTTAAGAACAGTCAGTAACGAACTATATAGACAACTGTAACTCACTGGGTGTTTGCCTCTTAGTCGGGCTGTATATCTGTCTCTTTCTGTGCGGGCTGTCTGCCCGGTCGCCTCTCGTCAGATTTTCGTAAATCGCCCCGGCCTCGTTCACCTGATGATAATGTTTAAGAATGCTTTACAAGTAGATAAGAATAAGTTTTAAGAACATTACACCATTATCTAACTTCTTATAAGTATTATTCGTAATATGACGGGTAACAATGTTAACTTTACTCATTTGTTGATAATGTTTATAGTTTTTATATATTTACCAGACTTTTTTTTTTCTTATTAACGTATATAAAATTATTGATTTAGTTCAACGTTAACTGTAACATTTTGTGCTCTATTTATTATTTGTTCGTGAAGATCTTTTTTTTTTTCAATTTCTCCTTTCCACCATAATATCGTTCACTGTTTAAAATATTCCAAATTAATTACTTTATGCAGAGAAGAGATAATTTTACAGCAAGGCCGGTACACTTTTCGAAGGAAAATTGTTCGAAGCCCAAGTGGTTAGTTATGAGGACTGCTCTGTATGACCATCGCGCAAGATACTCTCAAATCTTAAATCCCACATAGTATTGAGAGACAGAGAGTCGGCCCGGGATCGAACCTTGTCTATGGCGGAGGCCATGTCGCGGTGCTCCTTGGCGAACGGCCGCAGCTCGTCGTGCTGCGCCCTCAGCGCGTCCGGCTCCACGGCCACGGGCTGCAGCCGGCACACGCGCTCCTCCATGCTCTGCAGCCACTCCACCACCTGCACGTGTACACGCGACTTTTAACGGGTGCGCTCCCATTGCGATGAAATAGGTGGCGTGCAGACACGGCTAATTGTCGTACCACATGAGTGGTAGTTTTAAGGAATGCCCTCCTATTGTAAAGTACTTTCTTGGTACATGTATTAACTACCGCGACCTCACAGAATACCGGCGTAAAAGGATGTGTTATACTTCTGCGTTTCGTCTGGCGAGTGAGAAAGCCATTAGCCAGAGCCCACTTTATTAAAAGGTGGCAACGCATTTCCAACCCTACGGGTGTTGCACGCGTTTAACCTACAGACAATTGTTCCTGATCTGTTTGTTTCTCTCTTAAGGACGAAGGGTAGACGTCAGGCAGGCGGCTAGTCGTAAAATATATAAGCCTTAACAGCTTACAACATGATTCACACAACGTAAGTAAAATCGTAATGCCGATAAAGTTCCGAATTTAATGCGAGCAACAGCTGATAGTTCTGCAGCATGTTCTACTAACGAAGGAGTTCTGACCTGGGTCCTGAGCGACTCGTACTGGCTGAGCTGGTCGGCGCGTTGCTTGCTCAGCTTCTGCTTCTCCTCCAGCGAGGTGTTGAAGTCGCGCCACAGGCTCTCCAGGGCCTGTGGTGTCACGTCATCCATTAGGCATTCAGCAGAAGAAAAATGTACATTGTGCAATTTAAATTGTTTATAGTGCTAATCTTTGCACTTAAGATTGTACATTAAAATATGTAGAAAAATCTCTCGTTCGAATTATCGTTGTAAAACGATATTCGAAATTGTTTGTATGCTGGAAAGGATATAACAATAGATGGCGCCAAGCATTGCTTCAAATGCTAAGAAAACAATGTAGAGGAATGCGTTAAGATTTTCGTCGGTGTGGTCATCAGCCGTTTAGCGTCAGGCCGCGAATGCCGAAGACGTGGGTTCGATTCCCACAGCGGCGACAATCTTTTCGCACTTTTTCTACATATTTTAATGTATCTTAAGTGCAAAGATTAGCACTATAAACAATTTAAATTTCTAAATTAAATAATAACTAAAATTCATAAATTGGCCATTAGGTATTCAGTTGGAACATATACACTCGAAAATTTGTAGATTGAGTAAGTTATTTGTAGTAGAATTACATACGATGTAACATACACTCAAATATCAATTAATTAACAAATACTGTAACAGTTTTAGTCTATTGGTATTGCGCCAGGTAGTAAGGTAGGGTACAAAAGGGTAACGAAGTTTAAAATAGGGTACAAAAGGGTACAATACGATAAAATAGGGTACAAAAGGATAAAATAGGCTACAAAGAGTTCAATAGGGTACAATATGACGTGTACACAAGTTCCAAGGTGCCGTACCTTGATCCTGTCACGCACGACGTGCGTGTCGGTGACGTCCTTCTTGGCGAGCAGCTGTTTGCCCGTACGCACGCACTCCTCGAGCAGCGGCATCTGCTTGTCCCTGCCGGATAGACAAGTTGCGCATATTTAATAACGACAAATGCTTTGTGCCTACGAAGTGGTTGTACAAAAGGAAATTAACAATTTCCTTTTTTTCTAGGTAACGGCGTTAAGCAAAGTTACAATTTAATTTCTTACTTCTGTAGCTTGCTCGTTTGGCTCCAATAAAAAATATGTATATGCATAATTTTGGAATTATATGTAAATGTAAAAAAGTTTTTATCAGTCATAACATGGTAATACCTTGAAGTCGGTCGCTTTGCAGCCAACTTCGTACTGTTACTTTGTGGCTGTCGGCGCGCTCATTATGAAAATGTTAACCTCGTTATTGTTACCAAACGCACCAAAAGTATAACTCCAAAATGCCAAACAGAGTGATTGCTTATGTGAAACGTGTCGTTTTGCGCAGTGAAGGCTAGGAACAATTTCGGAGTCCTGGGCCATCGGCGCTCACCTGGCGGCGGCTTGCTCGTGCAGCCGGGAGTCGGGGATCTCCAGCAGTTGGGCATGCGCCGCCTCCAGGCGGGCGGCCTGCTGCGAGAAGCGGCCCAGCTCTACGCCCACCTCCTCCAGGAACTGCCCCCGCTTCACCAGCCGCTCGACCAGCTTCTCGTATCTGTTAAGGTACGGCTCAATTTCTATATCGCCCCCAATTAAGGATAATGTATTGCGGTGGTTTATCTACACAAATATAGTGCAACAACAATTTATATCGGTAAGGGCTACAATGGGTAGATTTAATATCTAATGGTATTCTCTATCAGTCAACTAGTAGTAGAGGCAGTATCTTTGTGCGGCGATCATCTTGAAAACTACATTTTTTTTTTTTTATGCCAAAAGTTGTCAAACGAGCAGACGGTTCACCTGATGTTAAGTGAATACCGCCGCCCATGGACATCTGCTACACTCGAGGGTTACAGATGCGTTGACAACCTTTTGAAAATTGGGCTCCGGCTACCTCACTCACCAGACGAAACGCGAAAGTATTTGTCATACTTCCACTTTACGCTGGTCTTCTGTGAGGTCGTACTTACCCGGACGGGCCTGCCCATTCGTGCAACAGCCCAGGCTGCTGCGTGGCCCTACCACCGTTAAAGCAAGCATTTGATAGCAGTAACCAATATTTGGTCTTTACGAGGACCAGCCAAAGCTATGGTTTATACCAAAAGCTGAAAATCGACACAAGTTGCACCCCACAATCAGTGGGTTTACCATGAATAGGATGGTTGCGACGCACTGGCCAGATTTTTGATAGAAAAAAAAACAACAATAAAAAAAGGAACACCTGCCGACATATCAGCGCTTACCCAACTGAAATATTCATAACGCACTGGCCGAATTTTTACTGAAAAAAAAAAAACTTACCTCGCGTAGATGTCGTCCGCGCGTTGTTCCAACTTGCGCGCCAGTCGCGCGTTGGAGGGCGCGCGGGCCGCCTGGCGCGCGGCATCAAGCAGCGCGGCGAGCGCGGCGCGGCGCGCCTCCGCGGCCGCTAGGGCCGCGCGCTGCTCGCGCACTTGCTCGTCGAGCCGCTCGCGCAGCAGCGACGCGCCCGTCTGCTGTGCCCTGAATATACGCCATGACATATCAAATAGCTGTCGCCCGGTAACGTCAAACTACGGTCTCTTGTCTGTAATCATGCCCGCCTAAGAACTCGGGTATTTCTCCGTGTTTGTATAAATAACCTAATGGTAATAGGTATGGTATAGTGGAGGCGGGTAGTAAATTATAATCAATGATGAAAAGCGAAAAGCCTGGATGTTTTGTTGTTTTTTTAAAAAAAAAACAGCGCTCATAATTTAGTCAAAACATTATCCTGGGTTGTGAGGACGTTTTTACAAACATGAATTTCACGTGGACAAACACCCAGATGCGGAACAACTATCTGTGTGTCACACAAACAGTTGTCCCGTGTGAGAATCGAACCCACGACCCCCGACGCCGAAGCCGATACCTTGGCGACTGCGCCACGGAGTCATCACATTCGTTTCATTGACGATTATGAGGTTAAAAGTATCTCCAAAGGTCCTAATAAGCAATTTATCAAAAAGAGCAAAAGTAAAGAGACATCAATCACTTCGACGATCTTTACATCCAAATTAAAAGCGTCACCCACTTGAAGGCGTCCTCGGCCTGCGCCAGCCACGCGGCCTGCGCCTCGACGGCGTCCTGCAGCCCCTGGCACTGCAGCAGCGCCGCCTCCAGCGCCGAGCACCTGGCCGCCACCGCCTCGCCCAGCTGGTGGTAGCGCCCCGCCAGCTCCGCCACCGGCGCCTCCAGCTGCCGGATCTCCGACGGCGTCACGCTGCCCTCCAGGCTGTTCAGCAGCTGCTCGCACGCCTGCAATACGTCAAAGCGTGCTTTGGAATCTGACACGGTGTTTCATGTATGAGAGGAATCTGACATGGTGTTTCATACCGCCACTTGGTACATATTCGTGGAGTATGAGAGGAATCTGACACGGTGTTTCATACCGTAGTGCCTGAAGGTTCATCGTGTCCACTCTCGACGCGTCTTTGTAATTTATTCGTGGAATATAAGAGGAGGACAATACAACAAATATAAAGGTGCAGTGTTTTTTTCCTTGTCTTCTTTAGTAAACTTATAGAGAAAATGTTACTTTATTACTTCGAACAGGCGGTCAATTTCTTATGAGATTTTTTTATGCTTTATGCACACACTTATGGAAGGGTAGATTTGAACAAAATGACAATTTCTATAAGTCAGCCTTAGGATAATTCAGAAAAAGCGAGTTGGTAGTTTATTCATGAACTAAACATAAATATTCCAGTCTGTAAAGTGATAGATTCAGACAGGACTAACATTCCTTCAACAAAAGAACTGTAGCAAGATGGAGAATGTTTCATATATCCGTCCTTTTTCAATGATTGGGAAAGGAGTTGAGATGGCTGACCTCCTTGGCGTTGTCGATCAGCCGCCCCTGGGCCAGGATCTCGTTCTGCAGGGCCTTGATTCTCTGCAGCTGCTCTTCTACTGCCCTGGGATCTCCCCCTACCGCCTCGTCCAGGGCGCTGCGCACTTGGGGCTCCAGCTGTTAAGGGTGTACGCTCGAGTTAGTATTGTAGGTATGCACAATTATTAAAGAGATTAAAGAGATTTATTCCCCCATCTTATAATAATGATACAAAACAAAAAGATTAAAACAGAAAAAAAATGTTTACATAAAGAAAAAGAAAAATATTACAAAAAAGAAAAAAATGTCTTAAGTCAGTAATTATAATATTACTTGAATTTGCAATGTAGTTCTGTAAGTAGATCGTCAATGTGCTATTATGCGAATGTAAATAGAATCATTTTTAAGCGTAGTAAATAGACTATTCATATGAACGGGATACCTTTAAATTGTCAATTTGAGCCTGTGCTGGTTGGTGGTTTTTATGTAATATTTTCTTATACAGCGTGTCGTTACTATCGCGATAATAAATGAACACACATCTAACGCTACTTGCCAATAATTATAAAAAAATATTTTGCTAACAAACTAAATTAAGTAATAAAGAAACAAAACATCCTGTACAACTCGCGCCACAGCGTCGTATTACAAGCCTCTCCTTCTAGCAGTATCTTTTGTCTCTTTTAAATTCATTCAACCCATTCATATGCTTTGTGACCTGTTCTAAAATTATTTATTCTGGAAAATTTAATAACTCTGTAAATATTGATGTTTAAAGAATTTAAATGTTTAATACAACTTTAAAAAGTTATCCCCTATATATGTGTTCATTTATTGTCGCAATGGTAACGACACGCTGTATATACGCATATACATTATTGAATGAACCTGTTTTATGAATAATATTGCCGCCTAAGATATACGTAATCATCCGATGTTTCAAAAGATCATGAATTGAGTTGGAAATAATCGCGGTGTAATCTATGTATACTATTCTAATTCTAATTAGTTATTTTAATATAAATTTTATATTGCATTGGTGTTTTCAATTCAATTGTTAATTCGCAGTGCTGTTGAAGATATTGTATGTTGTTTGTACCTATTGCGTATTGATTTAGTTTTTATAGTGCTAATCTCTGCACATAAGATAAAACATTAAAATTTGTAGAAAAAGTACGAAAAGATTGTCGCCGCTGTGGGAATCGAACCCGCGTCTTCGGCATTCGCGGCTTGACGCTTTAGCCACCAATCTAAACGGCTGATTGCCGCACCGACGAAAATCTTAATTCTCTATGAGTTTCAATAAATATAAAACAGTTTTATTCAGCAATCGAGCGCGCAACGTCACATCGGTCAAACGCACAAAGCGCAAAGCGCCGCCTCACCTCCTGCATCCAGCGCTGCGCCCGCTGCAGCGTGTTGCGGTGGCGCTGCAGCGCTGCGTGCGCGGCGCGCAGCCGCTCGAGCAGCCGCTGCGCGCGCGCCGCCAGCTCGGAGTGGCGGCGCCGCGCGGAGCCGGCCGCGTCGCGCACGCCGTCGCCGCGCGCGCGCTCAGCGGCGGCGCGCGCGCCTCGCCCGCGGCGCGCTGCTCGTTCACCACGCTCACGAACTCCTGCGCGGGAAGATGGATATTGTTTATCGAAGGATGCTTCAAAGTGGACTTATTATCAAACGTCTTATTCATCAATAGGTACTTACTGGTCGACTGTTAGATATTGTGTTCACCACGGTCACGAATTCCTGCGCGGGAACAGAGGACCGGCGTGAAGTGGACGTATAACAAATACTTTCGCGTTTCGTCCGGTAAGTGAGCTAGCCGAAGCCCAGTTTCCAAAAGGTTGTCAATGCATCTGCAAGCCCTCGGGTCCAGCAGATGTCCATGGGCGGCGGTATTCACTTAACATCAGGTGAACCGGCTGCTCGTTTGGTTTTCTTTTTCATATTAAAAAAACATGGATATTGTTTATCGAAAGATGCTTAAAAGTGGACTTATTATCAAACGTATTGTACATCGAAAGTTTCGAAAGCAACTGCAAGGTCGATCGTGTTCACCACGCTCACGAATTCCTGCGTGGAGCGTGGACTGTTGGGTTTTGTTTGTCAAAAGCTGCTTAAAAGTCGTCTGTTGGGTTTTGTTTGTCAAAAGGTACCGTAACGTCTATTATTGGATCTTATTTATCAAAGGCTATTTAACTGTTCGACTGTTACATCCTGTTTTTTTTTCTTTTCTTTTTTATGTAATTTCACACCGAATGCAGGATATATTCTTTTAAAATGTTTCCCTTTCATATACATAAGTGACTGGCATATATGGGCATATACTTTCTTATTTGGCGTCTGGCGTGTTTCTCAATCGAAGCTCACCTTGCTCTCGTCTATGAACTTCTGGGCGGACATCGTGATGAACCTGAGGTCCGCCTGGTGGGCGATCACGTCGGAGACGAACTCCCTCACTTCCTCGCTGTGCGCGGGCAGATTGTCCAGGTTGGAGAGCGCCGCCTCCTTGTCTTCCAGGCTTCGGTACGCGCCCTCCATCCAGCTCTCGAATGCGCTCAGCTCGCTCCTGCAATTGTACCCACGTCATCACTACATAGTATAAAATTCATCCCGCTGTCTGTCTGTCCCTGATGCGGTTTTTTTTTACTAGATAGTGATTCAAGAGGAACGTTTATATGTATAATACATTGCACCCGTACGAAGTTAGGGCGGGTCGCTAGTTGACTTCTAAATGAATGTTACTTAAAAGTCTTTCTGTATCTTGTTTGGACCCGATTGTGGTAGTGGATATGAAACTTTCTTTTGCTGTAGTCGGTGTGGATTCAATTAGCACGACTAGGAAAATAGAGTACGTTTATAAAAAAGAGTATGTTTATTAGTTACCTAGTACCCATACCCAGATAACGTTATTTAAATTTATATGTCTGGAAAAATTTAAGTAATTTATTTATAATTATAAGCCATTTATTGTGTCAATGCAATACTATCTAGGTGTTTTGTATGTTCTCTTTGTTTTTATGGAATTGGAACCGCTCCCTAAATAATGTGTATATATTGTGTCTTATTTATTCGTTTAACTATTAACAGCGATGCCACCTCATTTGTTTTCTCAGAAATACTTTATACAGTCAATGGAGTTGTAGAAACGTACGTGAATTTTCCAAGTTCGTCCCTGGCGGCGGTGAGTCTTCGCAGCATCTTGTCACATCTCTCCGTGCACCTGTCGTATCTCTGTTTCAGCTGACGCACCCCGCGTTCAAGGGCTGCCACCTTTGAGAAAAATAAACGAAATGGTATTTAATATTTTTCTCTTGTTTTTGGATGTGTTCATCTGCTGTATTGTACTACCATTTGCGCGCAAAATTCTTTTAAATATTTTTATACATAATTTAACTTATAAGATTTATGTATGTATATCCTTACTATAAAGGCGAAAGTTTGTATGTATGGATGGATTTTTGTTACTCTTTCACGCAAATACTAAATAGAATGAATTTTAATGAAACTTTACAATAATATAGCTAATACATCAGAATAAAACACAGGCTATAAATTATAATTTATATACATATTTTTATGTATATCTGTGTTTCTGTCTGAATGTTACGCCTTCAGCCTATTCTACGCAGACGTAGTCGCGGGCAGCAGCTAGTCTTTTATATAAATATATTTTTCCAGTTTTGTGCATTTAAATAAATAAGTAAGTGGGTATATAAATTAACAAAAGAATTGTCTTACCTCATGGGGCGCCAGAACATCGCCTCCGGAAACAAGAAGCTGTTTGGCCTGATCGGCGCAGGCCGAGACCTGGCGTTGATGGCCCTCCAGGTCGTCCTTTATCATCTGCAAAGCAATACCAGGTGTGAGCAACATCATTTTACTTTCTGAAGGTATGTCAATAGCTGGCGTCAAGTGGGGTAGCAACGAATAACTGTAGTAGCCACGAAACAGTCTTCGCTGGTGCACGAATGGGCACGTTCATCCGCGTAAGTAGCACGGCCTCACAGAATACCTGCGTGAATGGAAGCCGTAAACACTGACCATCGTAGAAATTACATAAACAGCTGTTAAATGTTGTTTGAGTTGCCAAAAAGATGGTTGAACTCACTAAATTGATCAAAACGATCTTCCTGATGATCAGAATGATCAATTCAAAGAGTTTGACCATCTTTTTGGTAACTCAAATGACATTTGACAGTTGATTGGGTCATTTCTGCGATCATCAGTGTTACAGAAACCGGGCGTTATACTTCTGCGTTTCGTCTGGTGAGTGAGGAACCGGGGCCAGTTTTATCAAAAGGTGACCGCAACTGCAACCCTACGGGTGTTGTAAATGTCCATGGGCGGCGGTTATCAATTAACATCAGGTGAACCGCCAGCTCTCTTGCCATCTTCTTTTTTTATGTGAGAAAGTGTCAAACGTCTTGTCATCTTCTAAATAAAAAAAAGAAAGTTCCCCACCTTCAGAAGGTTAATTTGGTTTCGGAGCTCGTCCATGCTCTCCTTCACCGGCTCCTGGTTCGCCAGCTTCCCCTCGACATCGGCGATCCATTCCAGAAGCTTCGATAGCGTATCATCGCATAGCCTGTATTTCTCCTCAACCGCTTGCTGCACACCGAAAAAGTCGAGTTACTCGCCAGTGACAAAGTTACACCGAAACATAGTTATCCAGTGCACTCAACACTATAGCTACACGGCTATATTACAATGCCACTAACTACGTTTGCCGGTGCTGTCAGTCTGTACATATCAAATCATTTACGCGGCTAAAGGTGTATAGCAACAGTGCACCGTCACAGCAAATGCAAACCTAGTCGATGATAGATATAGAGAAATTTGTACAATAACCACTTACAACTAAAGACGGAAAGACTACAATAAGCGAAGATATCAATCAACATAGACGAATAGGGAACAACAAAGCCAATTCACAACAGCGTGAAGATGACGAGACACAACCAGTCGAATTGTTGCGTACAACGGATATCAGAATCGTGCAAAATAAGCGGCTCATGCAAGCATTGGCAGTCGCACGTGTCGCTAAATGAGTTATGGGAAAACTCTCATAATTCAGTTAGCGATATTTGCGAAATTCAACAGAAGAAGGCATCGTAGTTTGTAAGGATATGAACGTCGTATTAATATTAAGGGTAGAGTTAATTGTTATCAAAAGTATAGAAAAAAAACATAAAATACCTTTTGGATTATCTGAAACTTTGAAATCAACGATTTTTTGGTACAGTAGAAGAATAATTAAAGGAGGTAAAATAAATGTATTGGAGTAAGAATGTACACGAAATTGAAAGTACATTAAAGTGATACGAATGTACATACATTGAATTTACAGACGCAATGAGATTTTATTTCATTATATAAAAAATACGAAGAAAGATTATCGCAGCAATTATAAAGAAATGATCAAGGAATATGCCAAAAAAGTATTGTTGAAATAAAATCTCACAAGGCGAGTATTTATAAAAAGACGTATATGAATCAGAAATACTACCTTCCGTGTTTGTGTTCGTAGTGTTTTACCATTTCGTGATATTTGTGAACGTTTGCGCCCGCGATAACCGCCTTTAAATCGACACCACGATAGCTTAGCACGTTGGTCATGCATTCCAAACGTGAGCGCGGATCCAAGGAATGAGTACATCGGAACGTGTTGGGGTAGATTTGAAATAAGTAAAAACCAATCGAGATAAAATGAGGTTTGAAACCGATACGAGATCTCTGGCCAGCAGTCATATTTCGCTGGTTTCTCGAATGATGAAGCGGACATAATTAAGCGAATAGATCGACGGGTGTCCCCCGGTCGATCGGTTTGGATTCTTAGCACAAAGTGAACATGGGGTTAGACATTTGGCGAAACGGTGATGGTTCGTATCGTCGTTAATATGATCCCTCAAAGGCAAGCATTCACGATTTAGCTCAAAAGGGCTCTTTAGCATCGCAGGCAACGGCTGGAAATAAAAAACAACATACATCGAGCCTTATTACTATGTCTATAGGCGGTATTCATTTCAATTGCCAATCATCAATTTTCCTCATATTCAAAATTCGTCATTCATCGAAAAATTTTTGATATATCAATTTGTGATATTATTTATCAAGAAACCCATTTTGTGTTTTGGAAGTAACTGAAAATTGGTAATTGTATGAGCAGTTTTGCTTAAACTTAAGCAACTAAAGACAGACAACACAACACGATATATTTTCACTACTAATAAACAAATGAAAATTACTGCTTAGCCTATGAATGCTCTAACAGCAACGTATAGGTTTAAATTACAGAATTATTTATATTTCTGTTTTGGCAAACGCTGCAATTTCAACCTTATACATTTTTAACTGATAATATATGGGTGTTTGATGTGCTGGTGACCAAAATTTTGTCAACGATAAGAAAAATGTTAAATATTTTGTTTACTAATACAATCGCAATTTATATGTAGCATAAGTAAATAATCAAAATGCTCTGTATACTATTAATAAACCACACTAAAATTGCCTAAAAACCCAGTCTTCGACACTATAGGTCTTGTGAGTGTCGTGCCATGCCAATGTTTAAGCCAAACGCTTAAGGTAAGATAGACAACCGTCTAAGAGTGGGAAAAAAAGGAAGTTAAAGCAACACCACTGCTTGATAAAAGCACAAAAATCATACTAAATAATAGAGCTTACCCTTGTTTCTGCTGGCAGCAAGTAACCCTTCTTTAGCGCCTTGACTAAATCGAGGCTAATGCCTTTCTTCGGATCAATTATCAGCCTGCCTTCGAGAGGATTAATAAGTTGTTGCTCAACAGCTTGAGTCAATGGCAATATCTTTCCTGTTTCTGGTTCTTTTACAACAGTACTTGACGGATCTACAATTCCCTGTTGGATCGCCTCGCCCAATGTTAGTCTCTTCCTATCGATTACACTCGTTGTTATGAATGGGTCATTTAACGCTCCCGTGGTTGGATTGTAAATACCAAAATTCAATGTTTCAATCAAGCTGAAGCTCTTCTTCGGAGTCATGAGGAGGCCACTATCAATAGCCGCAGACAAAGTATTGAGTTTGGAAGTTTCTGTGTCCAATATGTTGCCCTTTTCGGCGTCCATCAAACCTTTGCGGAATGCTTCCGGTAATTTTACCAATCTCTTTTTCAGATTATCTTTTATAAGCGCTGTGTCTGAATCTATGTAGCCCAATGTGGCTGCGTCTTTAACAGTTAATACTTCTTTAGATTGTGGATCAGTAAATCGGGCGGTATTTAGGTTGAGATGACCATTTTCCAATGCTTGCTCAAACGTGAGAGGTTCGCGAACGTAAACAACTAAACCGTTTTCAAAAGTAAAGCATAAAGTACGCGATCTGCCAGTTTGTGTATCAAATGAACCTTTAACATTTTTATCGACAACTCCTTCGGTAATACCTGATTTTAATGGAATGTATTTATTTTTGTGAGGATCTTTGATGAGTGCAGTCTCAGGATCTATAAATTCATATTTTATAGCTTCATCTAATGTAAACTCTCGCAGTACCGCCTCGTTAACAGCTGAATTATCCACCACAAAACGTTTATTTATAGTTTGTGACGTTAAAGGTTGAACTATAGTCACAAGCAGACCTTTATCAAAAGCAATATCTAAACTATACGTTTTCTTCGCTTTTGTATCTATAACTCTACCTTTAGTGACATCTATATCGCCGTGTTGTATAGCAGAAACTAAAGGTTTAAATTTATTTGTAAAACTATCTTTAACAATGGTTAATTCAGGATTGATAAGACTAATTTCTATGGCTTTATTAATGTCAATAAATTCGTTTGTATTTGGGTCGACTATTTTGCCATTATCTGACCTAAACAAACCGTTTTTAATTACTTCTTCTAAACTAAGATTTTTCTTCGAGTTAACTATTAGACCACGATGTTTTGCATCTAACAAATTAATGTGATTACCATTGGGTAGAATATAAACGCTATTACTTTCATCTATGATGCCCGCTTCGATTGCTTCAGTTAACTTAATATATTTGCTTGCAGGTATATTTTTAACAATTGACTTTTCAGGGTTAATAAGTTCTTCGGCAATAGCTAAATTTAGAGAAAGTTTTCGTTCTGTAACTGGATGTACGAAGATTAATTCAGTAATGTTATACATATTCATAGCTAACGTCTCGTATAAAGTGAAGCCTGCGCTTTCAATATCAACAATAAGACCTATGCTCATGGCTTCCGATAAAGGTATTTGGACGTCAGAACCTGGTTCAATGAATTTTCCGCTCCTTCTATCTACAATTTCACTACGACAACAGTCTGCTAAGGTCAAAGGTTTCTCAGACTTTTTGTCGAAATAGCAAAGATATTTAGAACTAATAATTGATCTTCTTAATGCTTCATGTAGAGTGATTTTACGACTTGTAGCTGGATCGACAAATTTTCCGGTACTATCATCATACAATCCCTGGTGTAAAGCTCTTTGTAGACTTATTGGAGCTTTGCTGTCTACGAGTAAACCTATCTCAAAGGCTTTACGGAGACTTATCTCTTCATTATCGTTATTAATGTTTCTTATTTTTCCTGTTTTATTATCAATAACACCAGTTTCCATTGACTCACTGAGAGTTATTGTATCCCATTTACCTAATCTATTGTCCTGAATATGCACAGAATGTGGGTCTATTAGGTTCAGTTTGATAGCTTCCGCTAATGTATATTTCTTACCGCTTTGAGGATCCATAAAAAGCCCAGTTATTTCATTATATACACCTTTTTCAAGAGCTTCGATTAGGGACATGGGTTTCCGAACCTCAACTAAAATACCTCTTTCAAAAGCTTCACGGAAATCTATCCTTTCATCACCAAGCAAAATAGTGCCTGTTCTACCATCCACAATACCTTTATCGACAGCGAACTCAAACGGTATCACTTTACCTCCGACATGCACAAGTGTTGATTGTGGATCCAGCATACGCTTTTTAATTGCTCTATCAGTCGGTATCTTATCTTTTATGTGAGGATGAGAAAACTTACCAGTTTTAGGGTCATAAAACCCTTTAAACACTGCTTCTGGTAAACTCAGTTTTCGTTTAGCTGGAACTATTAAGCCACGTTCTGAAGCGTCTATAAGTGATATTTTGTCTCCTTGAATTGGATCAGTTACTTTACCTTCTTTCGAGTCTATAATACCTTCTTTTATAGCATCGGATAATGATATAATTTCCCCGGAACTAGAATCCCTAACTGTTAATACTTCAGGATTAATATTACCGACTTTAATAGCATCATCAAGAGTCATAGCGGCATTGTTAATTGTCAAGAGACCTGTGTCTGGGTCATAAAAACCCTGAACTAGTCCTTCTTGAAGCGACATAGGTTTTTTATCACTAAGTAAATAACCTTTTTCGCATGCGTCCTTTAGATTAGCAGCAGGCCTAGTAATAATTCCTTGATTTAAATCTAACAGACCGGAAGACACAGCCTGTTTAAATGGTATAACAGCTTCTAATTTATCGTCTTTAATTTTAACATCAGATGGATCTATTAATTTAATCTCTATAGCTTTTTTAAGAGTTACAATTTGACCTGTTTTGGGATCTAGAACTTGACCTGAATCTGGTGAGTAATAACCTAAATCGATCACGTCAAATAACGAGAAAGTTACATTTTTCGTCGCGATTAAACCTTTTTTTAGAGCATCGTCTAAGGGAATAACTTTACCAGTTATTTTATCATTATATTTTCCAGTCTCAGGATCGACAAGCTTAGTATCAAGCGCTTCAGATAAAGGAATGAACTTTTCTAACGCGGTATCTTTTATTTCTGATATAGTAGAATGCACAATATTTCTATCAACTGCATCTTCTACAGAAACATATTGTTCTGTCATGTTATCTTTGATTTTGCCAGTGGAAGCTTCATACATGTCTTTAACAATTGCGGCTTCAATTGAAATAGGACGTCTCGTTATTGTTAAGAGACCTTTTCGTATTGCAACGGATACCTCAACAGTTTCGTTTGTTTCTATTAAAGTAATGACACCTTCTTCTATCTTAATAATACCGCGATCTATTGCATCTGATAAAGGAATACACTCGTTCGTATGAGGTAATTTTATTAACAATGATTCATGATCGACTAAGCGTTTTTCAACTGCTTCTCCAATTGGCACTAATTTGCCGGTGTTTATGTCCTTTATCTCGCCGGTTTTAGGATTATACAACCCCTTATCGAAAGCAGATTCAATAGTTATCTGCTCTGCAACTGAAACATCTTCTGGCTGTTCAACTATCCAACCTATTTGCACACATTCCCAAAACGATACACGCTTTCCGGTTTTAGGGTTCACCATATGACCTGTAGTTTTATCAATAATAGGTCTTGCAATCGCTTCATCAAAAGGTATATAATTATCAGATTTAGACGCTAAGTCTTTGACTAAAATGGTTGCTGGATCAAATACGTGTAAGCCGTACACCAGTTCTTCAAAAGTTATTTTAGTTCCTGTATCAGGATTTAAAAATATTTGTTTTTCTATATCATATACACCCATTTCTGATAGTTCCTCAGGAGTCAGTTTGTGTGAAATGGCTATACTGTATTTAGGTTTCAATTTCTTAAGAACTATACAGTTTTTAGAAATAACATCTACAGGTGTAAATCTGCTTATTTGTTCTTGCTCTAGTGAGTCTTGAACAGTAAGTGGCGATTCGACGCCATTCACAATTACTCTACATACTTTTGGTTCTATCTTACCTTCTGCAATTGCATCAATTAAAGGTATATTTTCATAAAGTACCTTAATAGGTTCCTTTTTTTCTTTCATTACGCTATTTTCTGTGATTTCATCAATATCTCTAAGAGGTTGCCTTTCAGCGGCAATAAGGTTAGATGAAATAGTTTTCACGTCTAAATAAGGTTGTTGCAACGTTTCATTTGCCAATAGTTTATTTTCAAATGTTCCTGTAATTTCGGAAAAGCTACTTAACGTTGGCTCTGCTTGTACAGTTTTAGTTAATTCAGTCACAATGTTATTAGTCACAGGAGAAAGTTGGTCAATACCTTGTTCATGTTTGTATTCAGCAGAATGATCCGGTAAATGTGAACCTTCTTTTTTTGTCACTTCTAAAGAAACCTTCTCTTCATCTTCTTTGAGCGAACTTTTAACAACATCAACCATTTTGGAGGCCGCTATTATTGGCGCTCCTACGACCGCAACTAGTCCTAGTTTAACAGCTTGACCAAGTTTAGTTTTAAGATCTTCTTCATTATAAGATTCTTTTTGTGATTCGGACTTAGCGCTAGTCGTCAATAATTTACTCGTTTCTTCATCAACAATACCACTGTCTAGCGCATGTCTGATTGACATTTCATTGCCAGTTACTGGATCTACAACTTTAATAGATTCTACTGGAATTGCCCCTTCTTGAAGTGCAGTCGGAATATCCACTATATCGGACGATGTAGATATTATAATATTTGTTTTAGGATCATGTGTAAGACTTGTTATTTTAAGAGATTGATCAAATTTATTTTTCTGGACTATATCTCCTTCATAATTTTGATTTCCAAATTTCTTATCATTGGATTTTAAATTTTTCCCCTTAGGATATTCCATATGTTGTTTACTATCGGCAGAAATCAATTCTTGTGTTGGAATATCTTGACTTGCTATTACATCTTCAGTTATATCACTGACTATTCTATCAGTTTGATCTGGTAACTCAACAAATTGTTGATCAGAGGAAGATTTAGAAGGTATATGTATCTCTTCCGTGACTTTGTAAGAAGATTGATTTTGATTCGTTTCTATTGTTGTAACATTAGAAATTTTAGTAACTACTGTGCTACTGTGTTCCCTTGTAATTTCCGTTGGTTTAGACGAAACAATAAATTTACTTAAAGTAACTTCTCCACCGTGAAGATTTTCACGTTGATCTTGAGTACAAGGCACTTGACTGTCTTTTAAATCATTGTGGTCTTTATCAGAATATTCACTTGAATGCTTTATATCGACTTCCTGTACATTTCTGTCTTGAGATAGTAAAATATTTTCTTTTGCGACTAAATCTGTATTTCTTTCATTAACTTTAATTTCAGGCCTACTTCCCTGGGCAGCTGACTCCTCGTTTCTTATTTTTTCCTTGCTGACAACTTCCGACCCGATTTTATTAGATATATCTTCTAATGACGATTTCTGTAATGCTTCCAAAGATCTTGATTTATCATCAACTTTACGTTCATTAATTTTACTTTTTGAAAGATTCGATTCCTGTTTATTCGACGGAGGTATTTTAACTCCATCACTTTTATTTATAATAGTTTCTTTATGAAGTTCTGTCTGATCTGATGCAACGTTAGTAAGATTTGCAGATATAACTTCTTTTTCTTTAGGGGTTATGACTTTACTTGTGACAGCTTTAGCGCCTTGAACCACTGCCATGCCAGCAAGTACAGGTGCAGCGACAACAGCTAATAAACCTAATTTTGCTGCTTTTTTAACATCTAGGGATTTACCTGTACCTGGTTCCTTTATTTTGCCACTCTTTTTATCCAAAACACCCGTCTCAACAGCTTCTTGCAAAGTCATTGGTTTATCAGAACCAAGTTTGTAAATTACTGAATCAGGATTTATGACTTTATTTTCTAAAGCTTCTTCGAATGTTAATACATTATTTGGTGATTTAGGATCTCTGAATTTTTGGGTTTTTTCATCATACAAGGTGTCAAATGCTTGAGATAAATCAAGCATTTCTAAATCCTTTGTAATTTTTTTGTGTGCAATTTCAGATAAAACTTCAGTGTTTAGAATCCCACTATTTACAGCCTCTGTTACAGATATGACTTCTCCAGTATTGGGGTCAGTAAATGTACCTTTTTCTAAGTCTATATATCCCAACATTAAGGCGTCATTGAAACTTATATTCGAATCATTAGTTAGGAATAGTTCTTTATTTACTTGCTCATCTCTTATTATTCCCTTTATTCGAGCCTCATCAATAGATATTACTTCTCCAGTCTTTGTATTCTGTACTTCGCTAGCGCTAAGTAATATATAATCTGCAAGAAGTTCAACCATTTTAGTTGTTACAGTATGTTGAGAGGTAAACGTTTCAGTTACAGTTGTAATAACGCCACATCTATCAGATATGTCTACATCACGTTTTATAGCCAACAGACCTTGTTCCATTGCTTTTTCTAAAGGTATTACTTCGTTCGTTTCTGGGTTAGTGAAAGTAGAATTAATCAGATTAACGATGCCTTTATCAATCGCTTCCTTGAGGGGAATAGTATCAGATGTTTGCGGGTACGGAATTCCCATCAATAAATTCTTGTCCACAGCTTCGTCTATAGAAATAACTTCACCAGTAAGTGGATGTTTAATGTCACCTTTTGTTGAATTTATTAGGCCTCGTTGGATTGCTACTGAAAGAGTCATCGCCGCTGGTGGAATATTTTCTAACATTTTGTCGTCAGACTGAGGGAAAAGATTCGCATTTACGGCCGTCAAGAGATCTAAAACACCTGTATCAGACCGAACAAAGTTTTTGTCGCTGTCAATTAAATTCCTTTCAATAGCTTCTGTAAGTGTTATACGTTTACCAGGTCCTAATGTTACCGAGGTAAGTGGGTCAACAATATCACAAATAATGGCTTCTCTTAGGGTTAAGTGCGTACCATTTTCAGGATGTATTATTTTTTCACAAGTCGGATCCCATAATCCTTGTTGCATTATGTCTGTTATCGATAAACTCTTGGCGATTGGTATTAATATCTCGTCTTGACATTCTTCGTCTAAAATACCTCGTTTAATTGCTTCTTTTATTGATAGTGAATCACCATGAACAGGATCTAAAATACTGCCTTCGTCTCCATCAACAAGTCTTATATCAATTGCCTTTTTCAGAGTAATAGGCATGCCTTTTTCATCTTTATATTCCTTAACTGAATTTAATAGCTTTGCTGTGTCTTCGTCTATTAAACCTTTTTCAATTGCTTCCATAGGAGTAATTACACGTTTTCTAATTTTAGATAATATAACTGGTTTGGATTCAACAACTTCACTTCTACTCTCTTTGGAAACATTGATATTATATTTAGGTGTAACACTGGGAACGTCTGTGTTACTTGTATCTAAATGTATTACTTCTGTTGGATGGGAGTTTATTTTTTTATCTGAGTGGTAACCTTTTAAGGCTGTATCAGCTAATAAACTATTTTGTATGGATTCTACAGTTATAAATCCCTCAGATACAGCAGCTCCAACAGACATTGGTTTATTTGGTCCTATGGAAAATATTTTCTTGTTAACGTCCAAGGTGGTCTCCTTATCTTTAAATTTAGACGGATCTTCTGGTGAAATGTTTCTGACTTTTTCTTGATATTTGGAATAGGTGGCAGGATCAACAATTCCTCTCTCGTATGCATCATTTATTGAGAGTTGTTCACCAGTTTTAGGATCCATTATCTTTGTTATGATGACTTTCGATACTGTAGATGTCGTTGTCACAGAAGAAGTTTCGGTTTTTTCTTGCACATTTTGATCTACAAATCCTCTTTCATGAACTTCATTTGTAGGTAAGTGTTCAACGTAACTTGAAGACGATGCTTTTTCCGGCGACTTGTCCCTAAGTGAGTCTTCATATTTTTTATACGTTTCATAATCCACAAGACCTCTTTCATACGCTACTTCCATAGGGATATTTTCCCCTGTTGTGGGGTCCGCTATCATAGTATTTTTAACAACTTGAATAACTTTTGAAGCTGCAACTAATGGAGCGCCAAGTACAGCCACTAAACCGACTTTCGTTGCTTCTGACAATGTTAACTTTTTACCGGAAATGTCTTTATATTCCCCTGTTCTTTTGTCAATTATTCCACGTTCTACGGCTTCTTTAATAGATATTCTTTCTTGTGTACGTGGCTCTAAGACTTTTACAGTGTTTGATGCAACCACACCTCGGTCTATAGCTTCTAAAATAGTTTCAGATATTCCTGACGTTGTTGAAATAACTAAAGCAGTAGCAGGATCAAATATAACCCCGGGTATAACTTGAACTGGCTCTAAAGCTGATTGGTCATCAAAAACACTTTGTTGTTCAACCTCAGAAATCTCCAATTTGTCAGGCATACCTGCTACGGATGTTATAGTAATAACTTTTTGGACACATGTTAAAGAAGTTAATTGTACGAATATAATGAATTTTCGCTCAATTGCTTCTTTCATTGTTAAAATTTCTGTAGAATATTTATAACGACCTGTAGGATCAAGAATGTTTAATTCAATTGCTTTATACAAAGGAATTTCTTTTTTAGTTCTAGGGTCAACGACATTAGCAGATTGAGGATTTATAATGTTAAGTTTTATAGCTTCCTTCAAATTCAAAATTCTATCTGTTCCTGGAATTATAAAGATACCAGATGAAGGATCGAAAAGATTCTGTTGAATTGCTTCCTTAAGCAACCAGCCTCCACTTGGTAACTCAATTGTATTTTTTTTAATAATCAAGGAAGTTACTGCCTGGTCAGATGATGGGGAATTAGATGCAATGGTCTTAATTTCATGAGTTACATGCTGACTCGGTTGCAGGTCCCTAACATTATAATCAGGGCTTTTTAAAGTTTCAGGCTTTGTATCACTTTGCAATTTACTTTCGGGACTAGGGGGGAGGTCTTTAATAAAAGATTTCTTTGTAATTTTAAGCTCTACAACTTGACCAGGAACTAAATCTTTTTTGCTAACTTTATCAGAAAGGCGGGCTATACGAGGCTCATTCTTTTCTACGCCTAATAAACCTTCATCTAGGGCTTGTTGAATTGGAAATATTGTACCAGTAGTAGGGTCTGTGAATGTCTGAGTATTTTCATCAATAAGACCACGTTGGATAGCTTCCGCAAATGTTATTATAGTGTCCGACCTGTGAGACGCATTCGTATTCGTCACCGTTACGTAACGTTTAACAGTTTTAGTGACGGTTTGCAGAGTGAGAGTGATGTTTAGCAAGGAATTTAATAAGGCGGCTCCTTCGGGAGTTATCATGTTAATTTCTACGGCTTTATTGAATGGAATTGGTTTTTTACTGTTTACTTCAAGCAAATTTCCTGTTTTGGGATCCAAAATGTTTTTGAAAACTGCATCCAAAACAGAGAGTTCCTTACCGTGTTCAAAAATACCTATCTTACGATTAAACATCTCTAAAACCTCTGGCCGTACAATGGAAACTTTAGTGCAGTCTTCCAAGAAAACAAAATCACCGCTTTCAGATTTTAAGAAAGTTTCTCCGTTAACATATTTTAGGTTGCCTTTACTCAAAGCATTATTAAATGAAATAAATTCGCCGGTTTTGGGGTCCCTAAAGCCGTCAATGTCAAAGATTGATCTTTGTGAAACGGATGTGATTAAACCGCGGTCTACCGCTTCAGGTATGGTACAAAGTTCCCCAGTCAAGTTATCACGGAATTTGTTGTCGGGTAGTATAATTCGTGCACCTAAAGCTTCAGACAATGTTAAAAGTTGTCCAGTAGTCGTGTCAGTTATACATTTAATATTATCGCTATCGAGAACCCCTACAGAAATAGCTTCTAAAATATTGAGCGGCGTTCTACTAACTGGTGACAAGATCTTACCATCATTAGTCATCAAATTATTGTCGCAGATGTCTTTTAGTGTCATCGGTTTGCAAATGTAACGTTTATTTGCTGCTTCTTTGAAGCTTAACTTTTCTTTGGTTATATTATGTATATACTTTGAGTGCTTTGTATTTATAATATTCCTCTCTATTGCTTCAGCAAGCGTTATTTTTGTGTCATTTTTAGGATCAACTACTTCTCTGAAATCAGTATTTATCAGCTCATGTTTTATGGCCACATCTAATAGGAACCTATCACCCGAATTCCTGTCCAATATCCAACCATTGTTGTCTACTAGATCTTGACTAATTGCATCGGAAAGAGACAAAGCGCTTGATTTAATTTTGATAATTTCATTATAGATCAGGTAACCTCGTTGATAAGCTTCAGCGATTGTTATATAACTCCCGTTAGGTAATCTGTATAGACCTTTTTGTAAATCAACTTGACCACGATTTAATGCGTCCGAAATACTCATTCCTTGTGTCGTGGACTTTTCACCTTCAACAGTTACCTTTATTCTTTTTTCTGCTGGGTCTGTCAGCCCTTGCTCCGCATCGTAAAGTTCTCTTTGTATAGCTTCTAAAAGAGTCACTTCATTTCCATCTTCGGTCATTCCGCATGGTCCTGTTAACCTTGCAGCAAGTTTCGGATCGATTAGACCTTCTTTTGCTGCTTGCTCGATTGTCATGGTTTGTCTCGTTTCAGGGGAAGACAGGAGCCTTCCTGTTCGCACATCGAGAATTCTCATACTGATTGCTTGACCGACTGTTAAAATTTCTCTCGTTTCCGGATGTATTATACCTCTAGATTCGATTATGTTAGGCCCCTCATACATTTTGTGTACTCTTTTGAGTTTCCTAACATCGGGTCTGTCTTCGTCTGTGTTTACAGTCTTTGCAGGATAAGAAGGCGATGTTAATTTTCCATTGGCCATCGATTTGACTTGACCATGACCGTCTATTTCCGTCGAATGTGATGTCCTCACATATCTGTTTTAATTAATAGCACATTTAAAAAATGAAATAAGAACGCAAAAAGTAAAACCAATATCTGTACATATACGCATACGTATTAGTACTTGAATATCAATAATAATACTTACTTTTCTGTAGTGTAGGTAGTGTAAGTATGCTCCGTGGTGGCAACGTCTTGCATATTGAACTCTTGGCGGAACGAGCGAGCCGACCGAGGCGCCATCGCCTCAACGAGCCGCTGTAAATAATGAAACGTAACATAGTAACTAAATGGACCATCATTAAATTCTCTGATTTGATGGATGAGAATAGTGATTGAAAACAACATTGGAACCAGAAACCGCAGGAATTAAGTACCTATTTTTAACTCGTCTCTGTGTAGAGGCGGTTATTTGTTTTTTTAACTTATTCTGTCCTTAAAATATTAAGCCTTTAAACAAGTGTTGTGTTTTAAATGGGATATGTATATATAGTTATTTATCAATCAATGTTATGTATGATTATTTGCGATAACATGACACTCGCTTTTTGTTAAGTTTTTGTTTACTAAAACAACATGACACACGGGAGAGTGACAATACGCCTATGTATATTTTAATACTGCTTATGCTACACGAAATTTGGAATACAAAGAGCTGACTTAGAAGCCCTCACTTTAAATCGTAACTTGTTAAACGTCAATATTGTAACATCACAATATAGATGCTGCCGCGATACTCACTCAGCGATTTAATTGTTATAGTTTTATTTCTGGACTACGAAAGATTTTGTTTGTTATTTATTATATTCCCTTTATAGTTCCGGATTAAAATTTTACGCTACGTATACACGCTAGATGCGTAAGTATTAAATAATATTACCCAATGTTGTATCTCAAGCATGTAACTTGAACAATATGCGATAAAAAAATTTGTTTACCGCAGAAGAACTATGTCTCTTATTAAAAACGCTTGTATTGATTGATTCGTCGTATGTCCGCATTTGATTTTACTAAGGGACAACATAGTCCCTTCTAAAAGGTAAAATAAACAATGATCCGATTCTCCAATTTTCCCATTTTCATATTTAAATGCCTTTCCACTAAATAAATTCTTTCCAACAAAAAAGAGAGAGAATAACAGAGAAATACCAACCCGGCATTCGTAGGCGAAGTCATATTCGTACTCCTCCATGGTACACACAATTTTTTTTATATCACAACACTAAATGTATTTACGTTTTCGATCTATCATTATCGTTCATTATTAATAATAATTATATCACCCACAAACACGCATCAATAACACCATTTCGCTTAAAGTGTAACCTGAAATACAGCAACAAAATTCCTACGTCGTTACCGTCTATTACGAAACTAAAACGCCGACCGGCCAAAAGAGATCTCATAGGTCTACACGCCGTTCGCACTGGCCGAAAACTGAATGGACGCGACGGGGAAACTTCAATCGAAACAGACAAAAAAAAAATAAAAACGTTGCTAATTATAAACGATTCCGTAACAGTGCGTCTTCCGGCGCTACGCGTGGCGTTTCGTCCGGTTTGTCGTGTACTTTCATTGGGATTACAGGAGACCGCAGTAAAACAGCTGTTCTAGAGCAGAGTCGTTTTTGAGGTTAGGAAAATGACTGGCCAACTCAATACGGGGCGGGCGAGCGGGTTGCGCGCGCAGCTTTCTGCTTGATGCGCCGATGCGGCGTCCTATCTTGACAATTCGGCGAGCTCTGACCGAGAATTGTGCTTACGGTTCCAATTTTGCGCCACGATTTTCGGTGATGTAAGCACTTTGGCATAACACGCACGTGAGTCAGTGGCGGAACTAAGTAAAGATGTACAAAGAAATACGAAATTACTTGATTTAAGATCATGGTTTCGATTAGTGGTACTTTTCACGAATCGTCCAGCGCTGTGATATAAAAACTGTATAATGCCTGACGTGATGATGCTTAAACATAACGCTACCAGTCACCTAAATAATAACATGTTTCGTTTTGCTACGAGTATCACACTAAATATTCACGCACGTAAAAATTTTTTCAAAATAAAAAAAAAGAATAAGTTTATCAAACATTAACCACCAAGATCGTAACTGTAAAATACAATAGACGATCACAAAGGGTTGTTCCGTGGGGTATCCACCCCATGCAATACATTCCCCGCATGACATAGATATATTTTAAGGGGCTGTCATGTTCAAATGTTCGCTAATATTATTGTTAATATATCCTTTAGTACGTAGATCAAGTCTAGAATATACGTAGAACAAAGTTGACATATAGGAGCACATACGAGTAATACATGATCGTGAATAAAATGCTATAATCATTCTTATTTGGATCTAAAAATCTACACGCTCTTTCACAGACAAAATCTTTACATACTGATTTCCTAATCGCCGTGTAGCGAATTCGTGAGATAACGCATTGTTCTCATGCGCTGAAGAATATTTTTTTCAAACGAAAATAGCCCAACCTAAAATCCGTTGAGACGGCATAATTTATAGAGTCGGCATTCGATTCCTATTTTAAGCCGAAAGGGAGGGTTTATAACGATAAGGGAATACAAAAGACGACGTTTCGATCGCACGCGACGATTTAGGTGGCTTGTTTGGCTTATTTTTGGAGGGCCGAGCATAAATTTTACGACAGAAAACAAGAATTTGTTTTTGACTGGCGACCATTTTTGACATAATCTTGGTGGTTAATAGAAATAAATGTACTTTAAGAAACTATCCAGTTGTAGATGAAAAATTAGCGAGAGTTATGTACGAAAATAAGATAAACAGGAACGTCGTTGACCTTTTAAGGACCTTTGGCTACCACTTCTATCCTACATACTTAGATGTAAAAGTTCTAAATTGTATTAGCTTTGTTTATTAATTAACATCATTTTATGTCTCAAAGAGCCGTGATAGATCATTGTCCGGGAGCTCGCTTTTAATTAACTATACTCGAGCAATCTGAGTTCGATCCCCGGTGCCGGCACCAACGAAATTGTTAATTTTAAGCGCTGAATTATCACGTGCTCGGCGGTGAAAGGAAACATCGTGAGGAAACCTGCATATTTTCGAAATAATTAGATAGATTCGATGATATGGGATGGCCGCCAATCCAGAAACAAGAGAAGGGTTTGAACATCCATTAAGTGCAAAAGAATGTAAGTTAGAATAAAAATTCGTTTGATTTCGCGGGCCAGTTTCACGGTAATTGCGTAATGAACTTTGACCCGTTTGCAGCCATTCATAGCACTACTGCCGTTTTTAATGCGCTCATGGACCGAATTAACTTTAATGTGCCGTGTGACATATATTATGGCGCCTGTGTCAATCTTTCCGATGCGCGACATAATGCAGAATACTCCTTTCAGAGCGAATCGCATGTGATATAAATAAATACCAGGACTTGGTCAATAAATGTTTAGTGCACATATAGAACTAAAGCAATGTATGGTACGTGCATTTTAATACGGTTAACAAAAATATAATCAGATGTGAATCGTACAAAATGCCCTAAATGTCATTGTTACGAGTTTACGGACGGAGGATTGAAAATGGTAATAATAAAAATATCATAAATCCGCGAAGCGAACGAAAAACAATTCAATCATCGTACGATCAGTCTAGGAAATCATCACCTAGCATAAAATTGAAGCAACACAATACAATGTGGAATATTAATAGTGTCACCAGAAAATACAGCGATGAGAATTAAAAAAAACAGCGTATCAAAATGTTTCTTTATTGAATCTGACCGCGGCGTCTGCCGGTCAACGACCCGGGAATATTTATCGATAGCGAAATCAGTTCCACGGTTGAGAGCTCGCCGCCTATTTTGAGTTGGAAAAAGTGTTTCAAAAGCGCTTTAATTGCACTTTTGGACACGTATATACGGTATTTGCAACTTGATAACACCCAGACAGTCAAACAGACAAATATCCCAAAATATTTAGTTTATAAATAGTTAATAATGTAATATCGTATGTACAGCAGTTCTCCAAAAAAAATTTACGTATCTTTGAACAATAATTTACTAAAATTTACGCGAATACTACAACAATACTTTTTGTTCACAGTACACTTTTGCAGTTACAGTAATCAGGACTAACTATGAAATTTGTCCCGTGACCGAGGGTTCGAAACGTTGGGGTAAATTGAAAATTAAACATTGAAATATCCGAAAAATTTTACTTTATTCAACAATCTATTTTGAATCAAAGACCAGGACAATTCGATTGCAAAGAGGCTAAAGTAATCAAGGCAGGAGTGTCTTGTCTTTTACTTGGGCTAGTGCGTTCACTGCTTAAGTCTACTTCAGCATTTGAGGGATAATCTAATAATAGTAGTAATGATTGAAAAAATATCGATGTATCGAGGAAATCATTCAGAAGCTTATAAATCAACAATTGAGCATTCTATTTTCTAAATCGTACATTTGCTCTTCAATCATAAGCTACCAGGTCTGACCATCGGCATTTGGTCCCAGATCGCTGCCTAGCAAGAGGCTTAGCCCATAAGTTAAGACGATTAAAATGTCTGATCTAGTGCAATGGCACGGCAGGTTTTTGTTGGATCTTTTTAAGGCCTTTTCACATGGACCAAGAACTGGTGCTTATAATAATAACTGCAGCATAGTCTGCGTGTAAAACTAAGTCCTGCGTGTAAATGGCCTGTTAACATAACTTGTCCAGTTATAACAAAGTTTTCATAGTTAAAGAAAACGCCAGTATGGATTTTCTCTTCATTGGCAAGCACGAGCGCGAGGTATGCGCCGTGAAAGAAAAGAAGAAAGCAAGAACGTCAGAATAATTAGCTCAATTCTCTATTTGAAACGCAAATATTGACTATAACGCTAACATGAAAATGATGATAACCTTTCATTCAGCATTCTGGTATATTAACTAGAATGTAACAGTCTAAGCTGTTGTACGAATGGACAGTTCCTTCTGAGGAAGTGCCACGACCTCATAGAAAACGGCTTTAAGTGTTATACTTCTGCGTTCATCTCATGAGTGAGGTAGCCGGGGCTCACTTTATTAAAAGTTGGAAATGCATCTGCAACTCTACGGGTGTTGTTTTTTTATGTGAAAAGTTGCCAAGCGAGCAGACGGTTCACCTGATGTTAAGTGAATACCGCCGCCCCTGAACATCTCCTACACCCGAGAGTTACAGATGCGTTGCTAACCTTTTGAAAATTGGGCTCCGGCCACCTCACTCACCAGACGAAACGCGAAAGTATTATACTT